GTTGGATTCGTAAACATAAAGTTGCATCTCTTCCATTTCTGAGCGTGAACAAGTTTCAGTCAAAGTACTTAAGGTCATTTTGTTGAATATCTTGTTGAGGAGCCTCCTGGCAGAAGTACCCGCCCCAAAACATCACTTTCTTAGGAAAATGGAATGAAGTTTTTCTTTTTGGTTTTTGATTGCTGAGGGTGACAAGCATGAGAAATCTTTCATCTAGACTGAATTTTGTACATTATAGAATGAAAATTTGCCATTGGAGACTTCTAGATATTAATGTTATCAAGCGTTATGGGAGACTAGACCCGAGTCTGAATTGAAGTACTACGAAACTTGTTCCCTCATCAAAATTTCAGGCAGGACACTATGACCCCTCCTACAAAGGAAATTTAATTTTTGATGGAAACAGAGGATAGCAGCTAACTTTCAATGAGAGACAATGAGAGACGTAAATTGAGAAGACAAAAACTCTAAGTGTTGAAAAGGCTCAATTCATTTCTGTTTGTACTCATACCTCTTAATCATGAAATCAATCCAGATTTATTGTTGAAGCCATGCACTAATTTCTGAATTTTCTTGAAGAGAGTTTTTCTGTGTTTTTTATTGATTGGACATAGATTAAAATAAGAATTAATCAAACTTTGATTTTTGATACATAATTAAAATATTACGCAGGTACACATCAACAAAAAAAAAGAGAAAAAAAAGAAACAAGGAAATAAAATAAAAATTCTATAATAATCATAATAATAAAATAAGAATTAAAAATAATAATCAAAGAATAAGATGGATGAAGCAGGCGTTCTGCTCTTTTTTTATTTCTCAGAGAATTGCAGAGAGAAGAAAATGAACAATAAATGAGAGTGAAATTATAATTACGTGACTGAATTTCAGTTCAGCTTCATAAAACCATGCGACAAAACTAAAGTTGATACTTGATCATTGTCGGTCCATTGGAAAAATGCATTACAGATCTGAAACATTTGGAATACTCATTAGTCAATGCATCTTCATAACAAGACAGTGGGTTGGCCAGCTTGCTTCCAAATTTAGGGATGCTTCAGTAGCGCTTCTTGAAGTTAACTTGTACCTCGTTTTGTAAAAAGAGAGCCTCAAAGGTATTTTGAATGTTTATTTCATACAGAAAACTTGGCTCTTGATTTTATGGTACCTTGGTTAAGTAAAACATAGAAAGATAAAAGCTTTCTTCCGTCCGATGAAAAAACTTCCATTAGCATCAAATTGAGGCACTACAAAGCCGGGAGCAGAACTAGAGGGAACCAGCCGGGGGGAAGGGGGGGGGAGAGGCTGATCCCATCAGGAATCTACTTGACCACTTTCAAGAGATGTGACGAATTTTCCTCAGTAGGTGCACGATACATCTTTTATCTTTGAAACCACAATTCGGTGAAGTTTTCTGCAAGAGGCTCAAAATTGCTTCTGGATTTTTCACCATTTTCTGGGGAACGTCCGCCGCCAGATCCTCCCATGGGAGTAAAATAAATCCCCTGAACCCTAATTGGACCGAGTTTAACAGAAAGGAACCAAGCCACATCAGCTATTGCCAAGTTTAACTGGGCAATTAAATTTTTTAAGAGGGAACATTAGTTCGGGTTTCCTTGAAAATTTTAAGGAATTTGCTTCGTACCATGGAGAATTTTCACTGAAATTTGCACGAAAATCGGCACAACCGTTTTCATATAAAAAATTAGATTGCCGAATTAAATTTGGCTATAGCTGATGTGGCTTGGTTCCTTTCTGTTTAACGCGGTCCCTTTGGGAGCTAGGGATGTCCCACAGATCCCTTTTGGCAGGGTGTCTTTAATGACCCCCAGCCCCTCCTTGATGAGGTGCCCTTCTGTCCACTTTACGAAAAGTTCCTAGCTCTGCCCATGAACAAAGCTAGTGTACACATACACACAGAGAGACCAACGTTTTGAAATCTTCAAGTAACAAGCGCTAGAAAAGTAATTCCGAAGATGAATTATAAACTCGGAACATTATTGTTGATAAACAGGGTTAAAAAATAAAAACAAGACCAGAAGCAAACTGCTTACGCCGGACAGAAAAAAAAGTTTTGAATTCAAAATATCCCTAAAAGACACCAAAAGTTGGGCTTCTTGAAAATAATTAAAACAACCGCGTATGAGAGAGTATATATATGTCTCACACCAACTGAAAGCAGACTTCAAAGAAGGTAGGTACCTGATGCTATTTAGTCATTTGATTCTCTTAATAATATTGTAGAAATAAGTTCCCATGAAAAAGAAAACATACTGTTGTTGAGACCGAATGGTGAGATATTGGTGAGTGGATGCTACCAGAAAACCAGACGAAAGAGGGTTGAAAATGTTTGAGCACATGCATGAGATAGGGAATAGGGAGTTAATTATCACAAGTTTGCAACAACCAATTACATTCTAGGCCAAAATGAAATGAAACACTATGCCTTCTTTAGTTTAAAGAGGTTTTGTTTGAAGTTTGTTCTCGCTAGATCGGACTTTTCATACATGCAAAAAAAAACAAACCTAGAAATGTGCAAGCACAAAGCAATATTTTAGAATATTTCATGTCCTCCCTTCCCCTTTTTTGAGGGACAACGTTTGATTATTAAAATTAATGCCTTGGAAGAATTCTTACCAGGCTTGACAAAAAGTCTCTCTTTTAAATATAACGATGGACTGATGAAAGACACAAATGACAAATTACTTTTTGGATCATTATGGAATGGCATTCTTCGGAAAACTTTTTCTTGGTTATGGTGGGATGGGGCATCAAGAAGTAGTTAATTTGAAAAATACAATTTCTCAATGCATAGGACATGCCAGCTTCTTTACTTTTTTCCATTTTGGGATTATTAAGATGCTTCAACGAGCTCTTAGACCTTTTATCTTTCAAGGAAGGTCATTGAAGTTCATCCTCTTGTTATTATAAGAGAACTAAACAGCAGACTAAATTATGCAAGAGTAAAATAAAAAAATAAATTGTGTTGGAGTAAATTAGTGACGTTGACCTATCTAGGACAGGTGAAAGTGTAAATCGCAATTTGATCAACTTTTCGTTTTTCAACTATTCATCATGAGATTATGATGAATTTTTTTTAAGGAGAAGTCTAAAAATTAGTTAAACATTATACCAATGCATCATCTTAAGCTCTGGTTACATGATCTTATATACATCATAGATAATTTTATTGGTACCTGCTGACTTCAAAACATCTGGCTTAGCATTTCTGTATCACTTTATTGAAGGAATGAAAGGAAAGAAATCTATTTAGGCCTTCTGATTACACTTTCTGTCGAAAATGAAGATTGAAGCATTTGTTTTAGCACATAGGAAAAAAAGAAAAAAACGAAATAGTAACAGCTGGTGACGATTCTCAAAAAGAATGTAAAAACTAAAATTTCTCTTTGATTTCGAAAGAAGAACTTACTCATTTTTAGCATCACTTTTTTCAGAGAGAAAAATTTAGATTTTTTAAATTTTTTTTTTTTTTTACTTTTGTCAAAACAGAGAATATTAAATGATTGAGTAACTGTCTGCGCTAACTGAGCGTTAAAGCACTGACTAACTGTAACAGTTCCTTCCAAAATTTCCGAGTTGACAAGGGGCATTTATCTGATATTTATTACACAGAGAAAAAAAGGAGGAAAATAACCTAAAGGAAAATGCAAGAGAGAGAAAAGATAACAGAGCGAAAATTTCAGACTAAATTCTACGACAAAAATGTTTTCCACGAGCAAACAGTTAATCCTCTGTACAGTCCTCTGCTGTAATTTGTGATTCATTTTTAAACAATCCGTGAATGTAAGTAGAATAATTTCTTTCCTGGTAATCTTAGAAGTCTGGTGGACACGATAAATATCTTTCTACAGACATAATTCATTCCAAAGGTAAAATTTTGGCAAAAACTGAAGGCCAAGTCTCAATAAGTGCAAAGCTTCTTGAAAATCACTTTAATCCAGAGCATATATTATGATGCTACTTCTACTGTTTTTTGTTCATAATGTTACGATGGGCTTAAAAAGACAAATACTACCCGATTTCTTAAAAAATTACCACTAAACTACAATTTGAAATAATTTGCAGGTAGGTCCTCACGAATTTGTTTCAGAACACTGAGTGTAATACTTCCATCATAAAGGGAGAGTTGCGATCAAATTTTACTTTAGAATTGGAATTGTTCAAGAAAAAATATGGAGAAAACAGATTTTATGTGCAGTAGATGTGTACAAACGACTCAGGTAGAAAAAGTGAATTTTTGCATTTTCCTTTTAAAAAGAATTAAAATTGTTCCTTATGTTACGTACTTATTAAAACGTCTCCTCCTGAAATATCAATAAATATAAACGCTCAGAATGTGCGCTAATCATTACTTGAAAAAACCTAAGATTCAGAAATTAAAAAGTATCTTTCAAATAAGAATAGGCTTTTACAATGGAATCTTTCTGCATTCAGAGCAATTCACAAGTATATAGAAAGTAATGTTAGGGAGGGTATACAAAAAAAATAATAAACAATGTATTGAAAAGGAAATGTTCCTGATGGATAGAAAAAAATAATGAAGACAGAGAATTAAAAATAATTAGATAGTTTAATTTGAATTTATATATATAAATATATATAAATAATGCACTTTTTAAGGATATTTTACAAACCTTTTACTTTAGATAATTAAAATGGTTTTGATGATTGTGATCACATTTTAATTAAGGATTAGCATAAGATTAGCGAAACAGAGAGGATACATTGGAGACAGAAAGAGTGAGAGTAATTTAAATCAAATGGAAAATATCTTCTCAAAATTAAAAATTCTGAACTTATAGAACTTTGGATATTATAGGATTTCTTTGAGTTTATGACTAGTGCAAAATAAAGTTGATCAAATATTGATTACATGAAAGCCAAAGTTGATCCATGAAAAACTCAGCCTGCGATCCTGACACATTTTTATTTACAAGGCTTCATTTATATTTTTTCCACTTGTATTTTTAAATCTTTTGTTTGAATTCCTTTACCATCCTAGTAAACTGAACAATGATCACTTAATATAGATAAAGAATAGTTTTGGAATAAAAGATATAATTAAAATGAAAACAAATTATAAAAAATCAAGGTTGAAGCAGTACATCTACAGAAAAAGTACATCTGCTTTTCGTGGGTTTCACTAACCTTGACATTTAACATTTTATCAATACCAGAAATTCACAAAATACAGCACTTTATGAGTATCATTCATAAAGATAACACCTTTTTTCAATCCTCAAGAAATCACAACTACCAGGGTCTTGAATCAGTACAGAAATTGGGGGGGGGGGGGTTGACACATTTCACCTTAATGTTTAGAAAAGTCAATTTTTTGTTCAAGCTTTGAAAAAATTTGATAATACAGCAACTACTATGTAACTGCCATAGTTATCATTGCACTTGTATCATTTAACCGATATTGATAGTTAGTAAGTATTCCATAAAAGGTTAGCACAAAGGCAGACCACTATTGACCTTCAACTTCGTAGTGTACACTGAGCTATAACAGAAAGGGGATTACATTCTTTACCCAGTGGAGTTGCTAAAAACTGTTTATGGGGGGAATCTGAATGACAGTATCTCTGAAAGTAGTGTAAAGGTAAAAAGTATCAACAGATTGTTAAAAATGACCTTCAACGAAGAAAAATTTCTGGTCGTGAGGGGGTCCTAACCCCCTGAATTTCCCTTTGCCACACTTGTATTTATACTCTACATGTATTTTTAAGTCCTGAGAGTGGTGTAGTGCCAGGTTCCACAACCAGTACATTACACAGCTTTGCATATTTTTGGCAGAACATATTGTAGCTTGACAGACTCCGGTTTTTTCTTAGTCCTGAGTTTGAGGAGAATTTTGAAACATTGCATACAGTAATTTTCTAGAAAATAAAATTTTTCTGGGTACAGGCTTCCCAAGTAAAATTCAATTTTCTAGAAAACTGTAGCATGACAGATAAAAAACCAAGTTTTTTTTTATTTCAGCAGCAAAAATTAGATAGAAATTCCCATTTGGCATGTCTACGAATTATTTTCGCTCTCTATGGTAGCTAAATCTTTTTCAAATAATGTATCCATTCATCACCATAAAAAATTAGACTAGTTATTTCTTAAGAAAAAGGAAAGATCAACAACTGTCAACAGGTGTCTGGTGAAAAAAATCCAATGCACTAATTAATAATTATGGCTGAATTTGAAAATAACCTTAGTTTTACTCAACCAATTGTTTGATAAATTTTGCATGCTCGACTGAAAAGACTTGGCGATCAAAGGAAACTTACAACATTCTCAGGCATGTCATAGTAAAGTAATTCTCATGTATTTTTTGCTGCTGTATTCCAAGTTTTTTCCCAATCATGGACCTGTTTTTCGATGAATAGAATTCATCCCAGAAAAGCCGATTTCCGATTTTCTGAAAAAGCATGACACAGTGAAGATTTCGGACATTTTTTTTGGGGCTCATCCTCATCCGATGAAATCAAGATCTCTTTTTTCCAAACCACATTAAGGTTTGCAATGTGAAAACAAAACAAATTCGTTTTTTCCTACTTCATTAGAATTGGAGGCTAAATGTTTTTCCATTATAATTTCTGCTTAAACTATCTATAATTTTCAGGAGAGTTCTCCAACAGATATAGTTTTGAATTTTGCTTCTTTATCCTGATATTCTACACATATGTTCAATAAAATTGATACTTTTTGAAAGCTTTCAAAACTTTGAGTAGAGAATGCATTATATTTTCCAAAAATTGTTTTTAAGGATAAATATTTTTGGTTAGTACATACTAAATAGAGATAGTCTTGGGAGTAATTGAATACAGGAAAAGTTTGTCACATGGCACCCGATTAGGGTTAACCTATGGTTTTTCAAAACAATGGTGAACAAGAAAAACCCAAAACTCAGTTTTAGACAGTTCAGATATCTAGTTATATTTTACTTGTTTAAAGGACAACTGAGCAGCTCCAACCACAATCAGCCGAACTACATCACATTTTGTCTGAAATTTTCTCGTATTATAATTTTTCTACTAAAAACTGAGCGACATTTTGTCATGAAATTTAATGTATGCAGTTATGTCATGAGTATATTTTATAGGACAGAAAGAACATCTACAGGAAATTTCAAGGCACTGTATTGCTGCGTTTTTGGATAAAAACATACTAGAGAAAATTAGGCAACAATGATATGCGATTAGGCTAATTGGGGTTAAGTGCGCCAACAAATCACTCGATCACACAAAATTTAGTGTGATTTTGGTCTGCCGGTTCAAGACTATTTTACGAAAATTTCTTGCTAAAATATCGGGTGAGGTCTCCTAAAGAAATAAAATACAGAGAGAAATTCTGAACCACTGTATTCAAGATATGGTGAAACTGCAGAAATTAGCATCTTGGTTTGCACCGTTGCAGACTTACTGTCATACTTCATATTCTACATGGAAAACAACTTAACATCATTTTTTCTAAAACTTTGGTGATTTTCCTTCTCTGAATCAAGAATATTCTGTGAAGATTTCGAACCATGATGTTGGTTTTGTCTCCAATCAAAAAATTAAATAGGTACAGAGATTTTGAAATACAGCAACCAAAATAAAAATTTTGGCAGTTTCACTATCAATACACATGTTTTCATTGTGTTACCATCAAAATACATCTGTGACAAAATTTCATGTGATTGACGTTTTACGCAAGAGGGAATTATTTATTTTTTTATCTACCTGATCTCAGTTATGGTGTTTCTGTTCCTTGTAGCACAAGATATTTGTAATGAGAAAATTGGAGAGTGTTCTCGAGAGATAATCTCAAAAAATCCTGAATAAGTTCTTAGAGATATACTGAAAAATCACAGTTACAAAGTAACAGGAGCATGTGACTGCTTTTGACAGGAATTTTTCTTCATCCAGAGATATTAGACACAACAGCCAAGTTACAGCACTCTAGCTCCCAACAGGAGGGCAAGAAATATTCATTCCGGATGATTTTAAAGTCTCAGCATTACATACCATAAACTACTTGCAGAGGCTTCACTTTAAATTTTTAACTCTGGATATCATTCATAAAATCACACAGCTTCAATTGAAATCAATTTTTAGTAAGATGTTTGTGTACATGAATCTGAAGATTAAGGGTCAACATTAAGATGCAATCCCAGTTAGACTTCCAAAATGCAAGTAATTCTCAACAAGTTATTCATTGGATTCAGGGGTAGAATTTTTATGTAACATTTATGATAAAAAATTTAATGCTTAATAATTTTGTAAGTTGAGATTTCTAATAAGAAAAGGTGTAGACTATTAGAATTTCATGGTATTGATAGAGAAGTGAAATTATAGTGAACTGTTTCTGAGCAACATGTCTCATCTTCTTTCATTCCAAACAAAAATCTCAAAATGAGAAAACAGGAAAGCTGAATTATAATAGAATAATTAAGACGGCAATTTTTTGGAGGTTGAATTAGGGGGAGGTCTAAGTGACAAAACGGGGCACTGAAGGAATGAGGAAAAAGTGGAAATGAAAAGGACAAAGAGGTGAGGAGACAAATAAAAGAAATAGCATAGAGAAACTTGCACAACAACAATAACAAACACACAGGGCCGGACCTCATGAAAAACCCGTGATTTTTTTATTTGTCTCGAACTAATTTCTGAGGATTCTTCTGAAGCCCAGTGCCAACAACACAAAACCATGAAATGATTTGATCAAAGGTGGAGACGGAGTTGAAAAGGATTGAGGTTTTAGCTCATTATTAGGGAAAAAAGACACTCGATTGCCTCAAAATCACTAACTGAATCAATACACACCCTTGATAGATTTAAGAAGAGGAAAAAGATTAATAAAAATTTGGAACCATTGTTGCTGTTTTCTTCACTTGAAATAGAAAGAATGAGTGAGTTTTATTGAGAATCATTTGAGGGACAAGAGGCTGAAAAAAGAGTCGACAAGGGATTATTATCCCCTTCATTTTCTGCTTTCTCTGAGGCCCCGTGATAGAATGTTTTCAATGGTTAAACAGTTTTTCATCACATAATAAACCCATGGGAACCAATTCTACAGTACATTCAAGAGAGAAAATCCATTGTTGAAAAACTGCGAATGACTCAAAAGTTGATACAGAATAGACTCCCTCAGAGATTTGACTTATTGGGGATCTTGACTTGGAGTCCCTTTATGCACTAAGTGTAAAAAAAAGTTAATGAAAAATTTTAAAAATTTTTAGGCAAATTAGGAGACAAATCGATAATGTCCATCAAAATTTCCAATAAAATCAAAGGGCTGTACAGGTCTTACTTAGAACAACTTATCCCAGCAAGAAAGCACTAATTTTCCAAAGAATGAAATAAATAAAAGGTATTTTTAACTAAAGATGTCTTCTTATTATTAATCCTCCACTTTTCAGTTCACTGGTTTCTTTCTTTTTCTCTGAGTTACAGTAAAACCCTTCAACTTGTTTCAAACAAATGAAAAAAAAAAAATATAAGATTAAGCCTTAAAAAACTACCGAGGAATGATCTAGGAGGGAAATGTTAACATTAATTAATTTTTAAGGGAATACTGAACTTTAAAAGAGGAACTGATCATTAGAGCTCAGCAAAGTGAGAAAAACAATTGAGGCCATTCATCGACTCTGGTGGAAACCTATTATCTGTAACCAAACAAAGCTGTTAATTTACGAGGGTCTTTTTCTCTTCTACTTTCACAAACCAAATAATGCAGATGTATTTTGTCATTAATAATCTCAGCAAAGAAGATGGTGAGATAATTTATGCTATTATTCAAGCACCAAAAACTGAAAGCTCTAGGTAATAAGTTTTTAGTTAGTTGGGGGAAAAAGTTGTAAATTTTTCTAAATCAAACAAACAGTTCAACAAGTCCAAAGATTTATTTTAAATCTTTCTCCATAACTCCGTTCCAGCACTGAGTGGACACAGCCTTAAAATACTTAACTAAAACATACTAAAATCAGGATTTCAGAACAACTTTTTATTAGAAATGGATCACATTCAGCAAGATGAGGTCTCTATGGATAAGCTTCTTGATGGATGTAAAATCTGTCAACAAAAAACAAGGAGCGCGGGGAGGGGGGGAGTGAGCCATTACGATAGGAGGTGATACGAGATGAGGGTATAAAAACAATGCTGTCTCCATTAATATTCAACAAGGTTGCAACAAGAAAGTTCACAAAATCCAAGTCACCACCAAGAGTTATTAACACACTTACTATCCAACGTCTGCCGCAGTAGGAAACCAGGTGGAGGAGGAGCTGAATATAGGTCCCAGTGTTGTGCTGATGTAACAATGGCTGGATCTAGGGCAGTCCAATCCCATACTGGAACATTAAGAATAAATTTGTAAACAGTGGCGTTAAAGCACTCAAAAGTGGCTGGTTGAATATTAACATTTTGAGAGTTGAGAGATGGTTACATAATATGGGGCTTCGTTCTGCCCGGCTACAGACTCCAGCTACATCATACTGAGAAATTCAGTGCTATTATTTTATATGATGTTCTTTACCAACTCCTTCGAAACTAAGTGCCAATGTTGAGAACAGCAAGGCTGAAAAGTGAAGTTTTTGGTACTCTTCCATGCCTTTACCAAGTGTGTTGATGCTGCATGGGATGCTATTATCATTTGGATGAATGGAATTCCTAAAGTCGGTCTTATCTTCCCGGCTGGTGAGGAAACAAAAGCTCCCCTTGATCACCAATCAGATGTTGCAACATTTCTACTAGATAAAGAGTGCGAAAATGCTAAAAATTCACTTTCCAGCTCTGCTAATCTCGGATATGGTGTAAAGAAAGTTCAATTTTAAAAACTCGTTTTGCTCAGGAGGTCATAAAAGGACATCATCTTAAATAATACCGAAATTTAGTCAGCGCTGAATTCTATTGCTTTCAGTGTGGGGTCCTTTGGATTAGTTCGACTTTAAGTACACGCTCATTTGAAAAAAGAAAGAAAAAAAAAAGAAGTTCTTCTCTGAGATACCACTGAGAGAGTTTTTTCTTTCAAACTTAGAACACAATTCTTTGATTTAACTCAATTAGAATCTCTCTCAAAAATCACCTCTAAACACTATGGTTCCTTCCCTTAAAAAATTTCACACTTGAAGGTAAATTTGCAAAAAGTAATTTCAAAATATTCAACAAAAAGATGAACTCAACCGAGGAACAAAGAGAATGGTTACAGGAATTCAGGGAGCATTGAGGAATTTTAAAGTAAGCCACAAGATGTAAGAGGCCAAATCTTGGGGTAAGTGGCATTTGGACGAGGCGTCACTTGAATTGTAGTGTCAAACTATCATCTCAAACCATCACTTTCAGATCGGCAGATGCCTTACCGCTGAAAATCGAAAGTATGTTTTGTGCTGCAGGAAATTCACTCTACATTGGGACGATTTGCTTGAGAAAATTCCCTCACATTTTAAGAGAAGCAGTCACCCGAATTTACCACAACATTTTAGCTGGAGTCAGCATCTTCTTTCTTAACAATAATGCAACACGCATTTAGTAGCGAAAAAAGCTTCAAGGTTTTAAATCAGCTTGCAACCCCATTTTAATCTGGTTGAAGGTACGGCACTAATGGATCACCACTTGTGAGATCTTAATAACAATGTTTTGGCATTTCGATGGACTGGAATATTCAAGTCTTATTAAAATTTGCCCAGTCTTACACTATTCGCACAGTCCTGGGAGTTTTGATGGCACTTTTCCAAATGAAGTCCAAGCCTCAACAAACTATGGAAATGGCTTGTAGATCAAAGCTGAGTTTCAATACAAGGAATCTTTCCTTGATACAATATACAAGTGCGAGATTTCACATAACAAATACTCCAGGTTAGACTAAAATTTTACAAATTACTTGGTAGGTATTGATCTAGTAAATTAAAAGCAGAAGAAAATTTTCAAAGTGAAAGATTCCGAGTTTAGAACTCACCAACTTTTGATCAACATGAAACAAAAATTTATAGAACTCTTCCCAGTAACACAGACATAACATACATGTGCGGCACATCAAAGGGACATTAGTGGCACAGTTTCCAAGATGTTTCTTTCATAATTCTCAGCTCAGAGCTTCAATTGAAATGAAACATAATCATTGGCTTTATCACCTGATCATCCGCTATAAATCTGTTTCGTTTATGACAAAAATGACTAAATAGAGCTTTGGGCTCTTGTGGCTAGGTAAACATGATGATTAATGATGCAGGTTTGGTAACAGCTTGATCACTATGCAATTTTAAATTTTCAGAGTCCCTGATGAATTCAAGCCGTTTCACCATGGTTACAAAGGAGGAAAAAAAATCAATAATAAAATTAAAGACTAGAGGAGTAAGTAAAAAACCGCAACTTTCGTATGAAACACTTGGGGAAAAGAAGAGGATTTTTTTGAGCATCAGTACCTGGAGGAGGAGGATGTTGTGGAAATGTGATGGTAGGCTGAACACAGGGAAGTGTTTTGTTTACAGTCCGGGGTACGCCTAATGAAAAGGCATTCATGTGATTAGTTGTTGATGTGAAACCAGGTGGGGGAGGAACAGTTCCATTTATTCGAAGCCCATCTAACAGTTTTGAACAATTTGATAGCCTGAAAGAAATTTCAAAATAACGTTAAACTTCGGGACGAAACATTATCGACATTATTCAACATAGTGTGACCACAAAAAGAAGCTTGGTTGCTAAAAATAGGTTGAATTTGGGAGGCTTGACGTTCATAACCTAGCTATTCACCTGGGCCAAAAACTCGTTGGTTTGCAGTTGACCACATGTAGAGAAAACTAACTTCTAAATTCGACTTAAAGTCGCAAAAATTATACTCTAAACTTAAACTGTATAAAATTTGAGCTTTTTTTACAGCAGGCTTGAGTCATCATTAGCTCCTAAGCGGTTCAAACCATTAATCAGCTGTCAAATATGAAAGTCAACATTTTTAACGCAACTTTCTGCCAAACATTAACTGGCTGACCAAAGTCAGGCCCTGACTAATCATGTTTATGATGTAAATAAACAAATACAAGTAAAAATGCAAAAATTCATCGAAAACCATTTATATTCTAACAATTAGAGACCTTCCATGGGATCAGATTTGTTCAATCATCTTCAAAATATATACACAGATGTAAACATTGCATACCTAGGTCTAAAGTAGTCTACACAGACATAAACGATAATAAGTATCACCATTTACAAAGCTTTTCATTGGCATGTCAAAAGAAATTTAAAGACAGGCTTGCTCCATTTAGTGCGTTGTAGGAACAGAAAATTGAAACATGAAAATTTTCACGATTAAAAATTTATTTTTGCTCTCCTAAAAAGTTTGCTTGAGAAGTTAAAAATAGCTAAATGAACAAAATTGATGGAACTTAAATCCTTTCAATACAAAATTGAGATATGCCGTGCACACCTCTGAATCACTTACAGAGTCGGAATTGCACCTCATAAGCACTTCAAGTCTTGTTTAACGCAACAATATGCCTGAATTTTGTTGTTAATATACTACGGCTGTGGTTTTAGGCCTCGCTGACAGATATTATAATATACATCAGGACTTATAGGCATGGAGGGGAACTGCAGTTCGTACAGCCACAGGACAACTTTACTCTTCAATGGTACACAACAGAGCAGATGAGGTAACTTCTGAAAGGTACTAAGGGGATTAAAAATACTGAAAAATCCTACAAGGAGGAAAAAAATGAAGAGCATACCCATTATTGTGTTGCATATAAGTGTGCCTGGATTTTATTTGATTTTCTTTTTCAATCATTTCTGCAAAACCTTTTTGTGTTTCATTAAACGGATCAAATCCTAGATCATCATCATTTCTAATGTGCTGCAGGAAAAACAGAAAAATTAAAAATTAGCGAAAAATAATAAAGAATGAAAGAAAGCAAAGAATGGCCAATTTTTTGTATACTTTCCCTCAACAGTAGGGAGCGCCTATATTTTTGGAAAATTTATCAGTTACAGTAGAACTAAATAAAATTTTAAAAAAAAAATCGGGATAAGGATTTTTTTATGCAATACTAATTTTTCACAATTCTTTTCAAATACCTACGCCAATTACGTATTTTAAATTCAATGTAACATTATCAAGATATGCCATGATTCGAAAGGACAAATGTTGTTTTGGTCACTGAAAGAAAGAGAAGGCGGTTTTTGCAGGATAGTACGGTGAACTTTGGATACGTGTAACCAAATAGCAATGTTAGGATTGTGTCCAGACTGAGACATGCACTGAACATGGAATGTTTTCTGCAGAAAGTAGTCTCCTCTTCTGTCACCAAATCATCATGAACCCGATTCCAGCTTGCTACAATGATGATATGTATTTTAGAGTAAAAAATACCCAGTTAGTGCAGGGACTTTGACAAGACTGACGAAAATCAACAATTTATTGAGGTTTTACTGTGATAGGTCATCATTAGGAAAATATGAGAAAAGCTGAGATTATGTCCAGAAAATTCAAAGTTCCTGATTGATAAAATAGAGGTTTTCTGCACAGTTGTGACGGTAGTTATCTGGGTCTTATGACCTTGGGTTAGCAGTTATCTATCAATTCTTATTTTTTACTTAGACTTTCAACTGCTTTTACCTGTTCATCAGGTTCTTCCTTCTTTTGAATGTGGTTACAAAATGCTGCTTGCCAGTCTTCAGTAGAGTGAACTGGAGGTAGAACATCTGGCATGTAGGTTAAGCCATTTACATGCCAGTCCTCTGTTAAAGATCCACAACTATTGTTAGGTTTTTCAGAGAATGTGTGCGAGGAGAAGAAGGAGTTATTATCTGGCTCAAACAGTGATGGGGGCCGATGCCTGTTTTGTTCATATTGTTCAAGTGGTTCTATTGCTGAAACACATAAAAAATGTTTGTTATAAAAAAACCAGAAAAAAGGAAATTTTCTGTGAAGCTGCAATAGAGAAAGTTATAAAACGATGAAGAGTAAAAAAAGAAAAAAAAAGGCTTTTTTTGACAAGTAATATCTTTGACATTGGTTAAATTAAGTTCAGGCCTATTAAAAGTACTTGATTTGTTAGTCACGTACCTATTAAACTTTGTCCATTACTATGAAGATACAATTTAAAAAAAAATGTATTCACCAAAAATTAGGTAAAGGTTCAAAAAGTCTGAATTTCTTCTAAACTTAAGATCATCTCACAATCTCAAACTCTGCACTGCAGTGAACAACAAAAGGCTTTGAAAAGGACAGTTCAAGTTAAGTAGCCTTTAACTTGATCAACCTTAGGGCAATGAGTGATCTGCAATAAATAATTAATCCATTTTTAAAAACCCTGAAAACAACGAAAGTTGCTTCATTAATGGGTCAGTTGCGCTGGTAACAAAATTGTGTTTGATGCTTGTTTCTAGTAGATAAGCCAGAAATAAGAGCTGTCCAAACTGCAACTTTCAACGTTCAATATTAACCGAGATATCGCCCTTTGAAAGGCGGGTTTTTGACGTCATCCACCGCGGTAGTGACACCTGTGGTTTCTTCCACCTTGCTTTCATCAGTCGCTGTGACGCAAATTTGCACTGGTTGTTTAACGTTAAACTCAGATGAAAGCAAGGTGGAGGAAAGCAAGGGTGTCACTACCGCAGTGGATGACGTTAGAAACCCGACTTTACAAAGGGCGATATCTAGATTAATATTGAACGTTGAAAGTTGCGGTTTGGACAGATCTTATTATGTTTGGCTTAGCTACAAGAATCAAGCATTAAAACACAATTCTGTGACCAGCGCAACTGGCCCATTGGAAGAATATTGATCCAAAGATTCAGGGTGAATTTTCAACTGTATTCTAGTGCAGAGAGACTTATGAATGATCATCATGTCTAATTAGGAACTTACTTTGTGTGTCGAGATCTCCATTGACTAATTGTTGGATAGGAGAACTGGGTTTTTCAATTTCTACAAAAACAAAGAGACGAGAGCAAATGTGAAAATTAATCAAATTTACAGAGAAATAAAAAATAAGGAAAGAAAACAAAATGCACGCCAAATTTTAAATTTGACACTCAGGTTTATTAAGTATCTCAAAAGTAAGGTCTTCAAAAAACTGGTGGCTTATGTATGGTTGCACTAAAAAAAATTCAAAAATACTGTTGGTACTGTACTGGGGTAACTCCTCCCCTTCAAAATACGTGGTCGTCTGATCCACTAATTAGTTTAGTCGTGATTCGGCATTAATTTTTGTCAGAGCGCTCAAGAGGCATTTTCACCACATCTGCTTCGATAAGTCTTCCGATAGTCATTTATGCAAAATACAACATCCTTTTCTGGATGCAAATGGTATTTATTGACATTCATTGTTATATACTAGAAGTGCACGTAAAGGAGGATATGGACTTAAAAAATGTGCACAGATGGTGTTAAGAATCCACATTAGGACCAACCAACATTCACTACAAAGAAAAAGCCGGTTGTCGAATTCTGACGAGTCAAGATCAAACCAACATTCACAACAAAGAAAAAGATGGTCGTCAAATTCTGACAAGTCAGTTATGGAGATAGAAACGACAGTACTTAAAGATCGACAAACAAAAATCAGGAAGCTTACTTTTTTGATTCCTGATGTTTTCCCACCCATCATTAACCTAATTTTGATGGCAAAACTTCTGTACCCCAAAGTGTGGGCTACCTGAGAATATCTTGAGGGCTACGCTGACAAGAGGAATGACCTCTTGAATTCTGTCATTACGTATTGTCATATGTTGTATTTCTGTTGTGGATCCACATGTATAAAACCAAGACAAAGAAGAGGTTGACAAAACTCATGGATTGATAGCATTTTGTCGATGCTGCAAAGGATGATGTGGTTCTGTTCATCCAAGAGGTGGCAGAAGTGTAGTACAACCACTGTCTGCAAGAACTGCCACCACTACAAAAAGGCATCGATTGATATGATAATCAATTGAGGGAATATAGAGAGAATATATACCATAAATACATACCTGTAAAGGTTGTTTGTGGACTGTCACATGAGTTCGGGAGAGAATTATCGTAGTCAAAATCTGTGCTCGGAATTCTTTCTAAATCTATCGCCTGGGTCTGGAGGTGAAGTGTTTCTTTGCAAAGTTTCCTGCAATAGAGAGTGAAAAAGTAAGATTTATTGAATATAATGGAAATATAGAAATCCAGAGAAACATACAAAACCTCCTTTAAATCTCCTTCTTCCAGCCCCTTAAATCAAAACAGTAGATTATTGACAACCATGCCAAACATAAATCTTCATGTAGATAATGTTCCATAGAGCACAACAACTTTTTAAATCAGATTAGTCTTGCTGATTTTAGACATGCCAAATCCTTCTTGGCGATTTATATCTTCAATCATGACAGCAATGTAAATATAAATGCGGCAGACAAGGTTTATGATAACTCTTCAAAAGTAAAACCAAAATCAAGAGCATTCAATGAGTTGAACGATTTCTAAAATTTTTTAAAGCTTTCACACTGCGCCTTAAACCTAGAAATATTTGGGCGCTCACTTTTCCTCTCCTCTACCTGCATGAAGAAGCAATTTTACATTGTACAGAGTATAAAATCATGTTTCAACATTTCAGAAGTTTCTATAAAAAAAAGAAAAATGCTAACCCTCTAACTAGAGGTAAAAACAAAGATGAAAAAACTAGGACTTACTTTTCCTCTGAGCTTTGTTTTTTCTTCCGGTTTTTATCTGAATACGAGTTTTGTTTATAGGACCGTGTTTCGCCTTTGTTGTTGTTGTTTGTTGTGGATATTGAATTTGTAGGGGGTGTTGGAATGAACGGTGTTGGGTCTGCTGTAAAAGAAAAATTAAAAAAAAGTAAGACCATGAAGGATGCTAGAAACCAATATTTAATTAACTGTGAAATAAACAGATATATTTGCCCCAATTTATACCCTGAAATCAGACTCGAAAATTGACCCTGGTCCTGCATTTGGATCGTCTTAGAATCGTACTTGACTTTCCTTCCTAATGCTGTACTGGTAAATTCAAATGACACGACAAATGCAAATAAACTCAGACATAGTTCATTGGCATAGTTTCTCTGGTGCAAGAATAATTATCTGTAGCAGGCAAAGGGTTAAAAAGAGGAAAGTTATCTTGGGTGTTTCTTTAACAATTAGAACCCTTTGTTCAGGGAGATTGGTGTAACTTTTTAGTTACAATGCTTTTGAAATTAAAGGTCTGAATTATCAAGTGGATACTGTTGATATAAGGATACCACCTTAGCTTACAGGCAAGTATTCAGAAAGTTTTTGATCTTCTCGTTTTAAAAACCCCTTTTTCCTCAGGAATTTCAAAGTGATGACCTTTTCAAGGATCTGTAAGTAGATGTAATTGCTGCAAATTGCAAAACGCTTCTGATTTTCATTGGGGTTTGGCAGGGAACAAAAACCTTCCTATTTTTTCAGCTTTCCCATTTTCAAAACCTGTTCTCCCGGCCTTCTCATAATCAAATGCAGCTCTAGCCCGCTCAGTCGTGTAATCAAGAAATTTTGTGTATTCCTGCGATAAACATATACTGATTGAGTCTACTTGATCACATTACCTGGTGGTGAAGCTTGAAGAGAAGGCCATGAATCTTTGCTATTGTTGGTTACTGGTACAGGGGTTGGATTGCTGCTTGTTGTCATTACTGTCGGAGGGGAAGGGTTTGGTTTCCTGAAAGAAAGAAAAAAGTAAAGTCTACAATATAGAACTCTGTATTTTGAGCTGAAGATAAAGTGGGAAAGTGACATATACTTAGAATTGCTTTCCACTGATTTATATGGCAGCTGTGTTTAAACGCATGCTTCAAAAATCACATGTTATACTCTTTTCAAAAATCTGCACCAATTGAAGTTGGGTTAACATCTTAACCCAACTTTAATTGGTGCATCTTAACCCAACTTAAATTGGTGCAGACAATTAACAATTTCCTCATCGTCATGAGGAAAAGGAATTTAATGAGCCACTGGACACGGTAAGAATTAAGCATTACAGCACATGTTTTCTTAACAAAATTTCATGCAGGACACATTAAACATACTGAAAACTTTTAAAATGAACTCATCAGGGGTGCGCATTATTTTAGATCTCGCGAAAAATTTTCGAAATGGTGGAAGCCTTTGCCAATTTAACTGAAGCGCAATCACGCGGAAATTTTTCGCATGAAAATGTGGAAGCCTCCCAGAGTAATTAATTAATAAGAGTAAAAACAGTTCCTGAACAACCGATTACTTACCTACTGTTTGCTGTGGCTGCGATTAATGCGTCGTGGAGTTTTTTCTCGTATTCTTGATGTTTTCCCTGTTGCATTTCTTCCTTGGTGAAACTGGCTTCGGAGTCGCCCATTTCATGTAAATACATGCAATCAGGCTTTGGACAGGTTTGATTTTTCATAAAGTGTGAGCAATACTTGGTTGTACCAAGTGATGTTTTTATCACCCGTCCATCAACGGAAATGTTGTTGACAGCCTGAATAGCCCTCAACGCATCATCCGCTTTCTGATACGTTACGTACGCACTTGCACTGGGCCCCTGAAAAGATGAGAGCAGAAATAGAGCCATGCTGTGACAGTGTGGAGCCCTTGGACTCCTAACAAAGAACAAATGGTTCAAACAAATTCAACGGTAAAAAAGTGAAGCTTTTTTCAAGTATCTATAAAGTAAATCATTTCTAGGCACCTTTAGAAAGCTTGTTCCTACCTACCAAGTGCTTATCCCTCGTCATAGTTAACAAATTATTCTACTTTTATCCCTTCATTATCAGTATCCTCTTGCATGATAAAAGGCAATTATTTAATGATCAGCTGCACGCAGCATATCAACATCCATCGATGCCTAGCTGAACCTCCTAAAGATGAGTAAAAGTTCAAACTTAAAGCAAAGAGGAACATTAAAATTTTGAATGCCAAGTCAGGCTAATGGGCTCAATACAAAGATGCTTATGTGGCACTAGGTCAGGCTTGTAAAGCTGAAACCAGCATTCTCATGTCACCTACTGTCATCTGACAGTGACTGCTTGAAAACTTGGGGCTATTTGAATTTAGTTTTAACTTTTTTCATATTTCACTAAAACTGTTCCTTTTTTTGGCTAGTCTTTCTGGTGCTGTGGGGACAAATATGCCTACAATTTTTTATCTTGGAGTATATTAGGCTTGTCCACTGCAGTTATGTGCTATAATTCTGGGGTGGAAGTGATAAAATGGATTTTTGCTGTGCCTGGACGAGGCAAATGAAAAAGCGTAGTTAAAATGACTGACCTGCGACCCTGCATAGGTTGTACTCTGATTTATGACCACTTTATGAATCTTGCCAAATTTCCCAAAATACTCATGTTTTTTTAGAACCTGAAACAATGAACAATGCAGATAATTTTTTAGGTGTTGAGATAATTTTTCTTCTGAAAAAAAAAAATAAAAAAATAAGGACTGAAAAGCCATTAATGAGAGAACATTTACTAAACTAACTGAAAATTTATAGTTGCAACTATGATGAATCTTATTTTCAGCTACGAGAAAAAAGTTATGCAGAACCAAGTAAATGTGTTGGCTTTTGAAAAAAAACTCGAGATATTGGATGTAAAAAGTTTTCAATTTTTAGAATAACTCATGACTCCAAATATTCATCTAAATCATGATTTGAGAGAAAGCTCTTCTTGAGGGTGATAAAAAAAAAGGAACCCTGCATATGTGTAGAGGGGTAAGAACTCGCAATTTCAACAGTAAGTGACTAATTATGAGAAATTACACAGATGATTTCACCATGAAAATTAAAAATTGTATTAAAAAATGTTTTACAAAATTAACTCACTTGTGACGAAATTCTTTGGTATTAGCAATTTGGCCGATACCAAAGAATTTTGGCTCAAAAGCGTTAATTTGTTTAAATTTTGTGACAGCTTGTGCAGAAAATCTCCCTCATTTTATATTTCACCATGGAAAGTTGTCTTGAGCAAGAGCAGAACGCTTTTATTCAATAAATTTTTGTACGTTAAGTCCAAGTATGGATACTATCTCTGTAACACTTTGTAGTAACTGATGTGAGGTAATCGCTCCTCTTATAACTTTGACAATCTTGAGCTTAGATAAAGGCTTGTGTAAAGGTGTACAATAAATTCATTTAAAAAAGGAAGAAAAAAAATTGGTTTTGCAAGTAACAGAGAAACTTCTTCAAATTTTGTTTTTTATTTCTAGTAATTTTACACCAAAAAAAAAATTTAAGGTTCAGTAAAATATCTAAGTCCTCTCCAATGCCTCCACAAAATGTCTACAGAAGATTAAAATAAACAAGGACAGAACAGCTTACCTCTTGATCTGCTAATCTAAGAGGAAGTCCCACAACGAACACCAAGTTCCTCTGGACAACCCTTACATTAGCTAAATACTTCCTATTCTCTGTTACTTTCTGCTTCCTTAACTGATCCTTCTGCCTTTTTTCTGCTTTCAATTTTGACACTTCTTCTTTTGACAGTGGTTTAAAATCTGCAGGATCCTCTGGATACGCTTTCCGACATGCTGGACACAGCCCATTTTCATCTGTTCGAATGCGATGCCAGCAGAACCGACAAATCTGCACAGCAAAAATGAGAAATTAGGGAGCAAGAAAGTTTTAAATAATGAAAAACAAATTAACAGGATAAAATATTGCATGCCCTCTTAACAATGACTCCTTTTTAAGTCAAATGGATTTGTTGCATTGGTCACAAAATGGTGCTGGGTGTTGGTAATGGTATGGTGTTTCCTTGATAGAATCTCATTTATCTATAAAATAAAAGGAAATCATTCTTCATACCTTGTTTCAACGCCCAACATTGACATGGATACCTCCTTTTGATAACTACGGTGATCGACATCATGTTAACAGAAGTGTGTACCCGGGTCAAAAAATGCAAGAATTTCATACATAAGCCATTGAACTAATAAAACGAAAATGGGACAAAACATGGCATGCAGTGCCATATTCGATGTTTTTAATTTACGGTCTGTTGAAAGAAAATTCTCTGTTAATATTAAACGTGTACATGTTACATTTGGATTGACCTCATTGCTTATTTTACTCTACAGGTTCTGATATAAAATATAATACAGCTGTTGCAAGTTGACTTGCAATCAAATATAACAAGGAATGCGTTTTTTTTTTCCTAATCAGGATTTTCGAAGTTTCAATCTGCTAATTTGTGACATTAAGTTGTTAATTTTAAGAGTACAGATTCAATGAAGAATAAATGAAATAAAAAATTTATTTTAGAACAGTTATTAACGGCAAAAATAATGTCATGCAGAACTGGAGAGATTCTAAAAACAAACCTGGTAACCACATGTGCATGGGAAGAAATTCAAGTCGTCCACTTCCAGTGGTTCCATGCATAATGGACACTCAACCTGTTCTTCTCCGCTTTGATTCAAAAGAGCCATTGCCTGCCAGAAACAACATTAAAAATAATTATTAATGGGATACGACACATAATCGATAATGGAGATTAGCAATGAGTGTAGATAAAGTGAGTAGAAGAAATTCTTGTCTTTCTTTCTTATCAAATACTTAATTGAAATTTGTGAAAACCTCAAATCCTAAAAGATGTTTTGAGAATTCTTTGATATTATTTTAAAAATACCACTGCAGGAAAACACCTTTCTTAGATATTTTCTATTCCTAGCTTCCATAATTTTTTTGAAGGTTTAGAGTAAAATATAAGAACAGATTTTTTTTTTCCAGGTTTCAACCTCCCTCGGACGAGTTTTCAATCAGACATCATGCACCATCTCCGCGTATCATGGTCATAGGTGGTTTATGATCCACAGACCCCATCTGTGTTGAGCAGTCTCCCCCTAGACTGCCTTCCAATTAATTTGAGCGCTTGCATCAATAGATTTCATCTGGTAGAACAAATCCTTCCTCTTCTCACAATACTTTGATACAGCTGATACAGTCGAAGTTCTTTATGGCCAAGTTCCCTCTCCCCTCCCTCCATCCAAATAAATGTCAAGTTGCTGGAACTGATACACACTCAAATTAATTGAAAAAGTATCTACATTTTCAGTAAAAAATGTCATCTTCCCTGAAAAATGAAAGTAGGTACACGTTTTATTGTTGAAAACTTCCATACCATAACAGATGTTACCAAATATACGGATGCATTTTTGGCCATATTGATCTACTTAACTTAATTTTCAAACAAGTTTGTACGATGCATAAATTACCCCCAAAATAATGTCATTAAGTAAAGAATATACCGAAATAATATCTTAAGAAGGTTCATATTTGTCACTTGAGAAAAGGATTTCATTTGATTACCAGAATTATTCATGTCTTGTTCTGGAAAAATTATTCATTTTTTCTTTCATTACCTAGGGGTAAATACACCCTTGGTTTTTAACTAGTGTTCCCGCTTGTCTGTCCGCCCCTGAGTAGATGAGTATTTCTCGTCGCTGCCAGATCTGAAAATTCAGCACACTTCCCATTTAGCACTAAGTAAAATGACTCCAGGTTTTTGCACGCAATCTGGCAACCCTGGTATTCCTGCATCAACTGGGACACTGCTTAAACTACACCAGACAGCCCAAATCGGTAACACACTCATTGCCTTTAGGCATGAATACGGTAAATGTGCTTCCAGCTCTATTGGCAAGGACTGTAACCATTATCAACTATAATAGTTGGACTGATGATACACTGAGCATTGCTGTAGGAACCGATTTTAAGAGGCTAATCAGGAAGTATAGCTGCTGCACGATATTACCGAATACAAAATATTCGCCACTGATGGCAATGAAGCGATCATTAGAAATAAACTCTCGTACAACACACCTGCTATCTACATATTGACTATTTAGCCCCTCCTCACTGTAATAACTTTTAGGATGGCTGTAGTTTGTCGTTATATGCAACAATTTTATTCCAACAAAATCGTCGTTGTCCATGGCATATACTTGTTAAGTACATCACAAAGAACTCTAGTCGAATGAATGGACAGTTGTCAAGTTTTGCTGTTGTTGTTGACTGTATTCAGTACACAGTTACAGCACTACCTGTGAAGAATCCTAGATGGCTACTGAACAACTGTGAAGCAGTCGCTTGAAAACAGATGGTAAACATTGCCGACCTAAATGGCGTAAGTTCTAAGAAAATGTACATGTCAATGATGAAACTACAAAACCGTGCATCTTGTATGAAGTGTTATGGCAGGAAGTCCGCAAAGTTGCAAACCAACATGGATCCATTGGGAATTTCATAGCTTACATTGAAGAGACTTAAGTGATTGTTTCAAGGTGGCAAGGAATTTCCTATTGCACTGAACAAGGTCTGAGATACACTTGCAATTGGAGAAAAGTAGGAGAGAACTAATGTTCAGGAACAGGAGCTAGAGGCTTATTTGCCTTCCTTTGGATTAATTTGAAGAATTGGCCGATCTTAAAATCATTCTCAAAGTGCAGTAATGACAGGTAAGCTGCATTCTTCGCCAATCAGAGGGATGATAAGTGAGGCAGGCATCATTATTCATTCAGATGTGCACTATTCAAAACAGCTAATCTTCACAAGTACAGAGTACTTCATTTATCCTGTCAAATGATTAAGTTGGTTAAAAGGTCTCAACTACAGTGCCAATACACATTGGCAATTTGTAGTGATAAAGTGAGTTGACGTAAATTTTCAAGAGCTGTGACAAGAATTCAACACTAATTTGAATAAGAAAGGGTTGGTGAGGTACTACATTTAGAAAAGCTAGGATAGCATCAGTCTGTACACGCATCTCCTTTGTCCAATTAACTGAAACGCGCAGCCAAATTTAACATATCACTTCTATATGCATGTTAGGATAGTATTGACAATCCTAACTTGGCTGTCTTTGATCAGCTTGGGGCTATAAAGACACTTGCATCTGTGAGTTCTAAATTTTCAATCATAGTTCACTGCTGATTGGCGACAATGTGGCGGGCACATGCGTACTAGCCAATAATGAGCATTCCGTCTCTTCAAATGACCAATACTGGCAATAGGAGTGAAACTGTAGCAGAGCGGCTTAAACTAGGTACTTGTTTAAATCCAGAATAAGGGACATTCGGTAACAGTAATGGTAGTTCTAGTAATTAGGGTTAATTTGTGTCTTCGGCCAGTGTCAACTTAAGGTACCACCAATACTGCCTATCCAGAAGCAGGCTTAAAGTCAAGTATACTTACAAAACGCTGTGGAAGCAGTAAGATGATTAGAGATCACGAAGTGTGAAATTTTATTGGCGAAATATGTGGCAGAATGAAAATTATTTACAATGAATCCTGGACAAAGTGATCAGCTGATACTGAATTAGTGAAGTATTAACCTCAACTGCTCATAAAATATGGAAAGGATCATAAAAGCTCAAACTGAAACTTACGATCGAACGATGCAGGGAAATGTGATTCAGAAGAAAGTGCTAAGTTTGGACGTTCAATGTGTAAAACAGTTAGAAAAACAATGAAAGTGTAGGCTCAGGTACATGAATGGTAGCAATATTGAAACGGACTTCGACACTTCAAGATGTTCCGAGAGAGGTTATTTCCCACAAATTTGGGGAATACCTACCGCTAATGACACTAATAAAACCTTCAAGAATAAAACTACGGGTTTGTAATCAAGTTGAATACGTTAAATGGCAACCTTAAGTCTACGTAGGCTAGAAGTTAGGCTTACAGAACAAAATATTTTGCTCCAGCAGACAGACCGGAAAACCCGTTGACTGAAATAGTACGGCACGAAAGAAATTGAGTTACTTAAAAATTACTGTTGACTTAAAACTTTGTTTCGAAACTGGGAGACACTCGGCTTACTTACGAATAAAATTTTAGCAACACAGATATAACCAGGAAATTTTGGATCAACGAAATAGACTTCATGCGCAGGTATTGGCGCAACAAGATGAACTCGGTTGGTCAAAATAATGCCAAAAAAACAAGAAACCTCTACTTACCATACATATAAGTACCGTATTTTATTTCGTGAAAAATCTTGAGAATTGCTTCAAAAATGAATAAAATAAGAGAATGCAGATATTACGCTATTAAAAATAAGCTAATCATTTGCCACGTATGGATCACAAATGTGTGGCAACGCTTTTAACTCTAGTAGTACTAGTGTAGTGCATGTTGCATAGCTACTAAAAATTCCTTCAGACTTTATAGAAAGCCCTTTGTTTTCGGAATGTCTTCATTACACCATTTGGACTGCATTTTGCAATTTGGAACTATAAATTCTGGCTCTTCTGGAAAAACACTTATGTGCAAAGGGAAACTGATGGCACATACGTCGTCTTTAAACCGGGCAAGAATTTATAGTTCCAAATTGCAAAATGTAATCCATTTAGAAGTACCATTACCTCCTTACCTGGCGCTTTGAATAACGTACATGAAAATAAGAATTGCATTATGCACCGCCCGTCTTACAAATTATTGCAAACTATATTTTAGCAATCATGGTCATAGATTCGTAGAGTTAATTTTCAAGAGTTGTACAATAATGGAAAGTGAACAGGAAACGAAGGGCTATGCTATACATATGATGAACTTTGAGGGGCTCATGTCCAGTTTAATCCCTAAACTTTCGGTATGAAGATGACGAAGGGAGGAGAGGGGATTAGGTCAATATAAATCCAGTGCAAGTCTGAACAAACATAAAATGCGTTAAATAAAGAAAAAAATAAGATCAGCAGTGACAGAGTCGCACCTAATTTTTGTGAGCAAAGTGACAAGATTCGAATAAGTATGCGCTGGTTACCTACTGATTCTTAAGTTCAGAGAAAAAACTTCGTCAGAAAGTTTGACAGTGGCTGGGGCATTAAGTGAGGTCGTGTTTAAAGTATTATCCAAGAAATGGCTAATTACTTGTGTGCTCTCTTATTTTGAGCTGCTCACACCTGGCACGAACATAAGACCCATGAAAGGGGGGGGGGGGGCACCTTACGCGTTTACTCGCATTTGGAACATTTTTCGTGAAAGCCCTGTCAACACTAGCAAAAGTTCACGGAACTTTGCTCGAAAATTAAGTTCCGTAGACCTATCTCTGTGTGGACGATGCCTTTCATTACGACAGAACGAAAAAATTATGAATAAGAATAAACATGAATGTGGTCTAATGATCTTGATTTCCGCCACCGTGCCAACCGCACTGTGTTCGGCGCAATGCGTGAAGTATCCCTACAGTCTTGTAGGCGCTATGCGTTTCACGCTGACCGCTGCGCTGCTGACCAAGTGATCGCGCACTGTTTTTGACGCAATGCGTGAGGTATTCATGGAGTCTTAGGCGCTAATAAGTGTTTCATGCTGACCGGTGCGCCGATAGGGCTTCTCCTTTTCATCTCAAGTTATCGCCATTTTTGCTTAGGTACTGCGCCGCGCCGCTCCAGGCCAAATAAATTGCGTGTTTGCGGTTTCTCTCTCAACTAGACTGATGAAAGGTAGATGAAAGGCGCTGTCTCTTTGTATCACCGAAAGACGAACAAATTAGAAATTACTATAGTAACTCTCAGGATATGAGAGATTTTTTCGCCTTCCCTCATCTGTACGTGATTTTTCTTCTAAACCAGATTTTTTTCTTAATACCTAAATTTGAAAAAATTACAACATTTGCCGCCATGGGCCGCGGCTCATGGCCAGCCCCTTAATCCGGCCCTGCAGGCAGGAACACGCGGCTTCAGCAGGGGTCAACTGTAGCATTCCCCCGCGACCCTCCGAGAGCGGTTAGCTGTTCCTCTCAAAATCATAGTTTTTCAAACAAAACGATTTACCTAGATGGACATTTTTCCATAAATACTTAATGCATCGATAAACTGTTTTTACCAGAAGGGCTTGCAAGGCAAGTGAAATAAGTGCAAGTTTTGAGTTATTGTTAAAAAATTAAGATTTAAATGACTTCAACTTTAACTATATAGTTCTACCATATATTCTGTGAAAAATTCACTGCAGTAAAATCCAAGTTTAAAGCATCAAAAAGTAAATTTGAACTTTCTTTCTACCCTACTGAAGGCTTTATGTAATTTATTGAAACGTATTAAATTCTTGTTAGCAAAAACTGCACTCACCCTGCTTCTGCTTGTCCTCCAAGCCCCCCAAATGAAGTTTCACCATTTTCACTTTTACCTGTCTTCAAAAAAAAGAGAGCTAGTTTTTTTCAAAATATTTCAGGGATTATTTTAACTAAGTAACCGAAAGAAAATTGTGTATTATTTCATAAAATAACAACCTATTGTTTCCCTGTAATATGATTGGATTCGGCAAGGAATTCAACAAGTTCCAAACCAAAATGTGCTTTTTTTTCCGTTGTAGTTTACAGTTTTGCTCGTTTTACTACTGGTTTAAAGTGGCTTAGGAATAGTCGATTTGGGGCTACCGATGCAAATTTTTTCCCCACAGAAATCACCCATTTGGAATGCAGTAATGGGACCACTTGTATTTCAGATAAAGAGGCTCTCTTTTCCTAATAATTAAGACCTAAGTAAATAGGTATTACATATCTGTATATTAAGCATTTCATTTCCTGCGGCCTGCTTGTTGAAATTTATGTCATGCAGCTTGACAAGACATTAATAATCGATTTCGACGGAGTAAGTCGGCAATCACATAACTTGTTTGCAGTGTCTAAAAATCTCCGCCTCTGTATTACTTTTTTAAAAGAGGACAAATTGACATCATTCTTTGAAATTTATTCGCACAGAGAAGAAAAATCAAGGCAGTTTTAAAGAAGTGCTGTTGAGTAGTTTTCCGTTCAAAGAATTAAGTATGACAGGAAGTCTGCGACGTTGCGAACCGAGTTATGTGATTGCCGACTTACACCGTCGTTATGTTAAGCAGCATAGGGCCATGTCTTGTCTTACCTAGCCGATAAAGCCAGGTAAACTTTCAAAAATGTTGGCTGCTGTAGGAAATTAAAGACTTTAAATCATGCAATTCTCATCTCTGTTGAGTTCTCATACAGCATGTTAAAAGAATAGAATTTATGTACTAAAAATTTACATTTTATTTCAATTTATGTTTACAAAAAAGTTGAAAAAAGAACATACCTTAAATTAAGGAGATATACACATATTGAAGAGAGGAAACATATGATGATACAAGAAGCTGACTTTTACTTCATCCCTGGTGACTTTTAGGAACCATAGACATTTATGTTGTCATAGCTATGTTTAGTCCGTCCCTTGCAACACCGCAGTACTTACCCATGATTAATTTTGAATCACTGCTCAAATCAACTTAAAATTTTTTATGGTTCCTAATTGCCTCTCAATTTCACAGATGATTAGAGACCTGCGAACTAATTTAAACCCCTAATACCTCATGAAATGTTCGTAATCTCTAGGGACGAAATAAAAGACTGCTAATAAGTAGCTAATTGATCAGGGGTGCAGAAAGTTCCAGGATTCCTCTTAAATTCCATTAGAACTGGGGAAAGAAGAGAAGAGACAGAAGTCACATCAGTCTGGATGCATCAATCATCAATTGGCCCATTGGTTAGCATTTAAGTATCTGTTGAATGGTGCAATTTTTGGATGTGACTTTCGTCTCTTCTTTTCTTCTCTCAGTTCTAACCTTTCTCCATTTTTGGCTTAAGTAAATATATGGTCGCTTCCCCTGAACTTATAACCCAAATAATCAGCCTTCCTCATTGCTACATCGCTATGTTTCAACAAAATACAAGCATGATTTCCCTGTTATCGAAGAGGCTTCTCCAATACTCCCCAATTTTGCGGAGGTTCCCCCACTTCACATGACTGGGCCGATTGCTAGGTCCGGAAGTTTCTGCACCCCTGCAATTAGTGCGCTGCCAGTTACCCTACAAAAAAGGAGTCACAAGAACTGTCAGAACATGGGTACATACAAAGTTTCAGTCAACTCATAAAATGTTATAAATCTTCAATCTGCACGTTACTTCATTACAGGTGGCATCATTGGGGGTCTCATTGGACCCATGGGTCCCATCATTGGGGGCATCATTGGTGGCATTGCTCCAGGTGGCATCGCTCCAGGTGGCATCGCTCCGGGTGGCATAGCTCCTGGTGGCATCATCATTGGACCCATTGGTCCCACAGGTGGACCCACGATAGGACCTGGTACACCAGGCGGAGGAACAGGAGGTCTAATTGGACCGCCAGCTTGCAAACTCGGTGGAGGTGGGATCGCTGCTCCTTTGGCAAATGGATTGGTTGCAATTTTACCTGCTTTAAAGGCCGCTGTCGTGGCATCGATCAAGTTTTGGGCTTGCTCCTCCATCCATTTCTGATAGTAAAATTTAACATTGTCTTTGTGTTTTCTTCCTTGACAGTGGGTTGTTCTGACAGAAGGAGAATCATGGGTCAGATAAGTGTCACAATAGTCACAATAATATTTCGGCATTGTGGGATTTAAATTCTATTAAGTATGGAAAGAAGGATGTTGAATGCACTGAGTAATTATGCTCACAATTCACGGGAAAAACGAAAAACTCTGGGCAGGTAGAAAAACCAGAAACGTCCTTACTCGCGGCTGGGCTGAAACATCAACACAGACACAGAGAACACAAGAGGAGGAGATCGGAATAATCGTTCATTGTAATCCGCCATCTTGAAAAATATGTCATGTCGCTTCTTATTGGCTGGTCAGTTCTGGTTGCACTAACACTTGCCTTGCTGCTTTGAGTGTAACACACTCACATTCTCACACGTTTTGCTATCCACAACTTCAAAACGGTGAAGTTCCATACCCCACTGCATATTCTATAAGTCTATGCAAAATTCTTTCAAAGGTTATGTTTACGTTCATGTTCGGTTTGTGAATTGTGAAATTTCTGATCAGTGATAAGATAAGGGACTGACCAAACCAGGAAAGAGAAAGAGTAATGAGAGACGGCATGTTACGATTCTCTCGTATTCAGGGAGTATTTGAATTATATTAGAAAAACTAAGAATTCAAACTGAGGAAATATAATGGAAAATGAAGGACTTTTAAGGGTGGTCTACTCGATCAGCCGTGGTCAACATTGTAATCTTTTTTAGCGTTGTCTTTAACGTCTTCACATCTTATTTCATATTCAGCTTCCGAAGTAGTCACTAAGCAAACTGGAGAAGTTTTATTTTAACCATCCAAAAACCTTCACGGTACCAGAAACATGCAGGTATATATTTCCATAACGTACTTTTCACGACATATTGACGGTCAAAGTGGGAAACTGTGTATCTCCATTGCGGTGTTTCAAAATGTGTTGCTCCTGCTTTACATTTTGAAGAGAACCATGCCATTTTTATTTCTTGAAATTTACACAGAATATTTTGTCAACAGAGAAGAAAAATCAAGAAAATACGCCAAGACTGAATTTCTGAAGAAAAATCAGAGTATGACAGGAAGCTTGCCGTAGTAGCAGTGGCTGTTGAGATTAGTTATAAAAAAACTCGTATAGAAGAAAACTTAAAATTTACTTCAAAACCGCTTGAAAATTACGTAACAAAAACCCTTGAAATATTCGTACCAGAAAACCCTTTTTGGGGCATCTTTTTACATAAAAAAGAAAAATTTTAAGTAAACTTTTTATCGTAAATTTTAAGTAATATTTATGTATTTTTTTTATAAACTGCCTGCTGGCTAAAACAAGGAAAAGAAAGTGGTGAACAGAAAAGTATAAAAAGAAAAGTTGCAGCCCATAAAAATTAAGGATATGGTTTGTTGGTTTTCACGTAAATTTTACGTCTTCTTTTAACTAAAATAACACTATTTTTTTATTTAAAAGAATTCCTCAAAAGGGTTTTCTTAAACGAGTATCTCAAGAGTTTTTTTACTTAAAATTTACAAGTTTTTTACATTTTTTTGACAAATTTTTGTAGAATTTTTTTAAGAGCTATTGCTAGGGTGCAACATCGCAAATGGAGGTTCATGATTGAGTACGCACTTTGGCCATGAATATAGATCTCAAATCAGTTTTTTTTGCTGCCTTCTTGGTTTTCAATCCAAGTCAGTAGGGATGGATGAGTGCAAAATGATTGGTGCGATATTAGTGCGATATCATTGGTCCATCACAGAAATACCTTACTCCCAAGTAGCATTTTTCAACGGAACAATCACGATTTGTTGCGATTTTGTCGGTGATAAAATCGCTAAAATCATCAACATCTGAGCGATTATCCTTGATCTTATTGCAGTAAAATCGCGATTTAATCGCCCGGCAATTTATCGCGATATTATTGCAACAAAAATCGCGATATATGGCAATTTAATCTCAATTTTATTGACAAAAATTGATTGCAATTTTATTGAACAAAAAATTGCGATGCATAGCGATTCAATCGCCTTAAATCGCAATTTTTTAATCGATAATATTGCGATAAATTTTCACTGATGGAATCGCGATAATCAACCAATAAAATCGCTATTTACTGCGATCACTGCTACTTGGGCTTTTCCGCTATTTGTAAGTCAAGGAAATCTTTTTCCTTAGTCAAACAATAATCCTTAATACCTTGAAGATTTACCATTAAAAAGAATAGAGTAATGACAGGAATTTTTAATGTGAATTGGAGGTCTTTTAACTTTTTGCTCTTAAAACAATATGGTCTGAGTTCAACATAGACCCATTTTCAAAAAGTTATGTTTAAATGTCACTCCAAAAATCATTTGAAAATATGGACATGGAGATTTATTCTTGTATGGTTTACACATTTTCCTGCGTTCTCGTTTAAAATTTGACACCAAAGAGTAGGTACATATTTTCTAAGGGTCAAATTCCAGAGATTACCTATTTGTGATTTCAAGGAACTGAATTGTTTGAATTTTCAAAGGGTTAAAATCCTTGGCTGTATCTCATAAGAATGAGGATGTCTTCAGGAGCCGGTGCTTTTTTTCATGTTATCAGAAGTTGATAGCATGTAAATAGCAAAGATGTATTAAAACCTGTTTAATCCTTCTCTTTTTGCAGGAAAACATCAGATTGCGTCAGAGGTCCAATCGGTATGAAGTGGAGGAATCTCGAGAGGATAGAGAGTACTCCAGTGACTCTGTGCCTCCTAAATGTTTAACTAGAGTGAACCAATTTCCAACACTTGGAGGACTTGCTGTCATTTGCTCTCTAGCATACCTTGCATTTTATCTTGGAACATATCTTAACTATCGGTATCCAAAACCGTTAAATGTTGATGATGTTGCAAAGCAGTCCAACCAGTAATTACTTATTTTTGTTCAATTTTAGTGACTCATATTGCATTTTATCAATTAGCTGATTTAGATTAGATTACTGTCTTTTTCTAGTTATCAAAGTATTCACTTTAAGAACACTTGCTTTTGTTCTATAATGAAGCTCATTAAGAGAAAAACTCCTAAACTCAAGTGCGTTCAAGGAGTGTGTTGTCAGTAAATTTTAGACATAACTTCCAGTTATACATGATTAAATATCATTGATCAGCAGTCCACTTTACAGTCTTTTAAAAGAGGCACTGTTAACAGGGCTGAATTTACCTATTCACCACCTATAGTTGGCACACTCACGTAATTGCGTAAAACGAACTTTCGTTTGAAAGTTCGTTTCGAAAGTTTGAGTGTAAATAGTTTTATTTACACTCAAACTATGTGTTTAAAGGGAGGCCACGAGTTTTCTACAGGATATCATGGCTCCCTGTAGGGATTTTCAAGGATCTTCACAGTTACTCTTGGTGTTAGAGGTTTTTAACAACTGAGCAGTACTTTACTTTATACCTTGTCTGAAGGCTTGACATAAAATCTAATCTCAAAAAGAGCTAAAATTTTCAGATGTTATCATCTACCAAACTAAGCATGATTGATGATGAGAATTTTTTAATTTTTCTCTCAGATTTATTGCTGAAAGAGCTTACGCTGATCTATTCAAGTTGGTGAAACTGGGGCCTAGAGTTGCCGGAAGTCAAATCAACAATGTTGTGGCTACCAGGATACTAACAAATGAATTGGAAGCAATTAAAGCGCAAGCAAACTCGTTTAACAACATGACCATTGATGTGAGCCACTCATCAGAAGAAGGGTACATTCAATTTGGGAGTAATGGTATGGTCACAAAATTTAACGATTTAGTCAATATTGCCGTAAAATTTGGCCCGCATGATGACCGGAAGAAGCTACTCGTCAACTGTCATTTTGACTCTGTTTACACGAGCCCTGGTGCCAGTGATGATGGTCTGAATTGTGCTGTCATGCTTGAAGTGTTACGAGTGTTATCCAAAAGAACTGTATCTATGAAGCGAGACATTATTTTTCTTTTCAATGGTGCTGAAGAAACAAGTATGCAGGTGAGTCCTTACATTTGAAGAACCTTTTTTCCTCAATGTCTCTCACTATTACCTCCAATTTGACATAAAAATTGGTGTATTTTAAGTAATTGAATTTAAGAATAGGTATTATCTGGATTTGTCTCTCTAGCACCATTCAAAATTACAAATTAACTTGAACCTCCCTCATACCATAAAAAAAAAAAAAACTAATCCGGCTCTAAAAATTTTAAATGGTTATATCAAATAATGTGATACACATTTCATTAAAGACCACACCTATTTCTTTTTGCCTCTATTAGTATGTCATTGTGAAGAGCTTTCTATTTCGATCATTCTATCTTAAGTCAGCTTTGTAAAATACTTTATTCCCTAGAACTGAGCTTTGAAGTCACAAATGACAGGGTGTGTATGATACCTATACCAGAAAATACCATGCTCTTGTCAGAAATTCTTAATTAATTTGAGAATACCATCTAAAATAAAATTAGTACTTATAGAGCTTATTGTAGCAATTTTGCATTTGTAGCACCATAAAACTACGCAATCTTATCTGACATGGACTCCATTACTGTCAGTTATGCAAAGTAATTTTGACTTAACTCCATCATGAACATTACTCTTTTATAATTAAAGTTTATTTCCTATCATCTCACTTTTTATCAGATCCACCCTCGTTATCAGATGTAATCAAATCTTTCTGTAAGTTACAAGATTTGATGCTTCATTAGCAGACTCAATCTTATTCCAGAGGATGATTTTACAGCTATTCTTGGTCTTAAATTTCAGGGCTCTTATGCTTTTATGAAAACTCACTCTTGGGCTGAAGATATTTTTGCCTTTCTCAACTATGATTCCTGTGGAGCAGGTGGAAAAGAGATACTTTTTCAAGCAAGTACAGAGCATCCGTGGATGGTAGAGGTAAAAAAGTGACTCAATTGAAAATTTTGCAAATAAAATGGTAAAACCTATTACATGAAATTTGTGCAAGTTTAAGTGAACGTCGATCCACAGTGATCCACACAAGGTCATTTTCGTCCGTAGCATGCAATGCCAAGTAACAGCATGCAGGATGATGAAATTCCCTTGCTTTTACTTGTTGTTACACACTGTGGACCAAGGCAATCTTGCGCAAATCATTATGGATTTATGTTTACCTTAAGTCTTACAAGGGTCTATTTCAGTGAGGAAAACAGTTTTTTATAGAAGGGATTAAAGGTTTGAAAAAGGCTGAAATCAAACAATTTGTAATCATTGATACTGTGTGACAGAGGTTTATCAAAGTTAAATTGTACATATAATATTTCATTAACGATGTTTTTTTTTTTTTTTTTTTTTTACTTCTTATAGGTTCAATTACAATGCTGATAAATCATGTATTATCAAAAGCCATTCATCCCCTAATTGGCTCTTTATTCTTTCATTCTCCATTCCTCATTCTGCCTCCAATTTTCAAAGTTTAATTGACTTTCATTGCTACTAATTTTTGCAGATCTACTCAAAATTTGCAAAACATCCATTTGCATCTGTCGTTGGTGAAGAATTATTTAACTATGGTGTGATTCCATCTTACACAGACTATCAGAACTTTCGAGATCTTGGTAAACTGCCTGGTAGGTCAACATAAAACATTCTTTTAATACCAGTCACCTCATTCTAACTGTACATTTTTGATAAGTATATCTTTTTTAGTGAAAACTAGAAACACAAGAGCTTTCCCCGCTTTTAGGCTTTCTGTGAAGCTGTACTTATCTCTTTTCATTTCAAGGTTTATTTAACTTAGCACCTTCACTCTCTATTATTTTTTCGTAGATTTTCTCTGTTGTCTAAAGTCCTTTTTGCACTAGTGTAATGGATAGAGGTTGGTAGGTTAGTCAAAGTAAGCTGGTTGGTTGGCTGACAAAGTGGTCTATTCCAGGGTTTGCTTTACACGCAAGATACGAGGTGCTCTCCTGCAGCACTGCCTATACATATAGCTCTAACGCCACGGGGACTAAGTGCTCGTATGGGTTGTTGATTCGTCGATACTGATATCACCAAAACTAGGAGCTCTCATAACTTGTTGCCAATTTGTGGAAACTGACATCACTGGAATCAGGCGTTCCTATAAGTCTCCTGGGATAGACTGCCACAAATGATAACTGATTGATGAAATAATTGAAAAAAATTGAAAAATTATTTATATTGTGTTATATCAGAAATGAAATTTTAATTTCAGGTCTCGATTTTGCTCATTTTACAAATGGATATGTATATCACACAAAATATGATGACATCAATCTGATAGATAGAGGTGTCTATCAAAATACTGGCGACAACATGCTAGCCTTGGTAAAAGCCTTCACGGACGTTACTGATGAATCATTTGTTGCTGAGAAATTTGATGGCAAGAAATTAGTGTACTATGATTTTTGCGGTTTAGTTGTGTTTTACTATTCACAAACAACCAACACCATCCTGAATCTGGCTATTATCTTGTTGATATTTTATAATGTATTGCAGAATACGTTTGTAATTACAGAAGGTAATTTTAGTAATTTTATACTTCCTATGCCTTCTTATTTCTTAGAATGAGAATATACAAGAACAGAGGGTCAAAGAAGTTGAGAGATAAATCAAGTTTCAAAATGAGAATATGAGGGTCAAAGAACATTGGAAAATTCAGGATTGTTGCATTGGGTAGTGTGATCTTGTCTCTTGAATGTGCTTTAAAGAGAGAGTAAAAAAAAATATCTTACCTTACATTAACAATAGTCAGCTTTTATGCCTAGAATTTGATGTCTATAAAAAAAATCTAGTACATTCCATAAAAAAAAATTTATGTACTTTCAAGTTGGTTAGAGAATTCTGCAAGACATGCAATTAAAAGAAAAAAAGCCTGTCAATCTAAGAGCATTGAAGCAGTAACAGCACCAGTTTACATGGAACAAGTTTTTTAAAAGAAGGGTACTTCATTTGTTCCACGTAACCCCACTCACAGTGTTTGACTTGGTTCCTATTTTAATAAATGCTTTGTTATAAGCAGTATAAGTTTGTTTCACCGATCTGAAAATTATTACTGAATTGCTAAGCTGGATTTCCTCATATCTTCATTGAAAGCAGCGAACAAATTTTTTCGACACATTTTTAGTTTCAAATTATGTAAATTGTTTTAGCAAGGATAATTTTTTTTTTTTATCTTCAAACTATTGCATTGAACTTTTTGTGGCAGGCCTGAAACGAGTGGAAATGATGAAACAGCTAGCGCTGGGTTTTGCTATGCCTCTCATTGGAATCATCATGGCTCTCACGAGTGTGACGATCATCGCTTTTGAAATGAAATACTTGTCAAGAACTATGAGTTGGTTCACGCATGGTTTCTTATTGTTGCCTTTGTATGGACTTCCAGTTGTCATTTGTCTTGTCCTCCCTATGTTGTCACTGACTTCCTATAAATATGTGAGTTTTATTTTTTCTATAATTTTTATGTTGGTCTCTGACTTTTTTTGCATTGAGGAAATTTTTTTAAATGAAAAACATACCTGGTGTGCCTCTTATTTTCTGTGTTATGTTCTACCTAAAGTAAAATTATAGTCCGATTTTCTTTCCCTGTAAGTTTCATACAAAACAGGATATTTTCATAAAAATGCAAGTCTTTCCCATTGGATTTCCTATTTTTTCCCACTTATTTGAGCTTATATTGAGCCTATGTTAAGCTCATTTGCCTCAGATGTAAGATATAAAACCAACAGCCACTGTGGCAGGTTTTTTTAAATATAGATTCTACATTGCAGTCCAAAGCATCACTTATTTTTCACTTTTTTCAGAGTAGCTTATGCTGGGGTAAACAAGTTCAAATGTACATGAATGGCATTCTTCTCATCATTAATCTCCTATTCTTGCTGGGAACTATGGCTGGTCTGAGGATGACATTTTTATTTTTCGTGTCTCTGATCACACCCAGCATTGCCAGCTCAGCCTTAGGATTTTTTAATCGTCAACACTCAGGTATTTGTCCCATAAACTTTTATCCTCTCTCATGAACATTTGAATCAGGATGAGTTTGAAAACACACCAATTCAGGTTTTTTTAGATTTTCACTTTTTTACGTTTCAGTAAAACTTATGGATAGAAGCATCTGCACGCAAAAGGAAATTTCGAAATTGCAAACAGAAGTGCTCGAAACAGCCTTGGGAAAAGGGAAAAATCGAAGTATTTCATTGGAAATACCTATTTTTGGTCATTTCACGGGAAACGGGTGACCATCCGATTTTGATGTTTTCTTTTTTCGGTTCAGTATACATTGTACCAACTAGTTATATAAATATTCAAGCGTTATTCAGGTCAAAAAATAACAAATTTTCAGGACGGACTATAAAAAATCAGTATCTGAAAGTCGGTGAGAACGAAAACACACCAACTCGGAAATTTTTAAACGTGTAATTCTCTGTCATCAAACATGGTGTATCAATTTCAACTTGGTGCTTTACAAAGTCTCTAAGTACTTGTCCTTTGGTACCAAAAAGGTTTTTCTTAAACCAACTTCTTCACCCGCTGCACAGTTTTAGGTGTTTCCTGAAAATTTTTTTTTTTTTAGTTGGTGTGTTTTCGAACTCACTGATTCATTTGTCATAACTAATACTCTTACAAAAACAAGATGTGTTTCAATACAGTTAATTAATCCTCTATTTCTAAATATTTCATGATACTGTTTGTTGGTCAGATTGCCCCTGTTTCCCTCATCCAATTGGGTGCTTTTCCCTCTGTTTTTTAATAAATTTTCTTCATACCTTTATATTTACTCAGACAAAAGTCCATTCCATATCATTTTGGATAAAGTAAAGATAATAAGATGATGGTATCATTAATCTGGAGGAATAATTCTGGTCATTCAAAGCCCAGAAACACCCATAAATTCTATGAAGTGTAATTTTCAATGTATTTTAAAATGTAAGAGGAAAATTTGAGATTAAATGAGAACGCCGTAAAAATTTTGAAATGAAGTCAGCTGTCTAATGCTTATTACTTAAAAGTTTACCCAGTCATTACAAAGAATGTGCTCAAATTCTCTTACGCGCTTTTCAGTATGAAAGATACTGATACGAATCTGTTAAAATGAAAATTACGTATTACTGAACTGAATTCTGTTTCTTCAATGCCTTTTCTGCCTCAAAAATTTTCCTGCTGGAGTTGAGGACTGTTTCTCCTTGACCTGTTATAGATATTGATTTTTGCAAAATGCTGTTCATCGGTAACCACAATTTTCTAAAGAGCGTAAAGTGTTCAAAGAAGATAAGCGTGAACTTTTTCTAATTGACTTTAATAAAGATATCACATCACCCTAGTTTTCAGATGTTGTAAGCTTTTGCCATTAATAATTAATGGACTGAAAATGTGTACTTATTATCCTTTGAATTCAATATCAAAGGGTGACTCTTTTTTCCACTTCATTTAATTTTTTACATGAAACTGCAGTAGTCACTCAGAGTGGAGTAGTAGGGAGTACACTTCATCAATAACATTAATTTTTCATCTTAATTGCAAGGCAGTGCCCTTAATTCTTGCCTCCTCTCTCCTTTTCAGTTTCTACGTGGCTCCTTGTGTATATGCTAAGTTTTATTCCTCATATTGTGAATACCATTAATATGAGTGCACGTATTCTGAATCTTTTCATACCACTGATGGGTCGATTTGGACCTTCCCAGAATCCGGATTTGTTTGTTGGAATGTTATTCTCTCTTGTATTTATTTACATTATTATTTTCTTGGTAAGTGATTTTAGATTTTGTTTCTTCATCATTTTTAACTTGCGAATGTTTGCTTTGACTTGCTTAACATAACAGGAAGCAGCCTGTCGGGTTCATTTCCTAAGCATCCTACAAATTTTTTTGCCCAGAAACTATTTAATTGTCAAATTTTAGCTTCCCCTAGAAGGTCTTCAAATTATTGAAACCAATTATCAAAATAGTCAAAGCATTGATAAGGTGATACGTTCTGGTGGAGCTCATTTGTGTTCAAATAGACATCGTATCATATTTAATGAGTCATATCATCAACAGCTGAATAAAACACCCATTTGGAAAATCAAAGAATTCGGCGCTGGCTAAATTTGGTCATTATTTGATATGATGTCCCCTCCGTCCTCCTGAGTTTGATGAGGTTTTAAAGTCGAACTTTCTCTGTGCCACCCTTGAGAACTGCAGGGCTAGCAAGTGAATTTGTCTGCATTTTCACACGCATCATTTATTTGAAATGTTGAAATATCTGATATGTGATCAAAGAGAGCTTTTGTTCCCTTGCTAATTGAGAAGATGAGACATATGAAAAGAATCCAATTCCTCTGAATGATAACATTGTGAGGCACAGTGTCTGTACCCAAGTAGTAGTGATCGCGATAAATAGCGATTTTATCGGTTGATTATCGCGTTATATCGGTGGCAATTTATCGCAATATTATCGAATAAAAAATCGCGATCCATGGCGATTCAATCACTAGGTATCGCAATTTTTTGTTCAATAAAATCGTGATCAATTTTCGTCGATAAAACCGAGATTAAATCGCCATATATCGCGATTTTTGTTGCGATAATATCGCAATAAATTTCCGGGTGATAAAATCGCGATTTTATTGCAACAAGATTGAGGATAATCGCTCAGATGTTTATGATCTTAGCAATTTTATCGTCGACAAAATCGCAACAAATTGCGATTTTTCCGTTGTAAAATGCTACGTGGGTAGTTGCATAGCAGCAGTCCCACTTGTCCGTAAGAGGGCATATGTAAGGGCACTGAAAACCTGAAGACTCTTGTCATGCCTCCAGTAAGGAGGAAAATCCTCTACTTACAATTTCCCTTGATCACAACTTTTGACGGTTAACGCTCATATTCAATAGCTATTGTTGGTGATAGTTGTGATACCATTAACATTCAATTACCGCTTATTTATAACAATAGGTGCAGAACCCTCCCTGACCAAAGATACCAGCACCAATCTTGTTTTTTAAACATGCTGGAACTCCAAACTCAACTACATGCTCTCACAAACTGCTCTTAGCAGGATGAAGGTTGACTTGTTAAATCTTTAAACTGCACCAAAATTCATCAATATATCTCAACATTTGTTGCATAGGTGTGTATAGTTTTGCAGTGCTGTGACCTTTTATCAGCAAAATTTTTCTTCAACCTGTTAGCAAATCATGCTTGGACATTTAGCAATAAATTGTGTTTATTGCTAAACATCATCATTATTAAACATCATAAATTGTGTTTTTCAAAGTCCAATAAACCGTTACAAAGCTAATGATGTCTACTTCAAGGATTTTCTCAAAGTTCGTCAAAATGTCTTTTTGATTAAAGTTTTGAGCTTACCAATCAGTTATCTCTCGTATCAAACGCTAGTCCAACCATGTACTTATCACATACAGAAGAGTGATACAACTTTCCATTCTTTAAAAATAAGATTAGTGTTTGTTTCAAACTGTAAAAAATTTTGAGAAATTCCAAGGAATCTGTGAAAAAGACCATTGTAAGGTTTTTGTTCAATCTCCTTAATTTTAATCAATAGCTATCAATCACAGTTATTTGTAAGATTTGTTAACTGCTCTGAAAAATAGTTTTTTATGTTTCAGATTCCAGCATTTCTAATGATTGCAAAGCCTTTTACCTTATTAGGCGCCTTGTTGGTTATCCACATAGTATCTTTGACTGCCATCATTTTCACACCGATTGGCTTTCCGTATGGCAATGATCCTCTTGCTCCAACTCCTCAGCGTTTTTCTGTGATAGTGAGTTTCTTTTGTTTGTTTACCTTTAAGAACATGCAAAGGGTGTAGCACAGGTTTTCAGGTCTCAAAGATGGAAATGGACCTCAATTCCAGGCTAGCAGAGACTTTTATAGCCTCTGTGACATCGTCGATCACGCTTTGAGTTGTAGAGTTCCTGTCGTTCGGCTTGGCTGTCTCCAATCTTGTCGATCAAGTAATCAAGGGTTTAGATAAGAGACAAAAGTAGTGAATCAACTAATAGAGGCGTTTTTGAATTGAAACTGAAGAGAAACATGAATTTGAAACTATGTTGAAACTGAATGAATAAAATTGAAAAAAATTGGGATATGAAAAACTATGATGTACTGGTAATAATTATCAACTGTCATTTGTCAAGTCTTGCACAGTTGTGGCAAGGTGGTGTGATGCATGTATCGCAAGTAGAAAATTGTGGTAATGCATGGGGGGCCTCATTTTTTTTTCTCTTTAGGTCAATCTTGGGTAAAAACATTTTTCTCCTGTCAGCTCAAACATGCCTAGGAAACTTTTTTCTTTCACATAACTGGGGGAGAAAAAATCTAAGTGGCATGAGTTTGGCCCTCGAAACTAGTGATTAATATTTTTCAACTGTACATGAATTACTTCTTTTTCTACTTACTTTATGTTTTTTGTTCTTATCCGTAGCATACCGATCGAGTATTTTATGAATTAAATAGTCTGAATGAATCTCAAAGAGGGGATTCTGGTTTTTGGATAGTGAATTTTGATCACAACCGTGTGTGGACTCTTGAAGATCATGTTTTGGAGGTCAGGAATGGCAGTATGAAAAGAGTTTGTGGTGGCGATGCAGAATTTCTGTGTGGTCTCCCATTTTTGACAGTCGGCTCTGTCCATTTGAGGTACTTTAAACAACAAAATAATACTTTCAAACACTTACATAATAATTAAATAAGCAAATTTTTTTCATTTACTTATTTTTTTCGTGTTGTTTCCCTCCCCCCCCTTTTTTTGAACAATCAAATTTCACAAGAGTCTGTTAGAGCATTAGCTCTCCTACATTTATAACATTAATGAATAAAAAGTAAGTCATTACATTTCTATACCCTGTTTTTAGTCACCACAGCTGAATGATGACTGTTACTTTGATCATTAAAGCACTTCTTAAAATTCACTGTGCAAATATTAATATCTTCTTAAGCTCTCAGTGTATGTTTCAGGGTCCTTAAGAGGGGGGGGGGGATCTGACAAATTTTCTCTCAATCTTCACAGTCCTTCCTCAATTTTTAACCATTTACCTAGGAAGAGCAGCAAGTTGAAAAATTCATGGTACAAAGATTAAATTTTGTAATGTACCAAAGTGAAATCATTTATCAAGGTTTACCAATCTTTCCTTTCTTTACATACCATTAGAATGCTTTTGTTTGTTTCTAACTCTGTCCAATTTAACAAGTTCCATATCAGACTCAATCTGACATGTAGAATGTTGGAGACACAGCATGCTTCATTTCGAGAAAAAGTAATTTCAGTATTATTCAGTCAAACATAATGTAAATTTTTTGTTTTGTGTGCGAGTGAGAGAGGGAGAGTGTGTGTGTGTCAGCAATTGTATATGGCTAACAAAATAGGCTGCAAAAGAAGGAAAAATCTTCGCAATCCTAGGAATGTTGTAGTATGATACATGAAAAATAGGTAATTGTTTAAAAAACATAATAAAATATCCTACAAACTGACTGTCACTAGTAGCTATTACCTGTAGCGAAAGATATGAAAGAACCAAAATCTCAAGATTAGTTGAATTTCTCAATATCTTCACTGTCCACAACCTACAGTGACCTGCCAAAGAGTGGATGCACAGTTGCCAGACTTAGATGTGTGCGATGAGTGTGCGGTTGAACCAGCATTTGAATATTTGATAAATTGCATCAATCATGTCAAAAATTTAGGAAAATCTAAATTTTTTTGCAATATAATTAACCCCCCCCCCCATGAATTTAGAGAGTAATTTGGATCATCCAAAACAAATATTGGATATATATATTGGATAACAAAAATTTAACACGAGAAAAATCAAAATTGAAGACAGCTTTGAAAATAAAAAAGCGCATTTGATAGATAAGTGTGAGATAAAAAGTGATGTCAATGGTTCATTAGGCATCAGTGCCTTAATATGAGGCATGAGTTTATGGTGTTGGTGTGTGCGTATAGCTGTCATTTGAAGGGCTGAGAATGATTGCCATTTAACGAGAAGTGTAGTGTGCAAGGGAGAGATAGGAAAGGCATTTGTTTACCAATCATCAATCCAAAAATGAAGACCAGAAGAAGTATTTTTGCTCATGTAAGTGTGTGCATTTGGCTTTTGAGGAACTAATACAATATCTCCTCATCAAGAGATCATTAAAAGATATTGCAACTCTCTATTTGAATTACGCATGATGGCCTTTCTTTCGATGGCAACACATTTTTAAGTCAAGAAGAAAAAGTGCAAAGAGCACAAAAGTTACAGAACCTGTGGTTTAACAAGCATGATGGATGGTCTCCAAAAATTTTTACTATGCATTCAAGCAGTTGCCTCCAACTTCTAATTTCACTCAAAATCTTCAAAATCCGAAGAATTATCACTGTAATTTAGACGTGGCCGCTTTTTTTGTTTATTATAGGGGAACAAGTAATTGGATATCAGCAGATCCGCCTAAGCTTCTAGGTGAAGGCACTGAATTAACTTCTGCTACTAAAACTCAAATCAATAAGGACACTGTACGCTTTACTTTTGAAGTCTTTGGTGAGTATAAAGAAGAATAGATGTCCTTCACATGTTGTTTAGCTTCCAGAGTTTAGCTTAGAATTTTATTATGTACAGCATTATCTTTCTAGATGGACCTTCTTTTTATGAGGTTCCTCTTCTCATGAATTTTAACTGCCCATTCGATTTTGAACATTTTGTAACCCTCTAAAAGAAAAGGGATCTACGCCTACCAATTACATTCAATTTTGAGTCATTGATACCAAAGCATAGAGGAGAGTTCTTTGAACATTTAAAAAAAGGACCCAAAATGTCAACTCAAATCTGAGTTGAAGTGGTTGCAAGTTTGCTGTTCAAAGAATGTAGTCTTGTAATATGCGTTAATATCTTTAGATACTAATCTGCTATGTTCCGGGTCAAATATTGTAGAATTATAGTGTACACCTACCATGATCTCTCTTGTTTGTACTTTTTCACAGGTTGGAGCAAAGTTTTTTTTTCTATTCCTAAGTTTCTAAACTAAATTTTCCAATGCTACCATCAATTACCTACTCAATACCTGTTATACTCCTGATATACGTCAATTCTCAGATACCTGAAATAAATGTGATCATTGGTGCTGTGGAACAATAGGCGAGAATCCCATAAGTATTGTTTCATAGTTAAGGTAAAGGAGCGCTCAAAGACTTTCCACCTCCATGCAAAAGATATATGTATATGCAGACTTATAATTTTATTGCAACTCTCTCTTAAAGCTCTTGGCAACGAACTAGAAATATCAGCTGATTTATTTTTTTCAGCTCCTGACCGTGCAAGTTTGATTCTCTCTCCTTCCAAGGGTTACCAAGTATCTGCATGGAGTTTCAAAACCGGTGGTCCAAAGCAAGCATTTGTGATCGATGGTAGGAGCGTTTATTTTATTTACTACCAACATGGAGACAAGTGGCAGTTTTGGATCGATGTTCAGGTATGTGCAGGAGAGACTCCTTCAAGAAGGCTAATTTGATTTCCTCCAACTTCCATATAATATATGATGATGGTAATATCATTCAATGTAACCATACAAGAAAAGCGACCCTCATTCACAAAGGAAAGCTTCTCTCAGATATTGCTCTGAGTGAACACCACTAAGCTGGATACACAATACCTTGCAGGCAATGGGTCATTGAACCTCGTGTTTTTTACATGGTGATTTGTTGCGTATTTTTTGAGCCAAAATCCCGTACAAGCCCGCTTTTAATAAACCTAAAGACTCAAAGGAATTTCAAATGCACTGGAATGATGGCGTTATGATGAAATTTATGCACTACAGCGGTCGAATTGCTATCTCCTCTCAATTTCCACTGATGTTTGTTTGTTTAGAAAACATATTTCGATGTGAAAGTGTTGCTTGTTAACAACAGATAACGTGAATAAGATTTGATTCTTTGATTCTGAAGATTTAGTTACGATTTTCCTATTGTTTTCAAATACAAGGAGTAGTAAGACATTTGACAGAAGTTGTAGAAACCCTTGCTCGCCTCTGATTGGAGCCAGATGACATCATTCAGTTCAGCGCGAAAACGGGGCATTTAAAATTTGTGGAAAAGTTGCGCTTTTTGAACTGGATCCTTCTCGGCTTTGAGTTACTTTTTAGTGTATTTTCCGAAGGAAATACACTATTGCATTCTCCCATGATGTCGGACCCAGACCTGAGACATTGTGAAGAGCACCGATCACGGGTCGTAGATCACGAAAATATATGCTATTCAAATTCATGTGTATATATATATGTATGCATGTATGTATGTATGTACGTATGTATTTCCGCCTTTTGAAGATTTTTTGATTTTTGAGTGGTTATATCTTTCTTACGTTGAAAGATATTTTGACCAATTTTCTTGCATTTTGTAGAGACTCATTAGGACTACTATTCTGCGAAAAAAAAATTGAAATTTGAGACAATAGATTTTGAGGGTGGGGCTCGAAAGTGGGGGGAGGTCAAATCTTGTCCACTCGATAACTCGAGCAAAAATGAATATTTTGAGCTGAAATTTTTACGGGTGGTAGTTCTCCCCGAGGACTGGTTTGGTATTGAATTTGAGCTAAATCGGCCAAGCCGTTTAAAAATGGCGAGCTTTGAAAGTTTTAGGCGAGGGGTGCGCGGCATGAGGGGAGCCGGCCGGAGCAGGGCCGCACAGTGGGTCGGGGGAGAAAGTTTTTGGACAAGCTGATCGTCGCACAGTGGGTCAGGGGAGAGAAGTTTTTGGACAAACTTTTCGTCGCACAGTGGGTCAGGGGAAGGAAGATTCTGGACAAATTGTTCGTCGCACAGTGGGTCAGGTTAAATGATCTGTTCTTGAACAAAATCTCACCATTTAACCGTCACAACCTTTCGCAGCGCGTTCGCTGGCAACGTACGCAACTACTATCTTGTGCTCAAGAAATTAATTCATTCCCTTACAGATTGATCCCCCCCCTTCGGAAAATACACTCTTCCCGCGGTGGACGCGCGGGTCGCTTAAGAAGACAGAACAACTGGAATGGAGACTCAAACTAAAAAGCGCGCGCGTCCTGGGGGGGCTTGGGGGGGCGAAGCCCCCCCAAAAAACCGGCGCGGAGCGAAGCGGAGCGCCGGTTTTTGTGTTTTCAATGTTCTACACGCCATTTACTTTCAGATAAAAATAATTTCGAGTCAAAGTTCGTTCATGGTTCCGTGACTCATTTTGAGCAATGCATAGCACAATCTCCATCTTGGAATGTTGAAACAATAAACTAAAAACAAGATACTTGTGAGAGGATAGGCTTTCAAATAAGCTCAAAAACAGCTCTTTTGGATCATTTTTGGAACCGTTGGAATCACGCACAGTCACGCTTGTTGAACACGCATTGCCAAAATCTATGAGAAAATGAATGCTTTAGGCTCTAATGTATGTGATTGTTTTCCTGCACTTTTTTTCCTTATCATTTTAAAACCTAGGATACAAATCATGTTGCAAGTTTGAAAACGTTTGTTAATTGAATTTTTTGTAATATTTTTATTCAGAACATTGATGCAAATCACTCGGAGCCATCCCTAGATATTGCTGTGAACGGACACTACCAAGATGGATCTCATAACCTCGCTGACAATTTTAAGCAATTCTTGGCTCAATTTCCATCTTGGGCTGAAGTTACAGCCTGGCCTGCAAGTTATAAAGCGTACAAATTTTCTTTTTAGAAGAGTATTCATTAAGACTGCAATTGGACTGAGATAGTTTATGATAAAAATCTGTGATCTTTTTTGAGGGTGTTATTACTCTCATGACATTGAGTCATGAAAAAACTAGTTGTTCCTTTTTTTATTTTGATTTTTTTTATCATTTAGTTTTTTTTTCAGATAACGATTGTATAAGTGTTGTTGATAATCAGAATGGATCACTAGACAAGGTACGAATTTCAGCATTCTGATTCATGTTTCCTGACCAAAATTTCACGTAGAACACAATACGCACAACAAAAATTACCAAAATTAACTCCTTACGAAGATATTTAATGATTCTTGATGCGTGAATTGAAACCACCCGCTCATGAAAACTCAATGCTCTACGTAATTCACATCGCGCGCTAAACGTTATCATCAACGTCTTAGCGATATATAAATCTGGCAACCTTAGTCCTGACGCTTTGGCTCAGCTATAGCAAATTGCTTATAGTTTGAACAACACATGGTGGGAAATGAACATTGCTCGATTGAGAAGCTTGCTGAAACCGTTGTAGTGCACGATTTGACTCACGTAGAGCTTTGAGTTTCTTGTGAGCGGCCAGTTCAAATTCCTCGTAACTGATGTGAAATAAAAACGTTAATATCTTCGCTAAGAGTTGGTTTCAATAACTTTTGTTGCGCGAATCGTATTCTACGTGAAATTTTGGTTCAGAAACATGTATTAGAATGCTAAAATTCGTACCCTGTCTAGTGGTCCATTGTTAATTTTTTTATAACACCTTTGGAAAGGGATGTGAACTCATACAAATCCTCAAATTTTGTGGAAACCTTTCGAATCCCAATTCGTATCTTCGCCAGTTTTTGAGCATCCAAATTTATTTTTTCCTCAATCATCATATCTTTAGAATTACGCATCTTACATATATTTCTTGCTAAGCTTACAAGATTCTCAAAGTTTTGGGTCCAATATTATTTAGTTATGGTCCTCTTAAATTGTCGGAGGATGTTCAATGTCCTGTATTTCGCTGGTATTTTAACGTTGTTGTACCTTTCTTCTCAAATAAAGGCTCCCAAGCCCACTTCCTTCTTGAAGGGTCACGTTTTTTAAGTGCTGGAATGTCCTCATAATTAAAACTCTTGATTTTTTTATTTGCTGTGATTCAAAACCCTCCGAGTCTGGTATCAAACCCCCCCCCCCCCCCCCCCCNGCCGTTTTTGAGATATTGGATCTGTAATATATTTTTGGTGAAAATTAAATCACCTTCTCCGTTCATATGTAACATCGAGGTATTTGGAGGCTGTAAATCTATCTGTTTCCAGGTGGTCTAGTGTAATTGGGATTTAATTAATGAGTCTTTTTCTTGTGAGGATCATGACATTCGGTTTAGACTCAAAAGTTTTTCAAATATTTTCCTAGGAAATGAAAGTATTGATTTTGGTCAATGGGATGCTGCACAATTCTCAGGTTTCATTGGTTTTAAGATAAATTTCATTGCCTTTGGGATGTTCTCTATGGATAGAATGTGCTAGTCATTGAATTGCACAAATATTTGATGGCCACCTCTGGAAGTGCACGTAGGATTTTTGTTGATATTTTCCTTACTTTGACTTTTCTCTTTGACACTTTAGCAAGATTAGTGAATCTCATTATATGAGGAGGTAAAAGACACTTTAATATTAGGATTTGGTGGTTTCTCTGAAAAGGGAGGGAGGGAGGAGTTTGATACATTATCAGGGGTATATATGCGTTGCTCAAATTGAACTTGACTCAGGGGTCACTGAACCTTTCAGCAAGTTTTTGATACTCAGCAAAATGGTTACCTACTCCTCTATTTTTTTTCTGAGTTGAACAACTCTTGTTTTTTCTTTGAGAAAAGAGATTCGGCGACAGCATTCTAAACATCCTGGAAATTAGTTGTTACACCCAGGAATTTTCAAAGCAGTATCCAACAGTGAGACTGAGAACCTATAGTAGGGTAGATGTTACTCGCCTTACCGGACCGCAAATAGCTGCCCACGCAGCCATGATGTACGCTAGATTGTCAACTTTAAATTTGCGTATGTTAGTTTACCCCACCCTCTCTACTTCCTGTATCATGTTTTATTGTCCAGTGATTCATCTTCCTTCATCAAAGGATATTTTTATTTGGATTGAAAGCTCTTTTCTTTATTCTGCTAGTTTTAAGTGAATGATTTTATACAATCATACATATGTCATCTACTTGTATTGTGGCACCACCAGGTACTTTAATTTATTAAGTTTTTCCAACTGGAATAATGTTTCTTTAGCTTTTAGACAGGGAAAAAGTGAAGGGAATTTAGTCTTTTGTGATTTTATAATGGGAAAATTTAAAGTGGAATGAAGGGTTTGAATGTACATAGTTGTTAATTTTGTCAATTGCTTTTTTTATTTTTAAACTTTTTCTAAAACAATCTTTCTGTGACTCAGTGTGAAAACAGTTTTTAGAAAAAAGACATATACCCTTGTTGCTCATTTATATCCTAGTCTTTATTATTTAAAAGTTTATGGTTTTATAAACTTTGAAAATCCCCATCATGCGGTACAAGGTTGATCTGATAATTAATATTAACATGTTAGCAGAATTAACAAGGCGGAGGGTATAGAAATTTGCCAAATGAATAATATCTTACATGCTAAAGAATATACCCAATGAGATGATAGATGAGACGTCCACTCACACGAAAAATGTCGAGGGACAAAAGTGTTCAAGGTATCATGACCGAAAACAAAAAATGACCATATCAACGGTGTAAGTCAGCAATCACATAATTCGGTTTGCAACGTCGCAGACTTTCTGTCGTACTTTATTCTTTAAACGGAAAACTATTCAACGGCAACTCTTTAAAACTGTCGCGATTTTTCTTCTCTGTGCGAAGAAAATTCTGCAAAAACTTCAAGAAATAATGTCAATTTGTTCTCCTTCAAATAAAATAACGTAGAGATGGAGATTTTCAGACACCGCAAATGAGATATGTGATTGCAGACTTACGCTGTTGATATGTTCTTTTAAATGTCATCATAATGGTGTAATTTATTTGATTATAGAAACTATCCCTTAAAGAACTTTCAAGGCTTTTCAACACTGCTGATGCAGTGGTAGCACCAAATTGGCAATGCATTCACTGTGGAAGCTAAGTAAATACATTGATAAAATTTCCAACAGCACATCGAGAATAAAATAGTTTCATCAATTAAAACAAAGCAAAACTAGGTCAGGAATGTATAAAATTTGGACAATCCACTATATCCTAGAGGACAATCTTCTACGTTTGGGTTGCCAACAAGCCGCAAGATGAGAATGACCCGAAAATAGAATAAATATGAAATCTTTCTAGAAACAGATGCATAAAATTCCAGATACTTCACCAAGAAAGTAAAGGGGCATTTTGTCAGTCTTTTTTTTTGGTCATGTCACTCTTACTGAACCCTCTACTTGGCTACTTGGATGTCTGTTGGCATGGACATGCTTTCCTCAGGACATTTACGGGTATCGGACTCTTGTTTTTCTGGACATTTTCATCTGTCACGCCTCAGAGTTGGGCGCGAATAATTCGGCAACTAAAGAAATTGGTGCGGTAACACTGACTAAACGCTCAGTCCTCAAAATTCTATACCTGATAAGGTGGATCAATCATCAAATATACGTCCAATTGACGATTGATCGAACATTGCTGATCCACCAAATAATTCTTTCCCAACTCTGTCACGTCTTTTTATCCATAAAAAGCCATCATGTGGCTCATTTCTCTTAGAAATACTTACAGTGTTTAATAGAAGACTCTCTAGTTGCGATTTTCTTCTATTTCAGATTCTGAAATCTGGAATTTTGATTTTTAAAATCATATTCTGATGATGAGAACATGCAGAAAAAGCTCTGTAAGTTCAAAAATGATTTGAAACTGGGTTCCTCCCCATGCCTCAAAATCAAGTGACTCAGACGTGACAGTGCTTAAAAGTGGGCTGCACTACAGATTATACAAAAATATTGTTGGGTGAGTATGTAAGAGGGTTTCCTGTGTCATTAATCTTTCAGCCTCTGAATCTTGTGTCACTGCTGCAAATAATGCTATTAAGATGAAGGGTTCTGAGAAAGCATGGAAAGAAATATTATGCTGGCTCATATGTTTTTTAGATTGGACTAACAGTCTCTGAGGAATCTGATACTGGCCAAACAGAGTAGGCAGTAGCAGGGCGCTTGCACAGCTCAAGAAAAAAAAAGCACATTAGCATGCCCTTCGGTCACTTCTAAGAAGAAAAATGTTGCTAGGTAGCAAACGCTGAAACTTATCGTCTCATTTTCTCTAAGTTGTATCTCGGATATTTTTCAGGAGTGTGATTGTGATGTAACAACTCAACGGTTATGCTCTCTTTCTGTAGACATAAGATTTACTTTAAAGGTTGGGAAAAATTTAGAGGAATTTTAATGAAAGTGGTAACACTTTGTAGAATCCCTTTTGTCCTATCTTATTGCCTCACCTAGCATGCAACTGGATAATTATTAAATTATGGCATTTTGGTAAGTCAAGTTAAAAATGATAAGGCTTTAATTGAATTATGGCAATTTTACAAAGGGTTAATTACCAAAATTACGATACACTACGATGACATAGCCACTAATGAATGATTTTTTGTTAAAACCTGAGTTCATTTTAACCATTACAATCTTCATTACGTGTCAGGTCAAAAACTTGGTTAAAAAGTTCTAATGTAACATCACTTTTTTGCAGATTGTTCTACATCATTACCATAGAGTACATGGAGTCGTAATGTAAGTGGGAGAGCTGGCGACACTTTTCAGCATTTTCCAGGTCCCGAATTCTGAGACTCCTGTGTGACGCCAGGTCACTTTTTCAATACACAGGGACCCAGCCATTCGATGTAAACAAAGAAGATAGGAATTACTACATATTCTACACCACCATTTTGGATCGAACATGTATCGAAAAAAAGACCCAAGCTCGGCGCACACCGGGCTCGGAACTTGTTGACCAGAACATGGCGCCAGCTCTCCCATTTACATTACGATTCCATGTGCTCTATGATTATTACTGACAAGCATTGAAGGAATAATGGGAATAAATCATTACAATTGAATAGATTAATTCAGAAAACATTTTTAATATACAATGAAATAACACACTTGTAAGTAAACAATAACCACAGAAAGAGCCAATTCGGTTTTGTAAGCTAGGATGAATTACAAATAGTTACTGTTTTAACAGTTTTAAAGAGCTCCCGTGCAAAGGATCACTTGAATCTTCTTAGAGTAAATTTTCAGCAACTAAATGACTATTACACGGTTGAAAAAGGTTCAAAATGATTTACTTTTTCCAGTCATTCTTTTCATAATCCCATTTGGAAGAGATACCGGTGATTCCTTCCATTCTTGCATCAATCATAGCTTTCAGCATTTTCTGTCTGTGTTCTAGAGATAAGGTCTCTGGTAATTCTCGGGGAACTGAAATTACAGAAAATAGAATTTAAAAACTTTTCAAAAATAAGAGATGAATTGAGAAAGATATGCAGAACATGTTCCCTGTCGAAATTCAAAAGCAGCTAAAATATTTATCATCTGTTAAATGAATCAATATTAGCAATAATTGCAGCCCAGGCCTTTTTTTTTCTGAAGATTCTCACAGAAAAATTGAAAACTTACTTTGGACACTGCTGGATATACAGGGTGTTTCAGACCACCCGTACCAGGCCTTTTTCTCGGTTGGTTTAGGTCGCACGAAGTCGGAGACCGCGGGGTTGAATAGGGAATTGACCCCAAGGAATCTGAATTTTGTGGTCCCGAAACCCCCCCACTTCCCCTTGGGGGGTAAAGGGGGGGTCGCGATGCTAAAAGTCACGGTTCCCGACCGAATTGCGGATCGATCGCATCAGAATTGAAAAGCACGGAAAATTTCACGTGGAATTGACCCCTAAAAATCCAAAATCGGACCATCCAAGGCCCAAAAATGATCCCCTAAAGAGGGGGACAGTACCCCCCTCCATAATTTCTCTTTAGTCTCAAAATTGACGTAAATTCTCCAGAAAAAGACGGTTTCCCAGGTAATCGACCTCGAAAAATCCAAATTTCATGGTCCCGAAGCTCCTCCAGCCCCCCTTGGGAGGTAAACGGGGGGGGGCAACTTTAAAAATCGGGGCTCCTTTCCGAATCGCAAATTGATTGCATCCAAATTGAGGAGCAGAACACATTTACATCTTAAGTGACTCTTAAGAGTTCTAATTGACCCCCCTGAATGGCAGAAAGTAATCCCCTGAGGAAGGGGGCCTCGCCCCCGCCAAAAATTTCTCAGGATTCCTCTTTGGTCGCAAAATTGACTTCGATTCTCCAGAAAAAGACGGTTTCCCATGTAATCGACCCCGAGGACTCTAAATTTCATATTCCCTGAGCTCCTCGGGGTCAATTACATGGGAGACCGTCTTTTTCTGGAGAATCGAAGTCAATTTTGCGACCAAAGAGGAATCCTGAGAACTTTTAGGCGGGGGCGAAGCCCCCCTTCTCAGGGAGTTACTTTCTGCCGTTCAGGGGGTCTATCAGAACTCTTAGGAGTCACTTAAGATGTAAATGTGTTCTGCTCCTCAATTTGGATGCAATCAATTTGCGATTCGGAAAGGAGCCCCGATTTTTAAAATTGGGCCCCCCCGTTTACTCCCCAAGGGGAGCTGGAGGAGCTTCGGGACCATGAAATTTGGATTTTTCGAGGTCGATTACCTGGGAAACCGTCTTTTTCTGGAGAATTTATGTCAATTTTGAGACCAAAGAGAAATTATGGAGGGGGGTACTGTCCCCCTCTTTAGGGGATCATTTTTGGGCCTTGGATGGTCCGATTTTGGATTTTTAGGGGCCAATTCCACGTGAAATTTTCCGTGCTTTTCAATTCTGATGCGATCAATCCGCAATTCGGTCGGGAACCGTGACTTTTAGCATCGCGACCCCCCCTTTACCCCCCAAGGGGAAGTGGGGGGGTTTCGGGACCACAAAATTCAGATTCCTTGGGGTCAATTCCCTATTCAACCCCGCGGTCTCCGACTTCGTACGACCTAAACCAACCAAGAAAAAGGCCTGGTACGGGTGGTCTGAAACACCCTGTACATCTTCTTAGATGATATTAAATTTTAGAGTAACTGGTTTCTTTGATAACACATCCTTAAATAAAATACCCTTTTTCCATTACCATTACCAGGGCTTTATTACGAATAAACAATTCGACAATTCGTGGGCCAGCGCAGTGCCGGTCCACAAGGCGGTAAATCCTGGTCAGCCCTCTGCATTACGTTGCTCAGTTTCCCAGGAATGTGTCAATTAATTCATTAAGTAACATAAAAGATCTCCAGGGTTCCTCAAACACTTGGGATAAAATATGGAGCTTTTTCTTTTTTTTTTGCAATACTGAAGGGGTGTTCATATGCCTGCTTGATTAATTTGAAACTATGCTTCTACTTCCATAGTTCTATTTTCAGGCCCCTATATCTCTTGATGCTGTAATCCATAGAAAGTTGAAATCTTCTTTTTATTTCCATGGAAAAAAAATTACTGAATCTGAAATGGTAATATCTAGATGATATTGAGGGGTTTCCGGACAGTAGTCAAGGATTATTCTGGAAATTAAAAATAATATTGTGAAGAATATATCTGATGTTTTCCAGGCAAGGACAGTATATACTTAGCATGCATAAAGGAATTATTTGCAGGGAGAACTGAGTGAATTAGAGGGACCGAGAACATCAAAAAAAAGAGAAAAAACTATGATTAGATTCATGGTAAAACTTACTGTATTGATCCATGAGCCAGAAGATGAACAATGAAAGTGAGCATCCAAACAGTACTTGCGATACAATTTGCCTCCACCGGCCAGTATTTTGATTTTCCATTTCAACAAAAGTTTGACCGAAACTGGCTCTGTACAGGGTTTTCACTTCATCCTTAGACAACAGTTTCCAGTCGCCTTTTTCCTTTTCTTTTAAGGCCTGTCACACAGTAAAAAAAAAAAAGAGTTGCTCATTTTTTCTTTCTTATCTGTAAACAAAAGGAATATTTCTCCTTTCCTTCAAAATTGATAACGATTCTCTAACTGCCCCATCCTATAAATCATGTCAAAATTGCTCCAAGTGCTAGAAAAAAAAATTCAGATTAAAACCTTTACTGTTTCCAAACCTACTTGAGACTAAAAAAAGGGGAGAGGGATTTTCATTTACCTTCAAGATCCAGATTTTCTGTAGCTTTAATAAAACCTAAGATACTTTATTTTGACATTGATGAGATTCAGAACATTCATATGTTTTGGTAAACTTGCTTCCTTTCTATTTTCAGTTTCCTTTCTAGAACTACAGAAGGAACAAAAACTTTCCATTTTGTGGTTTCTAAGTCCTTCAGTTAAAAATCAATCAATATTACTCAATTGGTACGGAGCGCCAACTCTTAATTGGACAAAGATAAGCAGAAAGAAGTTAACTTTTTCTGCATATTTAAAAAATAATATACCTTAAATTCATTTCCATACTCATGGCTTCTTCCTGCTATTCTACAGATTGATTATTTACTATCAGTGTTTGAAACTCACCTTTGAGTTTTAGGAGCCATATGGCGCATCAAGCCTGATTTTTAGGTGCCATTTAAGATTTTTTAGAGGCAAAATTGACTATTTGCCTGTATGTATATTATGGCCCATTTAGTGAAAAGTTAGACGCAAGATGTTTTCATAACAGAATTAGTAAGTAGCTGTAACTTGGGGAAGACAAAAGCACTAAGAATGAAATTGTGAGGAATAGAAAAAGCAAACTCTCACTTGTAGTGCTGAGAATTCTGAGTTTTTTCAATTCAAATAGATTCGTTTTTCTTTTTTTAGGTGACTCCCTGTGAAAATCCAGATTTTTAGGGGGGAATTTTTAAGGGCCATGTTGGCGCAGAGCCTTCATTTTTTAGGCGCATTTGGCGTCTGTGAGTTTCGAACACTGTTTACTATACTCAGAAATTTTTAAATATTTATACCTGCATTATTCAATTCTTTCAGGTAATATGTTTCTATCCAAAAGCTTCAAATCATATTTGTCTCCGAACCAGTAACCGTACAACTTTTACTTCGGCTCTCAGAATATTTTCTTATTAAATATAACTTAAGGTCTAACTTGGCACTTGCAATTGATGTATTAAAAGACAATAAAAGTTGTTACATAATTTTGGAACATTTATGTAAAAAAAATCTCATGCTTCCACTGTGACTCTAACTGTTTGTCAAGACGCGCAAGGCCAATAGACCCAAGTCAGTCTGTTAGCAAGATGTTTATTGGAATTTCTCCACCTGGGGACGAATTCCCTGATATGCTGTTTCACTACTTTTCAAGCATTTCTCCGATTTGTGCTGCTTTGTTGCATAGTTTTCCCAGTCTCCCGGATCTGCATAAGACCAATGTAATCGGAACGGGGGAACAGCAGAGTAGGACAAGCAAATCGGGGGAATCTTTTGACAATGCGGACAGCCCTTGCCCCCATTTTGCAAAGAATATTACACTCAACTTTTTTGACATACTGACCTGGGTCTATCGACCTTGAAGAAGCGTTTTGGTGGCTACCCAGGCCACATCATCGGATGACTCTAACTCTCTTGTCAGTCTGTGACTCAGTCAGCTGATGATGGTAGCCTGGGTAGCCACCGAAACGCATCTTGACAAATAGTTGAAATCATAGTGGAAGCTTGTTTTTTTTTGGTTTTTTCCCCCCACATACTTAAATGTTTAAAAATGAAATGACTATGGTCTGTCAATGCAGGTTAATTTTTTGGAAGTTTGAAGAAAATTGAGCTATTAACATTGAGACTGAGATCTCTTGTGCAAAGAGAAATATAACATGGGTGCCGCTTTCGGAAAATACTCACGATGAGAGGTCCTTCAATCCTCTTGTATCTGATAGCAGGGTAAGGAAAGATGGGATGATCAGCATAACATTCTTCACCGTTGACACCAAAACCGACAACCTCCCTCCCTTTCTTAAAGTCGTAGACTAAGAAAGCAGGACCTTCGTGGCCAAATCTCGATGCTAAAACGCTCGAGTTTTGCGGTTTCAACAGTGAACGAGCAGCAGAAAGAGAAATCATTGCACGTCCTGCCATCCTGGCCTAAAATCAAAAGTAATAATAATCAATAAAAAACTTGCTAGACACAAGGTAAAACTTTGATATGAGCCAATTTAAATCTTAGGGGCTTAGGCGCCAAGATCCAAGTTTCAGGAAAAACGGAAAAACTGTCCCTTTCAGCGAAAGCTCACCTTTGGAGCCGGAAAAATTTAGTTGGAAAGTCTGTTTGGTCATAAGAGAACAGTTATCGAGTCTGGTGCTCAGGAATAAATCCCACCTACTCCTGTGCAACATGATCTACCGAAAAATCAAAATCCAAATTTTAGGCGCTTGGGCCCTAAAGAAAAAAATTCAGCTCATATGGAAGGTGTAACTGGGGTCCAAGAGCACGATTTTGGATACTTGAAGTTTTGATGTATTGTTGTGTTCAGGGGCTTAGAAAAGAAATCCCGAGTGTGATGTTCCTGTTATGTTAAGAAAGTTCAATAGCAAAAGAACGATTCGTCTTGTCACTTCAAGCCCTCTCATGATCCAACACTGTTCTACTTTGGAGCAATCACAGCTTACCAAGCTAGTGGTTCAAAATATCTTGGGGCCTTTAGACTGTGGTTCCGATCGGTATCAAATACAAGAACACTCTTCATTAGCTCGTAGGAGGGAGATACATATTGGGTGCAACCCTGAGAATATGCATAGCAGCTGGATTTTAAAGAAATCTGTGCTAGGTTTAGCCAGGAACTAGGATTAATTGGGCAGATTTATAGCTGAAGATAGGAGTATTGTAAAGTCATTTTACCAGCATCAGCAAAATGTCAAACAGAAAATAAGATTAGATTGGATTAAATTAGATTTATTCATTCTGAAAAAACATAAATAATTACAGAAATGTTCCATTTCCACCCTGAGCCTGGCTCGTGCTGTGGAACAGCAACTTGAAGTAACAGGAGGAATGTGCAACTTTACTACCAATACGATCACCCATCAAAACTGAGAAAAATTTGGGGAGCTCTGCTTTTAGGCGGTAGCGCCTAAGTTTAGGCAGTTTGGGAAGTTTCACACCGATGGCACTCTGCAGAGTGAGACTTGAATTTGCCAAAACTTTGGCAGCGTAATTTACTGCGCCCAATAAGACCAACAAAATGTGGCCATAGAATTGGCCGGAGAAACTTTAGAAGCCAGAGTGCGCAAATTTCACCATGGAGCCAGAGGAAAGAAGGATAAAATATCTCTCCGATTGCAAAGATTGAACTTAGGAGGGTAGGATTTAAAGGGTTCTGAATCGTATCGTGCAATGGGATAGGCTCTCCACAGCCGACTACCAAGGTTAGTTACTTAACCCTCTGAAGACTGGTGCTCGAGAGCGCAATGATAGAATATATGTTGATACATAACATAGTGCAGGACCACTATTCAGGATTATGAAAATTAAAGAGACATTAAGGAAATGACTTACCACTTTAGTGCAATAATAGCCAGGGGTCACTTTTCAGCTGATAACTGGTGTTGTTGTTAGATGATGACTAACGGCAAGGATGATCGGTGCGTCGGTTTCAGATAGACCGTATTCGATAACGGTTCGATGTATCGTTTGGTTCAAAACAATAGAACATAACCTCAAACCAAACTGTAAGGATTTTAATTGGAAAAGCTGAAAATGAGAAATTTCCTGACAATTTCACTTTGCATTGGCATTTGGTACTCAAAAGAATAAAAAATCTGTTTCAAAAGATCCGTTCTCTCAGATTTCTGAATTTACTTTTGAGGCTATGTTTATGTTTTGAACCAATCGATATCGATACAATCTCACCCGTTTGATGTATCGAATACGATCTATAGATAGCCTGAGAAGAAGAAGAAGAAGAAGGAAAAGGTTTGTTTAGAGTATGACCAGCATTTTGAACTCTTTCTTATCGGAACGTGTCTTAAAAATCTAAAAAGGGTGAAATTTTTATAATTTATTGTAATAAATTACCAGTTCGGTTTCTTGTTGGTGAAGTTGATCCGAAATGGTTACATCCGGCCCTGTGAAGGACGTTTCAGCGTTTCTTACAAGCAAGCAACAGCAATTTGCTTCAGACGAAGCTCTCCTGAAAGAATGGAACGATATCGAAGAGATGTACAACAAGAAATTGTGGCACCAACTGACTCTAAAGCTACTCAATATTGTGAAGTATCCTAGCCTGCAAAAGAATGAGGAGCTTTTAAGCCTCTACAACAATTTTATTCAGATTATCGAGACTCGAATTAATCCTCTTGCTCTAGTAGAAATGTTGGTGGAGGTTGTGAAGCAGTTTAAAGACCCTAAAGAAGCTATTGCCCTTTTGGAAGCTACAGAAACGAAAGTGAAACACAAGCAAGAAGCTGTAATTCTATGCCAAATTTTAGAAGGTCAAATTAAATTAGAAAAATTGAATGATCAAGAAGCAACGCTAAAGCAGATCGAGGAGATAGACAAGCTCATGAACGAGCTTGATGGAGTAACGTCTGTTCATGCTCGATATTATTTGTTAGCAAGTCAAGTGTATCGACTGCAAGGGAAATTTGCAGAATATTATCAGTCTGCTTTGAAATACCTTGGTTGTATAGAACTGTCTGACCTCTCTGCCAAAGAACAGGTGCAACATGGGTTCTTGTTAGGGTTAGCCGCCCTTCTAGGAGAAAGTATCTACAATCTTGGTGAGCTTCTGGCCCACCCCATCCTAGACTCACTGAAATCCACACCCAATTGGTGGTTAGTAGAGCTTCTTTACGCCTTTAATGCTGGTGACATTGCGAAATTTGAGAAAATGAAGCCGAAATGGAGTTCAATTCCAGATATTGCGACTCAGGAAATTAAGCTAAGACAAAAAATTTCTCTTCTATGCCTCATGGAAATGGCTTTCAAGAAACCATCAAACAATCGGAGACTAACCTTCAATGAAATTGCTGCGGAGTCCAAGCTACCGTTGAGTGACGTCGAGCACTTAGTAATGAAAGCACTCTCGCTCGGATTGATCAAAGGATCCATTGATCAGGTTGCGTCCATTGTCAATATTACCTGGGTCCAACCTCGTGTACTTGATAAATCTCAATTGGCCAACATGATTCAGCGTCTGGATGTCTGGTGCAAAGACGTGAAAAGTATGGAACACCTCATGGAAAACAAAGCTCAAGATATCTTGACCCTCTAATGTGTGCCCCATCAAAGGGGTGAGTATGAAAAATTTAATCATGTTCTCTCAGTCACTGAAACTGGCATACTGAAAATTTTCTGTATTTTTTTAATGTAACATTTTAAAACTTAATTATGTAAATAAATAAATTTAAGGTTTTTTTGCTACTAAACCATTCTCATTATTTCTGAAGTACCTAACCAATCCATATTCTTGAAGTTACTTTTATTTGATTAAATTTATGGAGCCTTTCAACCCTTTCAATTAAACTTTTTCTCGCAGAATTGCTAAACTTCTAAAGAAAAATTACGGTAAAAAAACCTCCTGGAAAATGGCCTCAGGAAATTTGCACCATTTGTCTTAATCAAGGTGATTTCAGGATGCAGAAAAAAAATAGCCTTGCACATTTGGTTATCATTTTCAAGGCTTGCTTTTATCAAATTATACAGCTACAAGTCCTCTAACTGTACATCTTGCGCATAACTTCTTACCACAAAGGCAGAGATCCATAGGCAAAAATTCAATTTGGCCCATACTTAAAAAATCTTCAATGACTCCTAAGAATTTACCTTAATGAGGCAGACAGCTCCTAAAACTGAAATGTGCGTTTGAAACTCTGACTTACGGTTTAACTTGTGACAAAATTGAATGTTGCTGAGAATTAAATTTCTTCACTTCAATATTTGAATTAAGAGTTCATTACTTAAGGCTGCAAGTGTTCAAATGAGATATTGAGTTACTCTCAAAATAATAAGAATGTCTCTAGAAACAGCTTCATCATTGACATCCTTTAGTAAATGGCGGAAGTGCACAACTACGTATCTCTGTTTGCAACATTGCAGACTTCCTGGCATACTTTGATTTTTCTTTAGATAACTAATCAAGTTAATGTCTTGAACTTCTTTAATATTGCTTTTCTATAAGCAAAATATTCTGTAAAAATTTCATCAAGTTTTATAATTGACTTGTTTTTTTTTTAACGAAAGAAATAACATAGGAGCTGAGATTTCGAAACACCGCAATGGAGATACCTAGTTGTTTACTTCAACCATTGAGTCTGACGGAGACAAGGGCTACAAAAAATTATTTATAGTTGAGGACGCAACTCCGGATCATCTGACAAGGTCTTCTTTAGGGTATCTTCGAACTTATAGAAGAAAACTATTCCTAGCTTTTCCATGTTTTCTCTGACTAAAATGATGGAACTTTTCCGGCTTTCCATGAACGATTGGACTCGTAGAAAAAAATTGCGCAATTTCTTCCCGTAATTCAAATAGTGACTTCATAGCGCTCTGTTTAATTTTTTGATATCTTGAATCCAATTGCATGATGCTCTGCTAAAATAATCATAGTCAAAAATCTCTAATTTGCGGGATACGACAAAGGACTATTTTCCCACTAATGGGCTTGAATGAATCAGACTACATTTTGCAATTAGGAACTATAGTTTCTGGCTCAGTTTAGAAGGAACGTAAGTACCTTTAGTTTCCCTATGCCACTAGGTGTTTTTACAGATGATCCAGAAATTGTGGTTCCTAATAGCAAAATGAAGTCCAATCCTGCCTGATGAGGTCTGAGCATTCTAGAATGAACCAGCGGAGATACATCATACTTATGACTTGACTCTTCTGTGAGATGATGCAGCGTAAAATAAAGTCATGGATTGTGGTTGTTTGAGCATGTAGCACCAAATTGATGAGAGAACCAGCATGAGATAAGCAGAAAACCAACAGATTTTTATTCAAAGCTCGATTTTTAATTTTATGCCGGAAAAAAACTAGAATTGAAATAGACTCTCGTCCATTCATTGAAAATACGCTTTTCATTGAATAACAACTTGTAGAATAAATGAGGGGCTTGAAGGACAAGGCATGCAAGTGCAATTTTTGCTTTTTTAGGAAATATGTGTTTGAAGTTTCGACATTACATGTATCTTCAAGGCGGAAAGAAAGTTCAAACCGACTTTTTGATGCTTAAAAATTGGAATTTGGAAGCAAATTTTACACAGAATGTGCATTAAGACTAATTTTCTTTGAAGTCATTAATAATTTAATTTTTTCAAAAACTGCACTTATGCACCTTGTCCTCCAAGCCCCTCAAATGTAGGGGGAGAAAATTTCATGCAATTTCTTTCCAGTCTTTGTATTCATTGTCATTATCTGTGTCCTCGACAGGCAAATTTAGATTTTAATTGCAACTATGATTGTGTAAATCTACATTTTAGGCTAATTGAAGTTGTCATAGGACAGCATGGAAAATTGAACCTTTTCTTAAAAAGAAGTTAGAAGTTCAGATAATCGAGAGAGAGAAATAATGCTTTGGTCGCTGATTCCAACCTTGTCATAAGACAGTTTCATACTTATTCATTTGGTCTATCACCTGTAAAAACCTTGGGGACTTATTTCAGTTCTTTCAAGTTGATCTCTTCAGTTATCTTCTCAATGTGAATTATGGATACGTACTGAGAGACAGGCAATATCGATGACCAAAGTTAGAAACCATAGTACCTCCATTTGCATCGTTGCAGACTTCCTATCATACTCCATTTTTTCTTTTGAAAACTATTCACTGTTTTTTCTTGAAAACTTCCAGGTTTTTCTTACATTGGCAGAATATTCTGCACAAATTTCAAGTTAGAAAGTTGGCTTGTTTTCCTTCAAAAATATAAAATAGCGTGAATTTTGAAATATCATATTGGAGACACATCCTTTTGCACTTAGGTCATCGATAAAATAATCTAAGTGGCACATATCATGATAAGTTAAGAAAAAACATTTTAAGAACATACGAACAGCCAGGCTTAAAAAAATAATTTTTCTTTTATTTCACTTACAATCGCAAGTTGAATTGAGTTTGAAAGCACTTAAAAAAGTTATGGTTCAACAAACATTATATTAAAAAAATCAAAAATTAAAATAAAATTAAAACTCACAAAAGGGTATCACATCTGTTACTTCATCGAGTAAATTAAAATTCTTAAACCTAAAAAATGAGGAATCAAAGAGCTGACTAAATAAATATCACAAAAAGTTCATAGCTGAGCTAGGATTTTGAAAAGTTGGCAAAAATATTTTGTAACATAACAGAGTATTAAAAAGAAGCAACAAGCCTCATCTACAAAGAAAAGTACAAGAAAGCAACAATTTGGTGTACTAGGATCTTTGAATTTCTAATTAAAGAACGCTAAATCCCAAGAACAAGGTTGCTGTCCATTTTTGCTGCCTGGGCAAGGGTATGTGATGTAACTAAGAGGCATACATATTTTCTGTAAGATTTGCTGACAAACGAGAATTTGGATACACCCTGATTTAGTGTTAGTCATCGTGTGTATACACTTTATACGTATGGGTAGTAAGTTGTTGGATGACAATGTAGGGGGGCCCTCCTTTTTTAAACAGAGCACACCTACCCATAGTATACTGCAGTTGGTAATACCAACCACAGTGATACTGCAGAAAAAACGATCTTTTGTTTGATGCTGACAAGTTACAGACCTTTGGCTACATTACATATGGAATTGAAATAATAAACCAATTTTTTCGTAAACTGGGTAAAAACAAACTTGTGCATGGTGTAGTGCAGTCACTGTTTTTCTTTGGTCGCTGATGGTGATCTCAGAACCAGGTAAAATATGTTTCATCCTCTATGTTTCGGATTGAATTCTCCAGGCTAAATATCTCGGCAACTGAATTCTTCATTTGGCAAACAGCCTTTTGGAGAATTTTGGCGCACCTAAGTTTGAATACTTCAAACTCACAAAAACTTTTCCAAGTACAAAAATAAATAAAATTCACTTCTAGCGAATTTGACTTAAATAAGTTAAGGATTGACAATAACACATTTGGGTCTTAATGAAAATAGAGGAAGAAACCTAATCTGTTATTTTAAAAATAACGGAGGTTTAAAAATAAATATTTTGAAGATGAAAGAGCAAAACCTTCAGTCCAAATCATTTAAAATGTTAGAGTCCTCACTCATCCATTGAAAGGCATATTTCATGCATCCTTTTGACTGCTTTGAGGACTTTCAAATGTTGACTGCCTTAGCTTTTTCCATACTTGTTTTCTCTGACACTTCAGCATCGGTCAAAAAAAAAAATAAAAAAGAACTTTAAAAAATATGTACACTTGCCTGACACTTCGATGGTCACTGGCCATTCAATTTACATACTTACTGCTCATGATCAGCTATGTCAGTGAAACACTTTGAATCAGCAGTGACTGAGCTGTGCTGTCAGAGGAGGCTTTAGTGCATAATCATGAATTAACAAGTTGATCAATTTGAAAAAAAAAAAAAAAAAAAAAACTTGAGTAAGTTTGAGTGACTGTTAAAAACGTTGTAAAACTAACCAATCCTTGTGGACAGTCTACCTAAAATTGACTCCTCTTTTTAAGTTATTTTATTTTTTGTACTTCACTAAAAATCGGTAAGGATTCTAGTGAGTATGAATTAAGCTGCAGTCCAATTTTTGGCTACCCATAAAAGGCCAAAGGTATTGTCTGTGCTGGAGTCATTGTTGGTGACTTGACCAGACATAGTAGGCATTCCAACAATGTCTTTGTAGCGTTTGATGAGGTTCCTGTAACCACGACCAATTGTGACCAAAGTTGATGTTGAATCAGAGCTGAATGAAGGCAGCGCGATAATCGCATAAACTTCCTCTTCAAATGGACGGAATACTGTTATTGGACGCATAGAATCCCTCTCTGCAACAACAATGCAGCCCCAAGTTGTGCCGATGTACAATTCATTTTCCATAACACACAAACTCGTGACCTAGACAGAGAAGTTTTGCACTGAGTCACTTAAAATCAAACGAGTTAAGTTCTAAGAGGAGTCAACTATAGCAGTACAAATAAGAAAGCAACACAGAAAAGAAAATGAAATGATGCAGAGTCAAGGCTGAAAAACAAAAAGTAAAGACAAACATGAAACATTTCACCTAGTTTCCCATGTATTATTGACCTTATGAAATAAAAAAAAATAAAAAAAATAAAAAATAAAATAAAAAAAATAAAAAAAAAAGAAAAAAAAGAAAAAAAAATAAATAAATGAAGAGAAAAGGGCTAAAATATCAAGCTTACAGCAATAAATGCGAGATAAAGAGGTAAACCAGGTCCTAAAATCTGGCGTCTACTCACAAAAACAGGTGAAACATGTAGGCAAAATGTTCATCTTGATCTGTCACCTGTTTGTGTGAGTAGACGCTAAGTTTTTGGACCCACTTCAACTTTTTATTTAGCTTTTATTGCCATGAACCTAGTACTTTAACTTTGGCTGGTCCCCCCCACAGTTGATGTGCCCAAGGCAACACATTCTGTGATAGGCAACACATTCTGTGATAGTATTTAATTTTAGTTTTTCAGCATCTTCCCTACTTGGTTTCCTTCACTTCTATGTGTTTATTTGGTGCATAAGAAGTGATATGTAATTGGTTACAAAAAGAGTGTTCTTACACAGCATGAATGTATGAGTGAAGAAACAGTTCAACGGTGAAACTGTAAAAATGCATACCTTGTTTATAGTGATCCAAAATCTCTGCTCTGATTTTATTTAATCATAGGAGATCAAGATCAAACCAATGCTATCACTTGAAATTTTCACAGAATATTCTTGACAGGGCACAGAAAAATTAGGCTTTTTTCAAGAAATGACATCGAGGAATGCTCCATTAAAAAATGAAGTATGACAGGAAATCTGCACCGTCAGAATCTGAGATCTGCGTTCTTGCAGTTATACCGTCAAGTTGTTCAAGGAATGATAGCAGCCTGAGGGACACTTTCTAACTTTTGGTCAGCTTAAAATAAATAGGATACAGGGTGAGAAATTTCTTTTTACTTCTTCACCTTTCTTCTCAAAAATAATCTGCCAGATAACTTATTACAGTCTTGCACACTTTAAGCAGACTGCAGTTAAGTCTTTGTGCTCCACATTAAAATTCGAGGTCCGAAAAAATGGATTTTTTGGTTGACCTACCTGGCATCGTCCTGGACTAAGATGTTCTTCAATGCTGATTGACTGCAAACTCTCAGAACAAGGCACTAATTTGGAACAATCTAGCTTGTTCACAATTGAGCGTGTTTCTGGATTCCATTGGTAAACAGCACAGCCTGAGAAAAACAATAAAATATTTTATTGCAGGTGCCCTTTTGGGTAATGTCGAAACTAAGGCCAGAATGTATTTAAGGTGCGATAGCAGAATTTTGTGTTTACATAGTACTCTTATACGAGGGTCATCCAAAAAGTGAAGTTCCCTACCTTGTATCTTCCCACAGAAAAAAGATAAATCTAATCAGTTAAAAAACACAAATTAGGCACACTCTAACAATAAGTTTTAAAACAAGCTCAAGCTTTTGAAAATTGGTTAAGGGGTTCGCGAGAAAATTCAATTTTACTGAGAAAACCTCCTGTTGCTGCGTGCCTACCGCCAGAGTCAGGATGCGCAGATTGTCGACTATTTCAGACTCAGTTTATCCCCGTAAGCATCACATCAAGAAGGACACTGCACTTTTTGACATAGTCTCCACCTCTGTTTTAAAATTTTTGGTATCAATATAGCAGCTTCAAACTGTTTGGCGTTGTTTCCCCAGCGAAATTTTGTGGACCTAGCACAATTTCGCCACCTTGTTATAGCAGCTTTTTGACGCTTTCGTCGTAGAGGCTCTTGTCTTGGTTTCGAAACCCGTCATTGACAGCGCTCTGCACTTTCGATCAGTTGCTTTGCACAGGGAAATTTTTCCCCATCCTCCATACTCTTTCAATTCAGCCTCATAGGGCTTGCATCTGGACCCAGACCTGAAAAACTTCCTCAGTGGAGGGCAGTCTCCAGCTGATTTGGAGGGGCAGAGTGCTGTCAATGATTGGTTTCAGTGCCAAGACAAGAGCTTCTTCTCTGAAAACGTCAAGAGGCTGCTGTATTGATACCAAAAATTTTAAAACAGAGGTGGAGACTATGGCAAAAAGGGAGGTTAGGTTTATTCAAGGTCTATTCAATCAAAACTTTGAAATTCCTCCTTGATGGGATGCTTACGGCGATAATCCGAGTCTGAAATAATCGAGTCTCTGTGCATCCTGACTCCAGCAGTGGGCACGCGGCGACAGAAGGTTGTCTCAGTAAAATTGAGTTTTCTTGAAAACCCCTTTTTGGATTTTCAAAAGCTTGAGCTTGTTTTAAAGCTTAGAGTATGCCTGATATGTGCTCTTTTAAAGATGTGATTTATCTCTCTTTGTTGGAAAGATACAAGGTAGGGAACCTTACTTTTTGGATAACTCTCGCCTAAGACCTAATAAGCTGTCTTGCGTAGCATGATAATAAAAAATACTCTTTTTCATTATTCTTAGGCTGAAATTCATAGATTTTAAATCATTTGAACAATTGCTGAGAGTCTTACAGATGATTGGTGGCAATTTGACAAAGATTGGAGGCTTCTTTAAATGAAATTTTCCGCTCCATAGTTACCGAGTCCATTTTCTCAAAACTTCATAATTGCACTTACGGCTCTCTTTGCTATTAAGAATTACCAAGTACTACTGTATCCATCCATTTCACAGTCAATGTTTGCTTAGGAGATCAGAGTCTCTGAATTTTAAACTTTTTTCCTGCATTAGAAATTCCATGAACCAGAAAATAAGCATAAGTTATGTTACATTTTACTTATGTGTTTATTGGACAAAATTATAACTGAACTTGTGTTAACTGTAGACGTCTTAAGGTTTGGAGTGAGTTTATAGGACATTTTTTAATTTGAACTATAGATAGGTGCTGAACATTTTTATACTTGGATTTTCTTTTGCAGGCCCTTTTCCCCTGAGCTGTCTTGTACAGTAGAAAGAAAAGGCAAAGATGAACACTGCAGGGCCAATATTTAAGCCTCCTACTAATGGAATTTCTCATATTATTTTGGCTTTAGGCTTACAGTAGGCATTAGAATATCTTACTCCCAAACTGTGCAGTCTCTTTCAGGGAAAGAGGATAAAAATACTGAATGAAGAATAAACTAAATTCTAAAAGTTTACTCACCAGGATAAACATAAGACCAAACAGAGGTTTGTCCAGAATGCATAACAGGACTATGAGATGAAACTAGCTTGAGGACATTAACATTAGGTTGTAGTGGTTCAAAATGATTGAGAACTTCATGGCCACTGACAATGTTTTCTTGCATTGTGTAGACTGAAATACAACCATCGCTACCTCCACACCACAGTTCACATATTCTGAAATAAAAAAAATAGCTTACGTTCCTTCCACTAGAAATCAGTTAAAAGAAATGAAGCAGTCATCATTAACAAAGTAATCATTACTCATCTCCAACTTCTATCCAAAAAAAGGAACCCCTTCATTTCTCAATAGGGCCTAAAGATTTTCAACAAACTTCTTAAAATTTGTATCATGATCAAGTCTTGAATGAAATCTGCTTTACTGAGTTGTTTACTGCCTCTCCAATTTAACCAGCTCTACCATGTCTAACACGAGCTACAGAGATTGGTAGAAATGATGAGTTTCCACTCAATTTTTCTATGCTATTATCTATACTCCACATTTGGCAATGATGACTGACTGGTGATGTTATGAGGTGCCATTTTCTTAACTCTTATCCTAGGCACCAGTAGATAACTTTCGAAATTCCAATGCTTTTTTTTGTAACCAAGTCAGATAGGAAATGAAACCTAAGACGTTGTGAGAGCATACAAATGTTAATAGGTTTGGGGGAAAATAGTAAATTGATATAGAAAAATCTTCGGTAGATATTCATACTACAAAAAAATTGTGATGAGTAAAAAATGGTGAATAGTAAAATCACTTACAATCCATCATCCATGAAGAGTGCTGTCAAGGTATGGAGCACAGTAGTTGAACCAAGCTCAGACATTACAAAAGACCCTTCTCCCATTGACGATGTGGCAGGTAGAATGTCTGAACGTACCAGAAATATTCGACCGTTAGTGAGACCGACTGCTACACGGTCTTGAGATGGCATGGTCAATATGGCACAGACTCCTGCTGTTTTTGATTCAGCCTCTGGAAGAAGGTTGTAGCTGAACAAGTGCTGACATGAATAAGCACTGAAACCAAAATTAAATAAACATATTTAGTGAATTTCAAGTTTGATGAGACGGGTATGCACAGATCAAAAAGTAAAAATTTTGTCAGTAAACACTGCCTTCTTCGCAATTTTTGATACCAAGATTAAGGGGTACCTTCAGTACTATTTCTAAACCTGAACGATCATTTCTGAAGGTCTTCTTTGAGGGAAAAGTTGCATTGATTGAAATAAAGTTGCAATTTTACTGCCACTAAGTTGCAATGAGATTGCTAAGATCATCATTCAACATTTGAAGGATTTCACTTGATTTAACCACAATTTTTTTACGAATAACAATGCTGAAAATCGGCATCACAAAGTAGAGATTCTATAGAGCTTTCACAGTGATGAATCTCGATTGTTGGTTTCAAAAATATTGCAATCAACTGCTGCCAATAAAATAGGAATAATCCATCAATAGGAGGGTAACTTATCACAATCATGAATATTGGCAATGTGTCAAACGTCAAGCAAATTAAACTGCATGAAAAATATTTGTGTCACTCAAAGAATTTTGCACTATGACCATACATCATCTGTTACTAGAAATAGGTAATTTTGTTGAGAAGAGAAAGAACCTCAGAAAAACAACCCACATTACATATTATTATAGGCAAATTAAGCTGAATAGGAGGTACTTATGCTAAACTAGAACTTCTACATTTCAACTACACACCAACTTGTCATACGGCAATGGGTACATTTTGTTGAGGAGAGAGAGCCTAAAAGGAGCCCATGAATGTATTGAACTGGCCATTGCCAATTTCAGAGCGTTTCACTCTATTATTTGCCAATGTACTAACCAAAAGGTTAGAGATTAACCACTCAACAGGCATTAATTATGCAAAAACTTACGCAAAGGCATGGATCTGACCCTTGACATCACCAAACCAGACACTGTTTTCCACCAAGCACATTGCAGTTGGACACTCGGGGAGCGAAAGAGAGGTATACTGCTGCCAGCTTTTTTCATTAGCTGTCAACTGATCAATCTTTGAATTGGCACACGCCAGCCAAACTTCCGCAGTCACCTCGTTTTCTTCCTCTGCAGGATAAATCAAAGAGACTTGGATAAGAATAACTTAATATACGTCTGCAAAAAATAAGTTTTTAAAAACGCTGGGGATTTGATAGCTGTATCCTGTGTAATTTAATTATGGGACCGTTCATAATTCACTCTAAGGGGGGAGGGGGGTTGAGGAGAGCACTAGGCGATTTTGTTTGTATGTGTTTAAGATAGGGATCTGCGCCTCAAAAACTGTACAAGGGGGGCAGGAGGGATGTAAAAAATGCCCCAAAAAGGCATTATGTAATTTGTAAACGCTCCCTTTCTGTCTATTTTCACCTCATACCCAGTTGTTCCAGTTTGTTTGCTTCCTGAAAGTATTTTGATCATTGCCTCTCCACGCAATAATAATTTGACACATTTCAGTCTTGTAATAGATGTTCCTTGAATGAATACTGATAAAATCATGCTACAGGAGAAAAAAATGACAAAGCAAAATCTTTATCTAAGACAGAATTTACCATTTGAATTGGAGAAAACAGCTGATACAGCTGAAACAACAGATGAAGGGTGTGACAGCGAGGTGACGTCATAGAGATGTGCAAACTCAGGAGCCGAAGCGATAGAAACGATTTGACTTGCTGAGGGCCTATCACGAGGCCCCTGTGCCCAGCAGAGAACCATTAAATCCAACATGTAGCAAGGATAAAGTGTTTCCTAAAACATGCAATGGGATACTTACATGCTGAAAGAAAATTACTTTTTGCAACTAAGGCATACCTACTTATTTCTTAATATTATGCATTTATGAACAAAATTAAAGACAAGATAAGAGAAATCTTGAGCCTTATGCTCTCATGGAGATAAAAATGTAAAATGTTTCCTAAGAATCTGTGATGCAGCGAATAGACACTTTACCGCTAGAGATGATAAATTTTAATAATTTGAAGATCTTCCTTCAGTTTCAAAGAGAGAAATCAATGTCTGAAATTATGGTGACTCCTATTAGTAAAATGAAAGTTTAACCTCGATCAGACTTTGATGATTTGAATTGACTTGAGACTTTAAAGCCATACTTCGATGATTACTACAGTAAAATTAAGGGATGGCAAGATTTTAAGTAATTATAAGGATTCCAATATATAGACAGTTTGTGTCAAAATGCAATTATCTGGCCATGAACGGTGCTGCAGAGCTAGAGGTGCCATGACTCCCTCCCACCCCCACCCACTGGGTCCAAAGTGCAATTCTCTCATTCATATGTGTCTCTTGGATGATTTTCTTTCAAAAAAAAGGTAAGACTTCACTCTTTTGGCCAAATTTTACATAAAAAAAAAATCCCATTTCTTGTGGAAACCCTGTTTTTCCCTCCATTTAAGTAATCTTCCCATAAAAAAGATAAGTGACCAATTAAAGACCTAGGAATAAGTGTGAGCTTTGGATGGCCAAAATTCTAAGGGTGGTCCATTGGAACTCTCAGATATGAACAACACCTAAGGAGCAAGTTTTTCTAACAAAAGCGTTCTTTGAACAACCCCCAGTGAGCCGTATCCAAGAAGTGAACAGGATACGTCAGTCAGTTTGTGAGAAAGTAAAGAAGGCTAAAACCAAAACTAAAAAACTCAAACTCACAAAAAATAATTAAAATCGCCGACGCGTTTCAGGGCTCTCCGGCCCCTTCTTCAAGGTTAAATTCTTACTCATTTTAATTTAATAGTTTTAATTTTTTAGTTTTTTAGTTTTAGTTTCGACTTTCTTTACTTTCTTATTTAGCTCACAGTTTGTTACCTCGTTTTCCCGTTTGTTTCGTTTTGTTTTCGTTACTTTCGGTTTATTACTTTATAGTTAGTGAGAGTCTTATTTACATTTGTGCAGCTTATCTTACCTTGTGAGATAGAGGAGGTCTTCCACCTTCTAAAATACAATCTTTCACAGATTCGTGGTTTTCAAATGGTTGGTGTAATGACAGCAGCTCGTAAATGAACATTCCGAAGGAAAAACAGTCAACCTATAGAAAAAGTGGCAGAGAGCTTGGAATTACAATACACTTCATACACAATTAAGTTGGCTTTTTTTTGGGGGGGTGGGGGGGATGTGGTTCGCTAGAGACTAGAGAGTTCTTGTTGAGGCAAGAATAAGACACTGCGTTCTGAAAGGACCAATACTGGAGATACTAAGGACCCTGCTCCCCAGGTGCTTGTAGCAGTCTTCTGTATCCAAGTCAGTTTAAACAAAAATTTCAAACTGCTTGGATGCCAATCATTTGCATTCATAGATTGTATGAGTTGCTGTTTTCTCCTCATTGCCACACCACCTGTACAGCAGAACTCCTTGAAAGATTTCATCATATTGTAATACAAAGAGATCCAATCCAGCTGACATTCAAAAATATTACAAACAGTCTGAACTATCTGGAGAGAAAAGCTGCCACTGCATTGCACTATTGTACAGATGGTGTATTGGAGGAAAGCTAACGATTTTACTCTTAGAATTCATGAAAAGAATCGACCATCTTGAGTAGCGGCATGAATACTGAGCAATGAGACATTAAATTAATTTATAATTATATTGCAAACACGCTGTTGAATCAATTTCAACATGATAAAGTTGGGAATTTGGATCATGGTCTTAATTGCGTTTAAAATTATGGAAAATTATGCCTCTCGTTTTCAAGACAAAACCAAGGCAGACTTGATCAGTAAAAAATTTAAATTAGAATTGGAATTAGAGGAAACGGGAGAATTTTTTGTTCTTCAAAAACAAACAGAGATGGAGCATCCTTTTCCTTTTGACATAAATTTTTCTCACTGGAAATCTATTAACTTCTTTAGGGAACCTAACTTGACTTACAGAAATTTGCAAACACAAAAATACTTTAAATTATTGCCAAGATGTTGTTCAATTACAAGCGCAGCCATATCAATGAGATATGACCCTCATCAAAAGAACTTACCTTTTCAGTGTACTCTTCCTCTCCATTGAAACGCATGATTTCAGGGGCCATGAATCCCTCTGTTCCACCAAAACCTTTTGTTCCTGAAGGCAATGTTAGACGACTGATGCCTGAAAAAGGAAGACATTTGAAATATTGAAATTTAGATATGTCTGCACAACAAGAAAAAAGTTTTTTTTAATACTAATGCAAAGAAACAATGATAAAAGGAGATAAAAATATAAAGGGAGATTTGACTTGACATTAAAAAAGGTCCTTGGAGACCAGCTTTGGAACGGTTATACGAGTAATGCCAATAATGCTGTGCTGAGATTAAGGAAAGAGGTATTAAAACAGATTATCAACATAGAAGAAGATTTAACTGTACACTATTGACTTACCATAATCAGCTAATTTTAGATGAACTGGAACCTCAAAACTTGATTGAAATGGCTGAGGAATTGACCACACTAAAACATTTTCACTTTTTAAATCTCGGTAAATTATGTGCTGCTGGTGTAAATATTCCATTGCTTTGGCAACCTGAAGAGTAGAAAACACATCAAAATGATCAAAACAAACAATTTTGAGATTGTTAAACAGACAATTTCATACATATGGTGAAAGTATATGAGGGCCCACTCCCACATACATTAAAACTAATAACAGCTTTGTAACCTAACTTGAATTACCTACCGCTTTAGGGGAAAATTGGGTGTTATTGCTATTGTTATGATGTGTTAAAGGGGAAATGTTAAGCAGAACTTAGGAAGTTTAATACACATTTTTGTAACTCAAACAAAAAAATCTGAGTGACTTGGAACTACTCTCACAGTTCATGAGTTATAACTAATTATTTTTCTAGTCTCTCACTTTATCCTCTTCTGCAGTTAATACTTGATATCAATGTCCGTTATTTAACGAACCAATAATGCTATTAAAAACAATCTTGAAAATTAGAGGGAGATATCTGATACAGCGTTACAAAATTTAAAGATAGTTCCCCATTTTTGCAAGCACAGAATCGACAATTTTGGCTTCATATTTCATTTTGCATAACCTTTGCCTGAGGAAAAGCAAAGTAAATATATAAATATGTACTGTTATGGACTCAGATACTGAGTGTAAACATGAGATTTAACAACAAAAAAGCAAATGAACGCAAGATAACAAATTGTATGTATTGTTGGAGTTTTAGGAAAATACCAGGAGAAGAGAGGGAAAATTTTTTCACCGTTCCGTTTTAATACACATTACTTCGTAGTTGCACTGAATTTCTTACCTGCAAAATCACAGCTTGGAGTGTATATGGCTCCAGTTTTGCTCCGGACCTTCTGTAATGGCGGAGTGTGGCATCGAGAGCTCCTAATGGAGCTAGGTCCAGCACTATGGCAAGAGGTCGTGCGCAGACTCCAACTAGAGGCACGATGTTCGGATGGCGAAGATTCATTAAAATATTCAATTCTTGCCTTGCGGTGCAGTAAGCTTTTGATGCATACTGAAGTGGATCTCTCTCCCATTTACCTTGAGCACCCTAAAAATTGAGTTAAACTTAAATTAGGACAACTTTCTTTTACTTTAAGGTTATACATAATGTACTAAAACTGTTTTTATAACATGAGTTTGAATTGGATGAAACACTTCTACGAGAATACAAATGTAACTTCCTGCAAAGAGACTTTTAGGCATTTATCTGACTTACTCTTGAGCTCACCTGAAATTTCGGTAAAAAGTTAAAATCAAAAGGAGAAAAATTCAAGAATTTTCCACAGTTCTCATTTTCAAAGCTGTATATAAAATAAATGCACAGCAAATCGAAAATATGCAGACACATTGGCCTCACAGGATGTGGAAGCAGGGGGAAATTTTCTGTCAAACCCAGCGTATTTCCTGTAGCAGTTTTTATTCATACATGAGTAATAATAGAGTACATATAGTTTTTATTACAAAACATGATTTTGTGAGATCTTTGCAGAAGGAGAGCACAGTTTAAGATATAAAACTGGTGAGGACCTTGAAAGAGTTTTTACATCGCAAATATAAATTGACGTGATTAGAACATTGTAGGAAAGGTTCAATACCATTGTTAACATAATTTACAACTACAGCTTGTTTCAGCCAACAGAATAATTTTGCTGAAAGAAAACCACCAATAGAGGAAGGAATTAAAAAAAGAAGTGCTCAACCATAAATGAGCTTGAGACTTATCTCACAGGAAAAAGTGAATATAATTGAGCTATAATGAAAAAAGATGTAGAGAATCGCAACTCGCATGCTACCTTAAACGCAATAAATGCAGATTTGCTGGCATTTGGTCCTGGTTGTACAGGTTGAAGCATTTTCATTGCTACATCTATACTTGTATTAGTGCCACGAACTTTACATGATCCTTTGAAAACAAAACCAAAAGCTCCTCGGCCCAACAATGGTCCACGTACAATGTTCTGCGGTCGAATTAGATACCTCTCCCCTAAGTCTAGGAACATCTGTTTTTCAAAAAGAGAACAAGTAAAGTTTGATTAATTTGAAGGATCCAAAAACTCATTATTAACCACAAAATGCACATCATCTAGAAACATTCTTATATTCTGTAAAATTTCCTGAAGACTAAAATGAGCTGAAAATCCTACTACGAATATTTTAGAGAAACAGTCAACGGTCTGTAGGGTTTTAGAATTAAAATTGTAATTGTTTTGATGATCAAAGAGCCTCAAAGAGGAGGAGATTAAAATCATCATTAGATGAAAATTTTTGAAGAGGAGCGCGCATTCTTTGCCTTGAGCACAACCACGGTTACTGAGCATCCAAGAAGGGGATTTTTTGCAAACTCTAAATAAAGTAGAGAACATCAAGAAATCTCCAAAAAGAAGAATTTGCTATTCTCTTTTGGCGCTTAAATCAAGCAAGGTAAATTTTGAGAATGTTATTTATTTTCTCTGCCATTGATATACTGAATGCATTAAAAGTGGTATTATCAGCTAAACTTTCCTAAAAATGTGCACTGCCATCGATGCCTGTCTTGAACATTGGAAATATCTGTTTTGCAGTTGAACTCTTGCAACATCAGAGTGCAGAGAGAGATGTGCTGAAATGATTTTGGTAAAACTGTAGGCTTTTTTGTGATGAAAAAGGATATGGTTCTTGTAAATTTGATGGTTGTCAGTACGTCCTTCACCTCTCTGTCTTTTCTACAGATTTTTGCATGAGAAGTAAACAAAGTCAACTAATGAATTGACTTCTGTGCCAATTAGAAACCTAATATCAGAGCTTTTCTTCGTTTTGAATCAGAATTTCCAAATTATCTATCTAAAAAACATTCCATTGTGAAAACTTGTTAGATAGTTTCTTGGGAAAGTTTGACCCAGACCAGAAATATTGGACGCTATATACTAAAAAAATAGTTTTGAGAAACATTATCGAAGGAGTTTTAAAAAAATTTTGCTCTTAAAGCAGAAAAAATATATCTTAGAGTGGAACCTCATAAAGAGACCTCTAGAAAGAACTGCTGTCATAAAGATACAGGAATTTTAGTACAAAATTGACCTAATTGATTGGAATAAAAAAAAACATTACCGTATCAGGAGCAACTTGAGCCAGAGGTATGTCCCCATGATTTGGACATTTTATGATTTTCTTGTCATAAGCAGCCAAAATGCACTCTTCTACCATCCAACAGTACTCCACTTTGTTGATATCTTCTTCCTCATCACCATTCAAACAAGGATGACCTTCTACTGACGGCTTTCGACTGAAATCAAATATTTTTCCAAAATTAGTGGATTAGACCCTTGGGCAGGAATAGTACTGCTAAAAACAAAGTAATAAAATATGAACTGTGAAAAGAGACCTGATGATCAAAACTTAGAAATTAAAGAAGAACTTACACTTCGATAATACTTTGAATATATTTTAAGGGAAACAGACAAGACATTGTTTGAATCCAGTTCAAATAAAAATCATCCTGTGATGTTATTGAAACAAGATTGCTGTTGAAATGTGTTGAATGATGCTGTTTGCCGAACAAGTTGCTGTTCTAATTCAGAAATTTTACAAAGGGAACTTTAAGGGGTGATGAGCAATAATTTGTTGACTGCCTTGACTTTTTTTGTTTTCGGACACACAAGGCCAATGCTGATCTCTAGGTATAACAAAAACTATAGTTTGGTTGCTTTCATAGTGCGACTAGTACTATCTATTGCCTAGCCGTGCAACTGAACATTACTACAGTCTCCTAGAGAGTGTAACTATGTTGTCCTATCATGATTCCTTTTCTTGCCAACTTGCTAAAAAAGTCAACTGCCGCTGGTGCCGCTTCCTTTGATCAACAAAATCTAGAGAAGCAAAGGAGAGGACTTATTCGAAGAAAATGATATGAAAAGATACCTTGAGCCAGGACTATCAGGCCCCACACCACTGTCAACATCAGACGTGTAACTTTCTTGTGACTTTCGAACGGGCCAATTTTCACCATTGCTCTGCTCAGCATCGAATAAACCAAAGGGTTCCACTGACTGACCCTCAAGTATTTTCTTGGAGGCTGCATCAGAATCTCCAGGACTAGGCCCACTAATATCCAGTTCTGAGACTAGCGTTGAAGCAATGCAGTGAGGACACGGTACGAGGCGAGTAACGAGAAATTTTCCCTCCGATGTATGTACAAATCTTGTTCCTGAAAACAAAGCCCAAGAGTTACATTCAAAAACAAGCTTGAACAACTGAATTATATTCTCAAAGCTTTGAGCACAATGATTTGCTTGATTTCAAAGCACTGGTTAAATATCGTTATGATTTGATACGATGGTCTTTACGACCTCCTCATGAGCATGATGACCTCGTATGATGACCTCGCATGATGAGCCTTTTTTGAAATAAGCGAAGCTGAAAAGTGAATTCATCCGCATTTTTACCTGCATTGTTTGATATAAATGTTGGTGAGAGAGGAGAATTCCTCTTTCCTCGTTGCATGCTGGCCGAGATGATGAGACAGAAACCTAGCGTTCGTCACTTCAGAGCAAAAGGGTCCACATATCAGAAATATGTTGGTAGTACCACTTTTCTATGAGAGTATGCGTTTAATAACAACGAAAAAGTCAATTTCCATCAGGGCTCTTCTCGAGGGATCACCCCATTAATGCATTTTCTGCAAAACTAATCATGGTGACCGTTTTGTAGATGCCTAGCATGGGCAAAAATTGTCCAAGTGACCCTTCAATAATGAGCCAAACGGTCAAAGTGGTCAGTCTGTAATATGGCGACTTTTCAATATATATCCAAGCAATATATATGAACGCTACTGGGAGGTCTCCTTGGAACCACTCATAAAAAACGGATTAAGATGCAGTTGAGAAGAGGCGCTAGTACGGCAGAGATAGTAGGAGGAGCAGTTTTGGTCTTCGCATTCTGCCATTTTTTTGTGTTCTTTTGCTAAAATATGTAAGTTGGTGGGGAGCATGTTGACAATTTGCATGACAAAACAGAGAGTGGCTACCATAAAAATTAAAAAAAAGAAAACTTCATGAAAAAACTCGAAGCTTATATGCACAATGATCACTACAGCTATTTGAAACCAACACTGACATCCATGATTCTTCAACTTTTCCATTTCCATAACAAGACTTAAAGGTGGAAAATAGATGAAACGAGAAAAAAGAGGAAAAGTAATGATTCTTTAACAAAAATCTTCGGCATACGAATTCTTGGAACCTCTCTCCCTCCCCAAGTTTTTCCAGATTTTATAATGATCTGCTGATTATGACAACTGGTTATATCAACCAGTTACAATTACATTTTCCAATAAAACTTTCAAAACCAAAAGATTTACAGGTTTCTACTGCGAGTCAGATTTGGACTCTAATATGCATATTGCACTCTAAAGTTGTAGAAAATAGACTTACCTAGAGTGGGATACCAGTCTTCTAATAAAACATCGATGTGATCGATAGTCACTGCAAGGAGCTGTGCGGAATACTCAGGAGATGGATCTAAAACAAGTGCGTGGTACCCAATGGTTTCGGTCGGCTCATTCTGGTCCATGATTGGTCGTTTGATAACAATTGTATCTAATGGCATGTACACTTCTAATATAGATGAATTCGCTACATCAACACTATTCCAAATGCCTTCTTGTTTGAGTTTCATCTTGAGAGTTCGATAATCGACTGGTGCGCTTTTCAAGCCCGGCAGAATTTCCTTCATTCGAAATAGCACAAGGTCACTGTAACGAAGCTCCATTCCTGTCTGCCAGAGAACCCACTCCACTTTGACATCCAGCAACTGGGCTAATTTTGCATCTTGCGAGACCTGTTGTAAAAAATGTTAATTTGAGACGCACTAATTGGTGATCTCACTAACTTCATATGGTGAAACTTGATGATAACAGAATTTTCTGGTAGCAAAAAATAACTGTTAAAAATATATGTACCTTCAATTTATGGTCCATGGAGCCGTTATATCCACACAAGACGGCATGGACCATAAATTGCGGCAGAAGAGTTGCACGATCAAGAGTGTGCTCATGGCTTATTTTGGAAGAATATTTTTAGATGCCATCTTAGCTTTCTCACCGATAGACATGTAAATAGAAGCTCAAAATACGCAACTTTGAACTTGTATTTCAAGGATAGTTGCGTTAAGAAAATTTGGTACAATTTCTGCGAACTAAGCCCCTTCCTTACTTTTAAAAAATGTAAGAATTAAAAATGAGTGAAGAAGCTCATTTTACAGCTGAAAAAAGTAGCTCTTAGCCTTTTTGAATAGAGGAGAAAAATTCTCCTTTCTTACTGCTTCTTTCCAGGAAAAAAATGAATTAAATACCTCTTTCGGGATGATGAAAAATGATCGAACTATTTCAACGATGGAATCATCAGCCAAGACTCTGGTGATTAAACGAGACCAGAACCCAGATGGAAAGTAGGACATGAGCAATAGCCGCCGTATGGAGACTTCTGGGTCTGAACGGTGACTTAATTCAGGAATAGGTTCTTCACAGATTGGGGCAGGCTGTTCGACACTCACTAAAACCAAAAAAAAGTCAATTAATTTTAAGTATGATTAAGGTGATAAAGTAATTCTAAAAAAAAATTCAAAACTAAACTGAAAACAAAAAGATCAACAAAAATTTTTTTTTAAATTTTAAGCTGAAATTATTTTCAGAAATAATACCAGGTAAATCTTGAATATCGGTAGATTAAAGGGCAAACAGCAATTAAGGTGGGTTCTGGAGAAAGAGTAAATCATGCATGGGCAAAACATTTCTCTGATCTGTCTTATCTGGTCAAGGAAGAGGGCAATATAGTATCAACCGTCATTGCCGTTTGTCAAGTAAGCTGATGCTTGGAGTGACAAGTACACCTGAACCATTATGGGCCTTTCTTCCATAATTTCATTCCAGGTAGAGAAGACGTTTGCGAAAAATACTCCTCTACTCGGGCAATCTTTTCATTTCGACATAGGAATATTTTTACTAATTTATGGTGTTGTTGACAAAAGTTTCACCTGAATGCATTTAGCATTCAAATTCTGACGATACAATCATTTGTTGCTTTTTAAGATATTTTTACAAAGAATTATGGAGCAACCTCATTTATTTCTGTTTATGTATTTAGAGAAATAAATAGGAAATAATAATAAAGAAAAATATTTAGCGGCAAAATGATACATTTTTCTCTTAAAAAATCTGAACCTAATCATCACTTGATAAACAACGGCAGCATTCCACATACTGATGTTTTCTCCTTCTGCCAGCAAAAAGAAAAGAAATGCTTATAGATATTATTATCCTTGAAATATTGCAATGTCAAAGTTAAGATACCTATTGACAGAGCTGTTCACATATTATTTTACCTGAGCTATAGAAAAGTGAATTTCCAACAGCAGTAGTCGATGTGGAAGGAGGTTTTTTGGTGCGGATGGCCCACCCTCGAGAGCGAATGGGTATCTGAAAAAAAAAAAATGGAAAACAATTAGCAAGTATTAGAGAAAAAATGGACTCGGACCTCAATAGAGAAAATGAAAGAATGAAAATTTAGTCTTATTTGCTGCATGAGAAGACGAGGTGCGTGAGAAAAAAGAGAAGAGGCAGGCCGATGCATGCATGCATCTTACTCCATAATCTTCAAGTAAGAAAAATACGATTAAATTTCAAGGAAATTTCAGTTTGCTTTGGGTTCCTCAGCATAGGGTTACTCTCTCTTAATTCTAGGTTAGTATCTACTATTCTACTAAGCATCACTATCAATGGACCACTGGACAAGGTACGAATATCAGCATTCTGATACATGTTTCTTCATCAAAATTTCACGTAAAACACGATGCGCACAACAAAAATGACCGAAATTAACTTCTTCCTAAGATATTTAATGATTCTTGATGCGTGAATTCAAACTACCCGCTCATGAAAACTCAATGCTCTGCGTGATTCACATCGCGCGCTAAACATTATAATGACAGTCTCAGCGATATAAGAATCTGGCAACCTCAATCTTGACGCTTTGGCTCAGCTATAGCAAATTGCTTATAGTTTGAACAACACATGGTGGGAAATGAACATTGCTCGATTGAGAAGCTTGCTAAAACCGTTGTAGTGCGCGATTTGACACACGTAGAGCTTTGAGTTTCTTGTCAGCAGGCAGTTCAAATTTCTCGTAACCAATGTTCAATAAAAAACGTTAATATCTTCGTTAGCAGTTGGTTGCAGTAATTTTCGTTGCGCGAATCGTGTTCTACGTGAAATTCTGGTTAAGTAACATGTATCAGATTGCTTAAATTCGTACCTTGTCTAGTGGTCCATTGTCCACAATTTGAAAGAATGGAGGATCATCACAAAGGTAAGTCACTCGACATTATATTCCTCTACTCTTGTGAATTTTAATCATGAAAAAAAGGTTTATGCTAATTCAGATGATAATTATGACATATAGATTATCATCACTGAACAGATTTAAGTAGGACAGACATATCTAAATCACTGAGATTTTGAAGGCTGATATCGGATTTGGTTAGAAAGGGGCACGGCAGATTTTAAAATAGATAGCATTACGCGCATGCAAAGAGTTGGTGGGTCAAAGGTACTTGAAAACACTCAAGATTCTAGGTTTTTGGTTTTGCGATTTCTGTGAAAGTAAGATGCTTTTGCTAAATGCAATTCTCACTTTATAGCATTAAACAAGAGACATCTCTTTAAAAGTAAAAATCAAAAATAAAACTCTCTACCCAGTAAAATCAATACATATTCTGACTACCCATAGTCTTCAATGTATATGCAATACTTGTATTGAAATTATGCTTAGCCTTCGAATTCTGTTTTGATTTCGATTCTATTATTGAAACAGAGAGGTTCTCTTCAAAATTTTAACGTAACAGGGACTGTCTTGATTGAAACTGTTTGTAAAGCACAAAGTATAGTACAAAGAGGTCGTAAAAGAATGAGCAGACAAGTAACAAGTGAGTGAAGGAGTTTCAGGTTCTTGGTTCTTCTCAGAATGGAGCACATAATTAGGTTGTAATAATTACCTTCTTCTTTTCTTTTTTTACGTCAGAGAGGGTTTCAATTAATGATTCTTATTAGCACTATGTTAAGTCATGATTTGATAAAAGTTCTAAGTTTTTGGCCTTAAAAATCTGCAGAATACCAAAGAAAAGTGCCAAAGCGACAGAAAAGAAAGAAGAGGAATCTGTAAATACCTTTACCCTAACAGAAGGGTTAAAGGAGGACAAGTGATCTTGTTCAGTTGGCAACAAAGAAGGAATGAGCAAAGTGCGGCTGTCCCAAGTCAATGCAACTTCGAATTTGTTTAGCAAGCTGACAATATAACTTCGTCCCTCGGCAATTCCAAGTTGGGATGACTTGAACACGTGCTTTAAATCATCAAGTTTCATGACACCTGTAAAAATAATTAATATGGAATGAAATATACAGTGAAAATGTCTATGTACGTAGAATTGTTTAATAAAAGGAAGTTATAAGACTTTATGATTGTTATAAGCCACCTTCAGTATTGGAGAAAAAGCAGTTTTGCCTGTATTGGAATAATCCAGTTTCAACAGATACAACATTTTTGGCTGATAGACCTGATGTCTTTTTTATAGATAAACAGGCTTGTGTTGGACAGCTTATAGATTTTAGGATTCCTAACAGGCACCATTTATTATCATGATATGAGGAGAAAATGCCCAAGTAAATGCTACTTTAAAGCTCAGAGCTTGAGGACAAGTCAAACCTTCAAGAACAAATGATTCTGACTCTACAGATGTACGTACTTGGCTTTATGATGGTCCAAATTAAAATAAGACGGAAGAAATTAAAGATGGTGGAGCTGATAGTTCCTCTCTGTCCAGAAAAGGAAGAGGGAGAGAGAGGGAAAGAGGAGGGGGGAAGGAAACTGCCGGGGGGGGGGGATGCTGAGATTCATAACAGTAAAAACTGTTAAATGATTAAGTTTTCCCCTCTTCAATTACAGAAAAGGGGAAAAATCCATGATAAATCTCACCTGTTCTTGCAAAAGGATTGATCTCTCTGATCGTAACAACATGGGCCAACATATCACACAACCATTGTGGGTCCAAAAAGTAGAGATCTTTTAGTGTAGCATCATCGTAGTGCAGGAGAACACCTGTGAGAATAATAACATAAAATGACGTATGATACATAGTGACATATTCTACATTTATGCTTTACTATTATGGAAGCAAAAAATGAACTCGTCTCTCATGAGTGAACCAATTTGGCACCCTAACAGCATTCTTTGAACTGATACAAGAAAAAACGAGCACTCTAAGTTGTGATGGAAAAAGGGAATAATGTCTTCGTGAATTCAAATTCCTGAGAGACTAGCATGAATACAACATGTACTATCGTTTGCAAACTATGAGATATATTAGACGAGAATTTATTTCTGTCTGTGCCTGACCCACTGGAACTTAAAAAGCATTACAGAAATGTGTCAGAACTGTTGCACCTAAATTTATGTGCCATAAATAATTTTTTAAAGAGTGCTCAAAAGAGATTGACACATGACAGGAACTACATCTAGACCAGATTTTCTGAGACTATTGAGTTTCAGAAATAAAAGACCTTGTCTACATGGGACTATTCATGAGATTTGTCCTAGGGTCTAGTTCAAGGATGAATCTTTGGGGATTTTTTGCAATTACCGTCTCCACAGAACAGGGTAAGACAACGCTCTCATATTCCTACAAGTTTGTGCGGGAAGATAAATTGGTAAAAACCGAGTATTTAATCAGCATGAGGATAATAATTGAACACAATTAACAATTAAAAAAATTTTTTTAATTAAACAAATATGAAAAAACGAGTTAGAAACAAAAAAATTGATTTCTTTTCTTCTTTCTCCCTCAGTTGGTCTTACATTTCTACAAGGAAAACAAAGACCGAACTTAATATTGTGATTAATATTGAGTTAGTCAATGTTCTTCCTAACTTTGCAAGTGAGAAATTTTGCTGGGACAAATCTCATGAAAGCGTCTCAAGGAGACAAGGCTTGAGGAATTAAGATAGCTGTTTGATCAATTTTGAACAAACAAAAGTAAGCAACATACCATTCTCATGGAGAAATAAGGTAGCCTGGTGCAATTCTGCAGCATCTCTAAAGCTTTTATTGCACAGCTTCTGCATTTCCATACTAACTGTTGATTTATACTGCTCAGCATTCAAGACTGGATCAGCATTATTCGCTCGACGTTCGCTGACCAAATGTGTAATAACATCTTCCAGTGCGATGTAACTTGCAGGCACTTTTTGCTCTAACAATAATTCTTTGCTGCCTAAAAAAAGTACATAAATTCCATGTAAGATAGATTGTATTGTGTTATGATGTGCAAGAGGAAAAAGAGATTGACATGCCATGCTTGTTGTAAAAGTAATCACGTGGACTGCGTTAGATGGAAACGTACCGAGTAGCATCAAGTTTCAACCGAGAATAAGAGGTTTAAAGTTTTGTACCTTCATGTGACTCAATGCTATGGACAAAGTTCAACAATTATTTTTACACTCAAGATATTTTTTTTCGATTTTGCATTTTTGACAGGAGAAAATTTATGACTGATTGAATTCACACACAAATAATTTTCATCCAAAAAACAACTTTATGTGTTTCTTTTCATCCTAGAGGACATTCCTGATGTTAGTAGGTTATCATTTTAATGAAATGCGATGTATTAAAACGACTTGTGAAACTTATTTTTGCTTTAGTGAGGAACAAATTGTGATGTGTTGGCAATTTATGAGGAAATTTTGTATAATGAAAAAAAATAAGTAATGAGTGACTGTGTGGGAGAAAACATGAAATCAAGAATGAGAGCTTACCTGGTGGTTTCAAACTGAAAACAGTGTCATAAATTAGGTTACAAAGCAATTTGATGTTGTGACGAGTCTTGCAGCTAACTTCAATGGTATCTATAACTCTAGGAAGGCCACACTTTTCAGCATCAACAATGTTTATGAATCTGTCAAGAAAAAAGAAAAAAAATGATAGGATGAAAAGATTTAAAAAAAGTAAAAATGAGAAGGTAATGAGGCCTATTTCTTTTCTGAAAACATACTAAAGGTGCTAATTATATCAAAGAAGAGAAAAGGGAATATTCAAAATTAAAGGTTCTGCTAAATCAAAGTTGTCTCTCTGGCAGGTTGATTTTTGACTTGACCTCAATGCATCGAACACAATGAAGCCCTCTCTTAGCTGAGCTTCTTATTGGTGAAAGCCATTGGATAAAAATTCAAAAATTGAAGCACAGGTAAATGCTGAGAGATCAGATTATGTCTAAAATCATGATGGGTTGCCTAAAGCAAGAGTACGTTGCCAACCAAACTTTTACTTACTTATCTCTAATATATTGCTGAAGATCTTCCGAGCGTGCTGAAGGATAGTTTTCCCTCATCATATCATAATGTGTCCCGATTATTATAACAGGGGAGTTTGGCGCACGGGCCTGGAAAAAAGAACAAAATACCAATTGTAGTTACTTATAGTGCTATTTTCTGTACTTACTTGCCTGAAAAAATGGATAGATTTTGTGCTTGTATAGACCGATATATTGCTTACATTCAGAAACGATTTATAAAATAAAATCACTATTACCATGCTAGGATATTTAGCATTCAGCACAAGTTGAAAAAAAATGGTAATCTCAGAAGAAAAGATAGGGAAAACTTGTTTCAAATTGTTTCATTCATTCAGCAATTTCAGATTGTGTGAACATTAAGTATACAGCTAAACCTAAATTGTTATTTCTTTGAATTCTCCTTTTCACTGTACCTACATGACAAACTTAAAAAAAAAAAAAACACAAAATTTTGTTTCAGATAAAGTGAGAGTAATATCGATTACAATACAGGGGCACATGCATACCATTCCGGTTTGTCTCCTGTTTTTGATCAATCATTTGACTCTGCTTAAAAAGGTAAAGACCTGTTCATAAAATCCTGAAGAGATCTAGCAAGGATGTTTGTACCTGAATATTGACTAGCCATTGTAGGATTTCAGATATGCCTTTTTGACCATCTGGAATTTTCCAAACCACAAGATACAGGCTCCTTTTTGATAGAAAATACTGATGAGTAGCATAATACTCCCGCTGACCACCAAAATCCCATGTTCTGAAAATTTTAAATAGCAGATGTCAAGAGGGACTACAGAAGCAATATACAACCAATATTCATCGAATCTTTGCGGTTGACTGCCAGGTGAGACCTAACAAAACTAATATCAAGTTACAGTCGGATGTCAGGCCAGGCCTGACATTGATTCGAAAGTCTGCTAAATTTAATGTCAAGCCGGCCTGACAACTGACCTGAAGCCAAAGTTAATTTCGTCATGTCTCACCAGATTGTCAACCTGGGTGAGTTACTTTTTCACAGACCTCTTAACTCATAAAATTCTGTTCTACATCGTATTACTAATATTAGAAAATTAATTATAACTTAGGGGAGAGGGAGGCGGACAGGTATGATTGATTATAACCACAAAGGATAAATTCATCATGGCCACACCAATAATTGTTATCATTTGCATCAGGGTAATAATACTAGATTAAAAATGTTTATTTTTTTAGGAATATTTATAAAAAGTGTATAGGAGACACCATTATTCAGTTGCATTGCGCTAAAAATTGTACTTAGTTAATGATTTGTACCTGAAAGTAACTGGACCATGGGTGGACTGGCCCCTGACTCTTTTTTCGTAAGACCAATCATTTATATCTACTCCAACAGTGGACAGATTGGTTCCACGGGAATTTTTGACATTGATGTTCTTGTTACCCATTCGTTTAGCCCAATGCTGAAAAGAAAAGTATAGAAAATGATGCAGAGAGAAAGATAGGCAAGTTATTAAATAATCAAGAACTGCAAGATGTGAAAAATTCTGCAGAGAGGAATAAAGCAAAGGTGCTTTCTGCTAAGCTATTTATAGACCTCTCTTGAACATGACGGTGCTGACCAATAACTGCCAGTAAGACTTTCTTTCTTTTTTTCAAAAGTAAAAAAAATAGGTGATTAGAGAGCTTGATTGATTTTTAGCTGTTGAAGCAAGACTTACATAAACAGGCCCAATTACTTACTTGCATTAATTCTGATTTACTATATTGTTTGTAACGTTACTTCTTCGCATAAATTGCTGACTTCATCCGCAGGGCTCCACACCAAAACAGAGTATGTTGTAAAAAAATTTTACTCCCTTTGAAACAAACCGTCCGGGAAAAAAGGTTTTTAAACTTAAAAGATCTGCTTAGTTCTACAAGGATTGCATAGGCAAGATCTCTATCTCATAAAAAGGATAATTTTTTGACTTACTACTTAGTATCAAGTGCTAAAAAAATAAGTTACTACCTACAGATCACAGTATCTGAGAATAAATATGAAAATGGGTATGAAACCCCTTCATGGGATTATGAATTCTTTTACAGGGCTAAATAACTCTTTCAAAAAGCTTCCATTCTTGCATTTCTTATCAAGAAGTAGAATGCAACAGCAGTAAATACAATCAGTTCAAAAAATGAAGTGCTCATGATTTCAATATAAATTTTACACTTATTACCTCAACAGGTTTCTTTTTGTAGGAGCCTGTTCCTTCCTGCCGCAACTGTTCCAGTAAGGATGTTTTCCCAATACCTTGTATTCCAACAATCATCAACTTCATTCTAGCATACGGCTGAGCATCTTCTAGGATTGATTTCAGATAGCCTATCACATCCATTGTTTTATAGGCATTAGATTCAATCATTGCCTTTAGTGGTCCTTGAAGATTGCATCCTCGAGTATTGAAGCTCCACAGCCGTGACAGTAAACCCATTTGAGGTGGTAAATCACTTATTTCTGAAGAATACATACATCAGCATGATAAAAGAGTGACTCATTGATTAAAAAAAGAAGACTAAAGTCAAAACTTAGTAACAAGAGTCGTATAAGTTTAAAATAATAGTTTTTGCTCCAAATTTTCTCATGATGCTATGATAAAGTAATTGAGTGTGTCTCACACAAAACTACCTGGAAAAAGCCTAAGATTTACCAAAAGTACCCACCAAAGTCAGAAGAATATATGTACCAATTAAATATTACAAAAGATATAGTCTCAAAAGTTTCAAGGTTCAGAGACACTCGCTTTATGTGAGTGTGCAATAGCAGTTTATTCATAAGGGTTCTTAGGGTAGAAAAATACAGGCAACTGTGCTCAGGCCCACAAAATAATTGGTAAAACTGGAAGTTTTTATCACAGTCTTGAAGCATGAAAGTCGTAGGGAATCTCACTATACCTAAAATTGAATCCTTATGATAAGATTTTCTTGTGCCTCAATCTGTTAAAAGAAGTTTAGCAATAAAGAACTTGTTGGTGAGGAGTTTTTAAGAGAAATATTTACTGTCAAACCTTTGTCTGTCACTCGATTGATCCCTGTCAGTATACAGCCCTTCCATTGGCAGATCAAATCATCAACTAGGTCCTCCAATGGGAATACAGACACAGGCAGAGATAAGGTGGGAGACAGAGCCAAATTTAAATGACAGGGCACTTAATATATTTATATGTCAGATGCAATACACGAAATATTATACCTGTGTTTCCTGCAACATTCAGCACCGATAGATTTGACAGTTTGTAGATAGAAGCAGGAATTCTCTTCAGTTGATTATTGCTCAGATCTAACATACTGATGTTTGGGAATATCAATCGAGACTTAAGGGTGAGTGGGCATGTGTCACTATTCATGTTGACAAAATCCTAAAGCAAAAAATGAGGACTTAATAAATGATAAAAAAATAACATTAACACGGAAACTAGAAAATAAGATTACTTTCTACTACGCTATATTACTTCTCATAAAGAAATATTTTTAACAATTATGACAGAGGTTTTCAAGTGCAGAATCAATATTTAAAATGCATTAAAATCAATTGAAAAGTTCTCAGTGATAACTCAATATAGTAGAACCAACCGAAAGTCTCTTTGTTCAAAACGATGAAAGAGTTACAGAATTAGTTCTAGAGAACTCACCCAATCTGATTCTTGATCTTCGCCTTGAGTGCTACTTATATTAGAACCATCATCATCGGTGCAAAGTTGAATTCGAGTTAACGCATTGTCAGCGAGTATTAAAGTGCGTAAAGAATCGAGCCTCAAGTGACACCGATGAGGACATACACTATTAAGCACTGAAGTCCTAAGATTTTGAGATCGTCTTCCTGATAAAAATAAAAAAACAAAAACATAAATTATTCAAGAGGGTCATATTCAGTCATTTTACATAGAGTTGAGCTGGAAAAAGCAATTATTTTACTGGATAATCCATGATTGGTTTTAGTTGGATACTATTTTTGCTAATATGGATCTAGCAATTGATATGTATTGTCTTCACCAAGCTGCATTCACCAGTTGATGAAAAATTCTAAAAAAAAATCATGTAAATATGTTTCTACAGTCATAAAATTTATGTGAAATCCATTCAATCTTAACCCTTATTTTTTCCAGTTTTAGTCCTGATGAGAAAAGGGTAATAGCAACTTCTTATTGTTGCAACTCTCAAGGAAAGACAAAAATTATCGGAACAGAAATATTGAAAAATGACATTCCACATTGCATCAGAATACCAGAACTATGACAGGATCGATATGCATGAGATAAGACATTATTTTTTTATAAATTTTAATTACACTTTTATTTCCACATTTTGAGCCACTAGACTGAGTAAATAAAATATATTTTAGGGATCTGAAGATTCTAAAAACTCCTCCTCTTGTGAATTCAATGTTTTGATACCACTGGATATTATTCGAAAGTTCAAAATAATTTAACCAGTTTTGAGATGATACCTGGATTTACATTCCACTTACTTTGCAATGGTCGACCAGTCTTTATTCCCCATTTTATAGAAGTATTAATGTATTAAAAAGAAAGGGGGAGGGTTACCATTAAAAATTTTTGTTGAAGTAGATTTGTTGAGACTAGAATCAAGTGCATAACATGTGATTTCTGAGGAGTCTGGGAGAAGATCTGGTTGGGGTAAACTTGGCCAAACACACACTTTGTTGTTGCTTAAATCAAGTTGTTTTAAGGAACTAGGATACGAAGTTATGTAGCCCATACTTCGTAAGCTGGAATGAGAGAAAAATCTTGAGTAACAAGGATACAAGCAAACAAATCAGACAAAATTAAGCTAAATCCATTTGGACACAATTTAAGAAACTAGCTAGTACGAGTGGGACCCTAAAGTAGCCAGACAGCCTTCACTCAGAAGGTAATTTCTATAGCATTGACTTCTTCTTTGGAGAGGGTCACAACTAACTCCTAATGATGCCTTACACATTTGAAATATTAAAACCAACCTCAATTTTTTATTCCATTTTTACTGAAGCATTGTTTCAAGCAGCTGTCATTTTTTGAGTCAATTTTTTTTCTCTCGCTTGCAGTTTTTGTTGCTTGTCTTGGGTTAATCCGAGGATTTAACTTAATTCCTTTTTGGGACAAACAACTGCTACTGGCAACCAGTGATAAGATCATCTGGATATTTATTTTCAAAAATTCTAATACTACTCTGTTATTTTCCATAAATCCAATAACTTTCATTGAAAAGAAAAATTCTGAACTTTTGAAAAAAGTAAAAAAGCACATATTATGGAATTGCCGGAGAGGAGTCCTACTTCATATTTAATTTCATCACCGATTTATCAGCCTAAATGTTCTCTTACTTGCCACTCTACTGAAGAGTGAAATTTACTTGAAAAAACGATTAAGTTCGCAAACTTACTTGTTATAGGCCATATTCAGGCGCGTCAAATTCACAGCCAGACAAGGTAAAACAGGAGGAATGGAGGTAAATTGATTATGAGATAAATTTAAAGCTGATAGTTGAGAAGAGTTCTCTTGACTGCTGTTTTCATCTTCCGTGTGTATTATTTGCTCCGTTATCTCTATATTTTGCACCCACAAAGTATGGTGTATTAGATCAAGATGTTCTGTGTTCTGATGGCGTGGAGTATCAGAGGGTTCCGTTAGGTGAGACTCTAGTCCTGAGTCAAAACTTTTAGAGGAATCGATAGATCCGATACTCCCTGTATCGCTGTTTGCTGCTTCTTCTGGGGGCACTGATGGTAAATCTTTGAGCAGATTAAATGCCACATTAAGTTCTTTTAGTTTTGGTGCTCGCCACACTTGATACGGTAAAGTGTGCAATTTATTATTAGATACATCTAGAGTTACTAGTGATGGTAGTTTGAATATTTCATCCGGTATCAGTTCAAGGCGGTTATCCTGGAAATAGAATGTGCAAGGTCAAAAAAGTATATTCATGCAGAAGAAGTCTATCTGCAATGAAGTTTCCCTGTAGATAGACTTCTTTTGCTCCGCTGCGTTAAAATATGACATAAACATTTAAACCAAAAAACGAAGTGAAAAGAATAATCTAGGTATGAGATGAGATACTTGAAAAATCTTCATACGCACATACAGTAAAACTAAACTGCTTTATAAAAAAAACTCATTAAATTGAGGAGTTTTCTGAAAAAAGGACTTGCAAATTTGAAGACCTTCTCTGACTGAAAAGAAGGTGGATAATTTAAGTACCCTGCTGTTTATGAAACATAATAGGATCAAAAGGCACAAGGGCACTTTTTGACGAAACTGAGACAGTAGTACCACTGCATTATGCTTTTTGAGCCACATCCACAGAGATAAAAAGAAAAGGGCAAAACTTGGATTGTGAAGGTCAGGTTTCCCACTCGATCTTATTTGAAGAGGCATATTCTTTCAAAATTTTCATCCTCAGTGCATAAAACTTACAGATATCTAAAACTGCTATCCTCTCTTTGCATTCAAGATGGAAGTTGTTTTGACACAATTAACTTTGATTGAAACATTCTCTTAAAATGAACTTATGTGGGTAGGATTACAGAAAACCAACTTACTTGTAAAAATAATTCTTCTAACAGCGGAACAGAGTAACCTATGACAGGGTGCCTGGGTCTTGACAATTTTTTACTTGATCTTTCTTGAGTATAGACACGTTCAAAATCACTAATTAATGGTAACCTTTCAATTTTATTTTGTGCTAGATTTAAATACCTAAACATACAACAGAAAGGTTCAGGATCATTAAAATTACATCACAGATACATTTCAGGCAACAGATTTGTGATGATAATTGTACAACAAGAATAAATGAGTGCAAGGAGACAATAAATACCCCTGAAAAAACTTCAGGGCAATTTCTCACCAATACAAACAAAAATAGCAGGAATTTTTAGGAAAATTTTGACGATAAAAACTCAATCTCTTTTGGACAAAGCTGACTTAACAACACAGCATTATAATTTTTTTCATTGATTGTCAAATATATAACGGTGAAGCAGCCAGAGGCTTAGAAGTGACTCACCTGAGACTTTGCAACTGAAATATGACTGGAGGAATCCAATTGAGAGTATTATTGGATATATCCAATCTAGTAATGGCGTAAAGAACAACTTCTTTGCTCTTGGGATTTAGCCTAAGTTTTGGATTTACCCGCAGGGCAGCATCAACCTAGGAAATAAGAATTCAAAGGTCAGAGTAAGAAAAATCAAAAGAAGGTTTGAAAAGCAACAGTCATTTGTTTTTAAACTTAAGAGTGAAGTTTGAAACAAGGGTAAATTTTGTTGAATAGAGATAGAAGTTTCTCCACTCAAAGTACATTTAAAGTACCTACAAATACCATTTTAGTGATGCTATATACCTAGCAAAAGTTCATAGATTACAGACATCATTATTGTTTTGATGAGAATCAACATTGATCAGATTCAAGTATGCTTAAGATTTAAGTTTATGAAGCAACATAATTTTAAAGCATTTTAATTTTATAGCAAAAAGAGTCCTTACCAGCCACTGTGGTTTGATTTTCGACAACTGGCACTTCTGGCAGTGCCAATTTATCATGACTGGAGTGTCGGCAAACAAACTGCTGTATGTCAGTCCTGTGATTCCCCCGAACTGCATAGCTGGGAGGTTTTCACTCATTGATTTTTTATTTATGCGATGCTCTGGATCTGGGAATGCTTTGATGGAGAGAAGTTTTGCCGTTAAAATATCATCTTTGTTTCCTACGACAACACTCAATGCTTTGCAATCATCATCTCGGGCACCGTGTTTCAAAAGCAGATCCACCATTGTTAGATCACGATTTCGACAAGCCTCCACCAAAGGTGTTGTGTTGTCTTCATTTTGAGATAGAGCACCCTGAAAAATTGAAAATTTTGTCTTTTATGGTTTTTCTTGTATTTCCTCTTTGGTATCATGATTGCGAATCATCAGAAAATAACGTAAAAAAATAAGAATACGGAACTCCGACTATTTCTCATTTTTAAAAAAACACAGAAAATATCTTAAAGGCATCATTGTAGCCGAAAAGATTACATCGAAGTAATTATTATTGATTGGAGAAAACCACTGAAAATTGAGCAAATTTTAGAGAAGGGGTCTAAAATAATACAGATTTTCAGAGAATTTACAATTCTTCATCATTATTTGGGTTCAAGTGCCCAATGACACGGATAAACGAAGGAATAATTTCAAAGTACTGTATACAAGTAAGCATATATTTTTGGATTCTCAAAATTATTTATTTTACTACTTTCACACAGATATGCCATGTTACCAAAGCGAGTAGTAACGCCCGAATTTTCGAAATAGAGTTTGCTTTAAAAGTCGTGTAGTTTAATTTAAATAAACTGACCGATTACTGATTCAGCTAAAATAGAAAAATTTGTCTCATTTATCTAGAAACGAGATCTAAAAGAAAGCAGCAAATGTGGAAAAATTGGCGTTGTTACAGGAAAACAGCAGTAAGTCAATATCATACTACAATAGGGTGCACTGACTGCTGTTTCGAAAGAGTAAAAGGATACTCTTTTCTACCATATTTAACCTGAAAATTTGTTTGTCATGTCCAAAATATCATCTTGCAAGCATGCAGAACATAGCATATCATTGGCTATAGTGCGACACCATGTATCTCCATTACGGTGTTTTAAAATCTCAGCTCCTGGTTTATTTTTTTGAAGAGGAACAAGTCAACTTTATAGCTAGAAATTTACACAAAATATTCTACAAACTGAGGTCAAAAATCAAGAGTTTTTCAAGAAATGACGTAGACTAGTTTTCCAAGGATAAAATAGAGAAAGACTGGAAGTCTACAATGATGCAAACGGAGATACACTGTCTCGCATTTCAACCCTTGATACTGCTGTTTTGCCTAAAATGAAATAAAAAGGGTCTTCTCCATGCAGTCAAAAAATTTTTTTTTCGATTTTAAATACTCTTTTGAATGGTTCTCCACAAAATTGCGATGAACCCTTTATCAAAGTTTAACTTTAGATTTTGAAAAAAAAGGTACCTGATCACTAACATTATGTAAGGCAGGGAGATTTGGATTGGCACCGGACGAGAGCAATGCTGATGCTATTTCATTGTGTTTCAGTCGGACAGCAGCATGGAGCGCAGTTTCTGCACCATTATTGCAATACATATTTAGTTTCAAAGGCGACAAATATCGCTCATTTGAATCCGCATTCCCAGAGTTTCTTGAGCTTAAATTCAACCTTGACATTATTGATTGAATACCATCAGATATTCTTCTTCGAGATGGGCTTGTTTGTTCAGAGTTTTTGGTATCCGAGGACAATGCTTCTTTGTCTTCGTTTACATCCTGTTGGACAAGGAAATAAAGACATTTTGTTAGACTGTATCTTCGAGGCCTCTTCAATCAAAATTAGTACTGAAGTTAGATAATCGAGCACAGGTAAGGAAAATTTTTTGAAGCAAAAATTAGTCACGATATTAGCCTCAAAATGTCCTTATTGTAGAAAACTTTATCACACCATAAAGAGGTCATCGTATTTTGACAAAAAATGTTCAAAATCAGTCTACGAAATGAAATTAAAATAAAAAAAGTTTTCAGTACTGATTTCCTCACACCTCATGCAAGTCAGGCCTCACAGGATCAAGGATTTTTAGGAACCTTTCAATCGAAGATTTTTATCAAGGCTATGGAGATTTTTTTGGAGATAATTGATAAACAACAGCTTAAGTCTGCCAAAGGCAGAAAAATTAAATTTTGAGTCGAATTTTATTGCGATTGTGGAATTTTTAGTTCTTTTCCAAAAAACCGAATTTGATTTGTTCTGAATTGAGTGAACATGCAGAAAAAGGGCAATCACTGCGGATTTCAATTCTTGCAAAGTGACTGAATTGTTCAGGAGCAACTATTAGAAAAATTGTATTTATTTGTCGGAATGGCTCAGGGAAAAAGTATAAAAAAGCAAAGAATACTGCATATTTTACATATTATACTTTAAAATATGCCACTGTATGCACTGCAATTGATTTGTTGGAATTTTTCAAAATTAAAAGAAACGTATCTAAAAGGTGTGTTGGGTAAGAACTGTACAATTTCTTCTCCTTTGAAATGAGAACTATTCGCAAAATCCTACCATATGCATAGCACAATTATGATTCACGTAACTCTAAAGTACTTACTTTAATGCGTACGGCTTTGACTCTGAACTTTAATAATATTTCTACCATTTTTGAGTTCCCTAAAAAAGATGCCAAGTATAGAACATTTTGTCCAGTCACATCTTTCATGTTGATGTCAAAGGGAAGAGTGAATTCCCAGTCACCATCCCTAAAAAGCAGCAAAAATAAGTCACATATTTAAAAATTTGGAAGCTAGGAAAATACTGGTCAAAAATAGAGCAGAAAATAATCGGTTTCAATGGATCATTAAAATGTACTTTGTGTTTACAAGATTGAGCATTCTTCAATGCGAAATTAAAAAGTTTAAAGGGCTTCTTGTACTAATAATTACAATTTTGTTCAATTTTTTCTATCGTTCAAAGTTAATGTGATTGTATTATTGGCAAAATCTGAGGATTTCAGTAAACTGCATACTGACTTAAAATCTTCCTCCTTCAATCTGTGGTCTGTGACTAAAGATCATTCATCATCAGGATATAGTTTCCAGCAGAGAAATGATGGGAATTGAAATTAAAACAGGGTCTAGAGCCCAAACATGGTGCAGAGCCCTTTTTTTGAAATTCAAGAAAAAAGGTTTGGCATTGAAAAACTACACGTAGTCTTACAGCCTTAGAAAGTTTAAATTGGTGCTACGGAACAATAAATTGAGTTTTGAATTTTATTTTTTTACTTGAAATACTCTGACTGTGTACATTAGTTTTGTGGGAGCTAATCAATTTCTCAGTACTTCCAAAAAGATACCGTAACATGCTCACACACTAGACCATTCCATTCATATTTTATTAGCTATATATTATTTTTTATGGTTGTCTGAACGAAAAAAACAACATTCTTGTGCGAATCCGCCAGAACTGTTGTTATTGAATGAAAACGATTAAAGTTGTTGCACGGGGATGAAAATTTCGATAGAACTCTGAATATAGGAAGTTTATAGGGAGAGAGGGAATAATGAATGTGGAAAAATTTAATAAGTGGTTGAAGTTAAATTTAGTAAGCAGAGGGGTCGTCACTTACCTATAAGTAGTTAAGAGATCTTTTGGATACGGAAACTTCAGGAGAGTTTCCATAATTTGTACACTATTATTAATACAAGCAGCATGGATGGGTAGCCATTTTTCAACCGTACACTGCTGAACTAATTCGGGAAATTTCTTTAGAAGAATGTCTACAACTTCTTTGCACTGCTTGAAGCAGGCAATGTACAGTGGCGAATACCTTGTCACCGGATGTATTCTTCCGTCAGCATCATGTTCCAACAGCAATTTGACAATATCCTTCCTACCCATTTCACTGGCACTGAAAAAAAAGAAGAGAGATTTTTAAAAATCTTGGGCTTAGATATTTATATGAGTATCTGTTAAGGTAAAAAGCTGAAATAAAAAAAAACTCACGACATTTTTGAGAGGGAATGGACTGGGAGTGCAACAGTCTAATTGGTAAATTAGGCTCAGCAACATTGAATGGATACTAAACTCAGAACAAATCAGGGAGCAATTGTAAATTTTTAGCCTCAGTCACCCTGAAGACAATCTTAGCTAGCGTATAAAAATCACATAATGTCAGAAAAACTATAAGGCAGCGCATCTCAATAGCTGCGTTTCAGAACTTTGCTCTTATTTCATTTCTTTAAATTGCAGGTGACTTTTAAGGAGTATTTTTGAAAAGACCAAGACATATTACACGTTTGTGCAGTAATGATGATCAATACCATCCTTCAAAAACATAAAAAATGGCAGAAAATCTGCAAGGCCGTATATTAAAAGACACAGCTTTGCAATTTTATTATTAGAACATATTCAAAGAATATTAACTGTGGAATTTGGCGGATTCTCCTGATTTTTTTGCTAATTTTTTTACATTTGTGTGGATAAGAAAATACTTAAAAAAATGGAAAAATTTGATTACCTAAATTTTACAATTCATATTCTAAGAAAGTTTAATTTATTTAGAAAGTGATAAATCGGCAAGAGAAAAGTTGCTTACATTTTTTGCAAAAATAAAAAAATAACACAAATAAAAGTAAAAATTAAAAAAATAAAAAAATAATGGAAAAAAGAAAAATTATTAATAAAAAATATAAAAATAAAATAAAATAAAATAAAATCAAATAAAAAAAGTTGGCGTGCGTATAATTTAAGAAGGCTCCTTAACTTGAGTTTGTATATTGTTATTGGCAGTTTTTGGTGGGTCTCTAAAAATAAATGATTGTTTCTATTAGGTCATAGTCACTAAGGTACGGATGAGCGCTACGTACATGAAAAGGAGCGTGTTGCTGCCATTTGGAGCCATGTTGACGATGGCTTCCGTTTCTTTGCCCAATTCTGCCAAGCGAGCTTTGATGGCAGCATAGTCCCCGTTGGACACGGCCTCACGCAACTCCAAGTGTACAGCATGACGGGATAGTTCTCTCGCATCTGAAACAAAAATAACATCATAATATTAGACAAAAGCTGTATTCATCAATTTCATCAAAGTCATTCTCATCTATTATTTCGATGATCAGGAGCGTCGTTTCCCTTCTCTCTCCTCCCCTCCCTCCGCATTTTAGATTTTATTTTTCAGGAGAAGCAATTTAATCGATCGTGGGACATTTTTTTAGAACTTGAGAGGGTTAACCCCCCCCCCCCATAAAAAATTATTTTCCTCCCCCAAGATTTGGCTGAAATGACGCACCTTCCGATGGTGCTTCTACTGTTCGACTTCGGAGAGGACGCAAAAGCTCGCAGTTTGCCAATTCTCTCTGTTGCTCGTCCGCTTTGATACAGCTCACCAAAACCTTAACGTCGCACAGTGGAACGCGCTGTTAGAAGAGATCGGACATGAAATTTTTAGCTGAAGTATCAAGTTTTGATGTTTATTTCGTCACAAATTTAATTGCAAGGGGTGTTCCTGAAAGGACATCTCATAGAAAAAACCAATGGAGCTACACTTAAACTTTCTTACTTCATATTTCTGATAATACGAGCTTTCAAAGTTGCCAGATTTTGTCCGACTTCTCCTGTTGACTCGATCCACTGCACGTCGTCGGTCACTTTTAAAAGCCTTTATGGTCTGTTTCTGCATCCTCTCAGTCCGGCACTGAAATGCTTCCTGTACCAGGCCGAGAGTGATGTACAGTACCTTCTGCCCATAAAAAATTACAAAAGGCAGCATGGACTTTTCTGAGGTTGTTTTATGGACTCCAATAATTGGCACATTCCATTTTGAAGAATCTCCTCACTGAATTTTCAAATTAACCGCTGACAGCGATATTTACCCGCGAAGATCGGTAATAGGGGTTAGGCGAATGACCGAAATCCGAAAACCGCGAATTGTCTAAAATTGCGAAACATGGCCTGAAAAAAAAGAGAGAAAGAAGGAGGAAAGCTAGGAGAATGGTATTCTCTTTTAAAAGAACAAAAGTTTAAGACGCCCGAAAAGAAGAATGTGGAGAAGTAACTACAGGTGAGAAACGAGTGAAGAGGATACAGTTCATCAAGACGTTTACCTAGTGATATTTTTGCCATGTACTAAAAAAAAAAACCCCGAGTTTTAAGTTGATAGTACACTGTTCAGTCGTTTCAATCTGAAAATATCTGAGCTGCAAAGGTCGTTGGTACTAAAACAAGCGCTCTCATGCAAATTCCATTTTTTCTTTTTTTGCTAAGACTGTCCCTAGAGGATCGTTCATAAGGACTTCATCATTCTTTCCGCCATAGGAATAAAAGTAATTTTGAAACTTCAAACACGTATTTCTCGGAATAGCAAAAACTGCACTTATACGCCTTGTCCTCCAAGCCCATCAATTGATCGTTGATCAGAAACTTAGATTTTCGAGTGACTAGAATATTAGCTTACTTAACTGCAGGTTTCCACAATATAAATATTTTATTGCTGAGCTGATCCATTCTAGACTTCTGCCACACTTTTTCATAGACTTTATAGCGTTAAATTCCATCACGCGCCTACAATTAAGTATCAGTTCTTGCTTTTAGCCATTAGCTGGAGTTTAAACTACACCTGTGGGTGTCAAGCGAGGAGCTGAATAACTTGAGCCTTCGTAAAAGCTGGGACAAATTATTCTACTTTATTCGAGATCAAGTCTTGTTAACGAATTTGAGGGCAACTGTTCCGCGAGGCGTGTGCCTACGTAACAAGCTTTACGCCAGGAAGGAATAAGAAGTAAACACACGAATACACGCGCAATTTGAATAAAATATATAGTAAATCGAGGCTCATATGCATTAAATGGTTACGTAATATCAAGGTTATAATGCTGCCGTGCTAAGGAAAAACGCCGTATGAGCCTTCAGGCGTTGCCAACTTTTCCTTTGATAAAATACGAATTTCTTGGTAGGCTGATAAATATCTTTCTTCCAGTTTTTTTGGTAAATTTTGTTCGCAATTTGACCTGAATTTCCTGAAACTTTCAAGGAAAAATATTCATAACTTTCCTCAAAAGTACAAATTTTATCGAAGAAAATATGGCAACTCTCGAATGTTTATACGGCGTTCTTCCTCAGCACGGCAGAATGGGCAGTCGACATTATTGCGAAGAGAGTGAGTAAAAAAGATGGTCCCTACCCCTGGGGGTAGGGACCCCTGTCCCCTACATAGCCATACCTGAGGCACTTATGGAGGGGGGGGAGAGCTACACGGGGTCAGGTTTTCTTTGAACCTAATTATTCAGATCAGAACAGTGGCGTGGCATGAACAATCGATTATTATCGATATTTCCCTATTTGAAGCTATAGTAAAGAATCGATTGTTAAGGTGTTCGTTACGAACACCCTGTTTATCGATTCTTTTCCATAGGTTTAAATGGCAGATCAATCGATACATCGCAAAGCACGCCACGCCACTGGATCAGATGTATACTTAATCCGAGAGCGAACTCATCGAAGATAGCATTTTGCTGGCCAAAATGCGAAACCACGTACCTCCATTTGGGAGGTCGCAGACTTTTTGGCAAACTTTGTTTTTTCTTGGGAAAATTAGTCAACATAATTTTTAGAAAACTTCCTTGATTTTTCTTCTCTGGTAGTAAAATACTTTGTGTAAGTAAATTTCAAGCCATGCAGTTAACTTATTGTTTCTTTTCAGCAAAATAAAGTAGGGACGGAAATTATTAAAACACCGCTATGGAGCTACTTGATTTCGCACTTTGGCCATAGATTTCTGACAGCATCGTTCAGTTTTCAATCTGTGCAGAAATCAATCATTTACAAAAATACTTAACTGACAGGTTACTATGTTGCTGAAGTTTTGTTACTCATGCATGTTCGTAGCATATAAGCTGCACAGTTTTGTTTAAAAATTGTATTTGTCTTTAATTAATTATAATTATTTGTTTTGTTCTTATTTATTTTTTGCATTTACACAGGTAATAAATAACATTTTCTCCGAGGGGAAGCACATAGGAACTTGGCGTGGGGACAGATTGAATTTTATAAGTCCGCCTTGAATGCATCATGCATAATTAAAAATACGATTCGACGAGACCCAAACGACAGACCCAAATAAAAAATTAGCACAATTTCGGGGTGAATTGTATGCGGTACTGATGAAAAAAAATGGCCCACTCCATGGCAATTTGTACCAATTCAGATTCTTTTTATTTTTTTCCATTGGAAACCGGCACTACACGGTATTGTCGACACCCCCTCCCCCGAGTACAAAAATGTTTAATGTACAAAACTGGCGGCTTGAATTCAGACAAAACGCTATTTCAGCTGAAACGGCATGCGGTACGGCGACATCGGAAGGAAGTCAACGTTTTTATTTACCTTCAGCGTTACTATGTATGAATTTGACTCTTAATCATGAAGATAATGATTCGATTTAATTTCAAAACGTTTCTGACAGATATCGCGTGAACATAAATAAACCACACGAATCGCATCAGCAAAGCAGTGAACTGGAGGCGGGGAGGCCTCGGTCAACAGGGCCCTTGCTCATCTTATTGATCGTGATTACTTCCCTTGCAGACCCTTTATATCTATCGAGTAATGTTACTCCGTTTTTTTGGCACTCAAAAAATTGCTTAATTTGCCTCGGGTGGAGTTCCACAGTGAAATCTTTGAAGAGAAATTTCTACAGAATGATGAAAATTTAATCATTTTCAGGAACTTAGACCAGGGCCGGATTTTCCTACTTGCCGCCCATGGGTCACCTGTATTTTGCCGCCCCTTCTCATTCCTTTAGAAACATCAATAAAAATCATCAAGTGAACGTGCCAGCGGAGGAGGGGTGCACAAAACGCGTTTACTCGTGTTGAATACATTTTTTGGGAAAGCCATGTTAACACTACAAGCAAAAGGTCACGGAACTTTGCGCGAAGGTCAAGTTTCGTAAACCTATCTCTAATGGACAAGGCCTTCCATTCATAAGAAATGAACGAAAAAATTATAAAAGAACAAACACAAAATGGTTCAATGATTTTAACTTCCGCCGACCGCTGCTGAACGCACTGTGTTTGACGCAATGCGTGAAGTATTCATACATTCTTGTAGGCGCTATCTGTTTCACGCTGACCACAATAACCGCACTGTGCTTGATGCAATGCGTGAAGTATTCGTGCAGTCTTGTAGGCGCTAATATGTGTTTTATGCCGATTGCCGCGCCGAGGGCTCCTCCTTTTCATCTCAAGTCCTTTTTATCATTTCTCCCTAAGTCGCGCCGTTCCAGGCCAAATTGTGTGTTTGGTTTCTCTCTTAACTCGACTAATTAAAGGTGCTGTCTCTTTCTTGTATCACTGACAGACGACAAAATTAGAAGTTACTATACTCTCAGGAAATGAGAGGTTTTTTAGCCTTTTCTCGTTTGTAATATTTTTTTTCTAAATCCGATTTTTTTTAATACCTATATTTATAAAATTTGCAAAATTTGCCGCCCCCTAGATTTGCCGCCCCCTAGATTTGCCGCCCCCTAGATTTGCCGCTATGGGCTGCGGCCCATTTGGCCACCCCCTTAATCCGGCCCTGACTTAGACTTTGTCCGGAATTCTTAAAATATGACGGTCAATACTCCTTAAAATGCTCTATTTTCCGTTATTCATCAACCTCCCCCCCCCCCCCCCCCCCCCCC